ATTGAACCGTCCATTTTCGACTCTTGGACCGGACTTTCCTTTTTGGAGCCGAAAGTATGAACGTGAATCGTGTGTGGGTGGGCCGGGCCCCGGACCGGGCCGGACCGGGCGAGACAACAGGATCGTAGGCAAACTTCTCTGGATAACGTCCAACTGTTCCGAGCGGCGTGGCGCGGCGTGGCACGGCACGACACGGCCAGACAGAAAAATGTTGCTATCTTCTCAAAGTACTGGCTAGTATATCAAACACACGGGGAGCCCTCCCAGCGAGCCAGCTAGCCCTCCGAGGCCGCGGGACCAACGCGGCGGTGCGGTCCACGGGGGATGAATGTCTAGCAGAGACAAGACCGCAGCACAGTGGGCCAGAAGACCGGTGGAGGCCGTCAAAATCCCGGAGCGACTCGAGTCGCTGCATGGGACTGGACGCGAACGTGTGACCCCACCAATGGATTGCTCTCCGAACGAGGAATTCACTGGTGGGGTCTACGTTCGGTTCGAGTCCCATTTAGCGACTCTGGAGCTCAAAACGCGTCTGGAATTTTGGCCGCCTCCACTGGTCTTCTGGCCCACTGCGCGCAGAGACGCATGTTACATTATTTGCCGAAATCACCGTCCTTTCAAAAAGTCCCGAAATCTGCTGTTGTAAGCCTCGCATCCATTCAAAATATCAACTGACAAAAGTTTGTTTCCAAAATCATCCTTGGCCATCTCGAAATTGACGGCGGGCTTGATTGCAGTTCCCTCTCGATGCGCGCGGGGCACTCCACCGGCCTTTGGTGGAACAGGACATCGGGGGGTCGGTCGGGTTACACGGAATGACCCTCGGAGAAATGTGGCCAAGGCGAGGACGTTTGGCCGAGGGGGGAGGGGGGGGAGGGGGCTTGGCGACTCGGCATGGGACCTGCCCAACCCGGAAGAAGCATTGGTCGGGCTGCTGACGGACAGAAATCATGCCAGAAGTGGGACGACGGACACACACACACACACACAAACGCAAGAAGTCACTCGCATACACGCACAAAACTGAACCATCTCTGGGATTTTGTTCCTCTGCAGTAGTGTTTGTGTGTGTGTGTGTGTGTGTGTGTGTGTGTGTGTGTGTGTGTGTGTGTGCTTCGGGTTGCCAACCTCTGCCCGCCGGGGGGGATGGGCGTCTAGATACCGGGCACTGCCGCCAGTGCCACTGGGCTTCCGGAATGCGTTTAGGCTGGCTCCAGTCTGGCTCCAGTCTGGCTCCAGTCTGGCTCCAGTCTGGCTCCAGGCTGGCTTCAGGCTTGCTCCAGTCTGGCTTCAGGCTGGCTGCAGGCTGGCTTCAGGCTGGCTTCAGGCTGGCTTCAGGCTGGCTTCAGGCTGGCTGCAGGCTGGCTTCAGGCTGGCTCCAGGCTGGCTTCAGGCTGGCTTCAGGCTGGCTTCAGGCTGGCTGCAGGCTGGCTCCAGGATGGCTCCAGTCTGGCTTCAGGCTGGCTTCAGGCTGGCTCCAGGCTGGCTCCAGGCTGGCTGCAGGCTGGCTTCAGGCTGGCTTCAGGCTGGCTCCAGGTTGGCTCCAGTCTGGCTTCAGGCTGGCTTCAGGCTGGCTTCAGGCTGGCTTCAGGCTGGCTGCAGGCTGGCTTCAGGCTGGCTTCAGGCTGGCTCCAGGCTGGCTCCAGTCTGGCTTTAGGCTGGCTTCAGGCTGGCTTCAGGCTGGCTTCAGGCTGGCTTCAGGCTGGCTGCAGGCTGGCTGCAGGCTGGCTCCAGGATGGCTCCAGTCTGGCTTCAGGCTGGCTTCAGGCTGGCTCCAGGCTGGCTGCAGGCTGGCTTCAGGCTGGCTTCAGGCTGGCTCCAGTCTGGCTCCAGTCTGGCTTCAGGCTGGCTTCAGGCTGGCTTCAGGCTGGCTTCAGGCTGGCTTCAGGCTGGCTGCAGGCTGGCTTCAGGCTGGCTTCAGGCTGGCTCCAGTCTGGCTCCAGTCTGGCTCCAGTCTGGCTCCAGTCTGGCTTCAGGCTGGCTTCAGGCTGGCTTCAGGCTGGCTTCAGGCTGGCTGCAGGCTGGCTTCAGGCTGGCTCCAGTCTGGCTCCAGTCTGGCTTCAGGCTGGCTTCAGGCTGGCTCCAGGCTGGCTCCAGGCTGGCTGCAGGCTGGCTTCAGGCTGGCTTCAGGCTGGCTCCAGTCTGGCTCCAGTCTGGCTTCAGGCTGGCTTCAGGCTGGCTTCAGGCTGGCTTCAGGCTGGCTTCAGGCTGGCTTCAGGCTGGCTGCAGGCTGGCTCCAGGCTGGCTCCAGGCTGGCTGCAGGCGGGCTTCAGGCTGGCTCCAGGCTGGCTGCAGGCTGGCTCCAGGCTGGCTCCAGGCTCGGCTCGGTTCCGCTCGGCGCGGCCGACGAGGAGGACGGCATGTCGAGGTCCTTTTCTAACACGCCGAAGCGGGCGGGATTTGTGCCGGATGCAGAACGGCGGGCGAATCTCTCTCCCACTTAATAATTAAAACGCCGTTTGGATCAAGGTACCCTGTCCGACGTGCCACGCTGAAAATTGAAAGCTGAGGGGATGCTGACCAAATTTTTGCGGGAAGTCTTACCGTCTTGTGGCGAGAAACAAAATTCCCACCAAATGTCAAAATTTAACATGACCTACGTTAGAAAAAACTCACCTTTCCATGGTAAGATTTCTGATTACCACCACTAAAATGGTGAAAATTTCGACTCACCGAAAATAGGTGAGAATTCTCACACTTAAGCATGGCAGGAATAGCAAAAACAAAAATCCAGTTTGACATTTTTTTCTAAAATAACTAAAATACATGAAATTTATTTGTGGTGGCGTCTTTCGCTTTCGACGCGTAGATTTGGTGGATTTTGGTTGTAAAGCATTCGGAGCGGCCACTCTATTTTGGCCGTGTCCTGCGTAATTTTCCCCTTGACGCCGAAGCCGTTTGCAAATGCAGTGCGGCGAACTAGTCGTTGCGGCCAAGTTGATACCGGGGCTATGCAAATTGGCTTCGGCTTGCTTTCACGACAATGTCTTGGTCCCGCCTTCGTCGCGCCTTCGTCCCGCCCGCCGTCTCTCTCTCTCTCTCTCTCTCTCTCTCTCTCTCTCTCTCCTCTCTCTCTCTCTCTCTCTCTCTCCGTCTCTCTCCGTCTCTCTCTCTCTCTCCCTCCCTCTCTCTCTCTCTCTCTCTCTCTCTCTCTCCCTCCCTCTCTCTCTCTCTCTCTGTCCGACTCGCTGCAAAGTTGATGGCCCAGAGCCTCCGGGGAGCGACGGGGGACCGCGGTTCGCCCTGACCACCAGACCGACTCCGAGCCGGGTCGCTCCGTCTCTCTCGCACCCGCGGGGCTTGCCGTCGGCCTGCCGCGACTGAGAGAGACGGAGCGACGTGTTCGGGATCAGTCTGCAGTCGGTCGGGACGGGACGGGGCGGCTGAGTTGGAACTCTGGCAATGAGTGCGCTCCCTTGCCTCCTGCACTGTTTTCGCAGCCTGAAATGAGTTGCCACCCCGCGGCACTGTGGGCCAGAAGACCGGCGCTGGTGGCCGAAACTCTAGGCGCGTTTTGAGCTCCAGAGTCGCTAAATGGGACTCGAACCGACCGTGTGACCCCACCAATGGATTCCGAGTTCGGAAAGCTTTCCATTGGTGGGGTCACACGCTCGGTTCGAGTCCTATTTGCCGACTCTGGAGCTCAAAACGCGTCTGAGATTTTGACCGCCTCCACCGGTCTTCTGGCCCACTGGGCGTCGCCATGGAAACGTAAGGCTGTCTGTGCTGGAAAAAGGGGCAAAGGCCCCGACATTCAGGCAAATGTTTCTGTCGGTCGCGAAGTACCGAACGGTGCCTGTCGGCGGGGAGTGGACTCGTATGACATCGATGGTGTGATTGGGAGTTCCATTAGTGGAGGGGGAGGGGCGGATCTGGACGGCCGAGACGGGCGAGGGGGGGGGGGGGGGGGGCAGGGTTATGATGGTCACACGGTTTGGCGGAGTACCAGTGGGCTCTGAGTGGTTTACAACGCCGACCCCTCCCCCTTCCCTGTCTGAAACTTAGCGTCGGGCGTATAGCACCGCCGCACCGCGGAGTGGCAAGGTTCCACGCCAACTTGCAACTTGGGCGCAGCCGGCGGGGAGGAGCGGCGAAGCTCGAAGGCGCGAAGCGTGGCTCGACTCGAAAGCATCGTTGCTCTTTCGCGGTATCGGTGTACACCCAAAAAAAGTGACCTCTTGGATCAAAACAAAAAATCTTTAACCTTTCTTGATTTTTTAAAAAAAAATTCTAAATCCAATTTTATTTTTTTGAATGAAGAGAATTTTAATTGTGCCAAGAAAGTAAAAATTTAGAAACCATTTTTCTGGGTGCATCGGTGTACACCCCCAAAAAAATGACTTCTTGGATCAAGAAAAATGTAACCTTTCTTGGTTGTTGCAAGAAAAAAATTTTAAATCCATTTTTTTTTTATAAAAAAAATGTTTCTTGTGTCAAGGTTTTTTTTTTTTACAAAAACCAAGAAAGTAAAAATCTAGAAACCCTGTTTCTGGGTGTACACTCGCTGAAAAAAGTGTGCCTGCAACAGATCAGCAGTTTCAGCCTCGCTGTGAAATTACTTGATCCATGTTCAGTGAACTGAAAGCAAAGTTTCTCCAGAATCATTTTTTGTTCCACTTAATCTAATTCTTATTGAGCTTTCCCTTCGTACTAAGAACCGCTCGAAGAACGTGGTTCCTGTGCTCCAACGACCGGAACGACAACCGTCCCAAAAACGAAAACTCGAAGTGCCGAGGGGGTATGCACTCGCGTAATAGTCGGTACACTCTATCTGTAATAGCACGCGTAATAATTCGCGTAATAGTCGCGTAATAGCCGAAATTGTCAAAATTTTATCAATTTTTGGTGTGTTTTAGGCCGTTTTGAGCTAAATTCCGATTAATTTGTGGCGTAATAGAGCGTAATAGCGTAATAGTCGGTACACAGGTTCAGAGAGCGCATACCCCCTCGCGAAGTGCGTTCTAAATTAATTCGTTTCCTTTTCTCTCTTTCCCTTCCAGAGTCGCTGCAGGGTCCGCACGAAAAACGGCTGCTGCACTCGCTGCTGGACCATTACAACGTCCTGGAGCGACCCGTGGCCAACGAGTCGGACCCGCTGCAGCTCAGCTTCGGACTCACGCTCATGCAGATCATCGACGTGGTGGGTACACTCTTTCTCTGCCACACTCTAAAAGTCGTACAGGAAAGATTCTCCATTTTACATTGAAAATTATCTATAATCTGGTGGGGCGGTGCACCTGTCTTTGTAACTTACCTTCGAAAATTCATCATAACTTACCTTATTAATATCTTGCCAAACTTCGTTCGTATCATGGAGAAAATCTTCACCCTATTATGTTCATGGAGCCTTTTACCGTAAGACATTTTGAGTGCACTCGCCTGCGCAGTTCCCTGTGAAAAACAGGTGCAAATTTAACGCCAATCACCCGAAAGTCAACTAACTCTTGGACATAGATTTGCATGAAGTTTCGCGTCCGCGACCTGCCAAATGACGTGGTTTCTCTCCGCACTACAATTGCGATCAAAAAATAATCTTTGACCACAGGTTACCTTTTTGTGCAGAATTTTTTTTTTTTAATTCCGAATTTTTCTGGATCAACATGTATTTTATTCTGCTTGCGTTTGGCTTACTCCAAACCCACAGCCCCTTCCACACCCGTGCTGTTCGTTTTTCGAGGCCGAGGAAACTTCGTCCGCGGCGGATAAACTTGCAAATTTGTGGCGCCGACTTTCGATTCCGCTCGAAATTGTGTTGGAGTTGTACACGGAAAGTCGCCACGCCGTTTCTGCCCGGCGGGGCTGCACAATTACATCGCCGAACCTACCGACCCTCGTGCTGCCGCACAGTGGGCCAGAAGACCGGTGGAGGCGGACAAAATTCTAGACGCGTTTTGCGCTCCAGAGTCGCTAAATGGGACTCGGATCGAACGTGTGACCCCACCAATGGATTGCTCTCCGAACGAGGAATCCATTGGTGGAGTCACACGATCGGTTCGAGTCCCATTTAGCGACTCTGGAGCTCAAAACGCGTCTGGAGTTTTGGCCGCCTCCACCGGTCTTCTGGCCCACTGTGCCTTCGGGTGTAAGGGAAGCTCATTCGGCCCTCTGCAAACAATACCCGCTCCCCCTCCGGAGAGGGCCTCTTCCGGATTTCAAATTCGACTCGATTTTCGCCCGGCTGCATCTAGTTAGACCCGAGGTGGGGGGTGAGATCTGTAATTGGTGGACGTGAGAGAGAGAGAGAGAGAGAGAGAGAGAGAGAGAGAGAGAGAGAGAGAGACGAGAGACGAGAGACGCGATCAGGCGTGCAGACGGACGGACACCGAAATTCACTTGTCGATGTGCCTCTATGGGATCGCAAAGGACACCGTCGGTAAAGTGTCTCGAATATAAGCGAAAACAGAAGTTTTAGTAGCTTTGTTTTATTCTCTTATCTCACCTTGAAGTGTGAAGAGCGCACACAAGGGATCTCGGATTCCTGTCTTTGAAACACGGGTTCGTTCAGTCTGGCGGACTTGGATTTTGCGAAATGCAGAGAGTTGTAGAAGCAATTGTCAGCAAACGTTTCGAAACAACCTCTTCTCGCGGTGTATCCATTTCTCCTGCTGCTCGCCTCCCTCGCCGCGCTCGGGCTGTCCGTCCAACTTCAGGTTTACATTTCATTATGAGGTCTTCGTTACGGGAAGGGGGCCGACGGAACAGGCAGCTCATGTGGGCCAGCCTGACGGTCTGTCGACAGACAGACAGACAGTCAGACAGACAGACAGACAGACAGTCAGACAGACGGACGGACGGATAGTCAGACTGACAGACTCACAGACAGGCGGACAGACTGACTGAGACTCACAGTGGGCCAGAAGACCAGTGGAGGTGGCCAAAATTCTAGACGCGTTTCCTAGCCTCAGAGTCGCCAAATGGGACTCGAACCAAACGTGTGACCCCACCGATGGATTGCCCTCCGAACGAGGAATCCATTGGTGGCGTCACACGCTCAGTTGGAGTCCTGTTATGCGACTCTGGAGCTCAAAACGCGTCTAGTTTTGGCCGCCTGCAACGGTCTAATGGCCCACTGAGAGACTATAAGACAGACAGACAGACAGACAAACAGACAGGCAGACAGACAGACAGACAGACAGACACACAGACAGACAGACAGACAGACTATCAGACAGGCAGATGTACGGAGCGCCGTGGGCGAGTGCGACCACTTTTCCGAAGTGTGAAAATGGGGCAGCGCTCCACTGCAGCCACACCTACGGCTTTATCCTGGAAAAAGGTGACGCGGGAAGAGAGTGTGGGGGAACTAGAGTGCGACGCTTGATTTGGCGCGCCAAAAATTGATTCCCGTCCCCTTCCCCTCTCTCTCTCTCTCTCTCTCTCTCTCTCTCTCTCTCTCTCTCTCTCTCTCTCTCTCTCTCTCTCTCTCTCTCTCTCTCTTCCATCCAGGGCAAGACAATCGGACAGAGCGTGGAGGAATCAGAACGCCACACGCCGTGTCTCTCTGCACTCTACTACCGCAGCCCCGCAGCCCCATACGTGCTGCGAATGCCCGGTGGCGATACCCCGTGCCACCGTGGCCACGGCACCGCGCTCCTCTGGGGACCTCCCTTGACCGCACCGCGCCGCACAGCACCACAGTGGGCCAGAAGACCGGTGGAGGCGGCCAAAACTCTAGACGCGTTTTGAGCTCCAGAGTCGCTGAATGGGGCTCGAACCGAACGTGTGACCCCACCAATGGATTCCTCGTTCGGAGAGCAATCCATTGGTGGGGTCACACGGTCGGTTTGTGTCCCATTTAGCGACGCTGGAGCTCAAAACGCGTCCAGAGTTTTGGCCGCCTCCACCGGCTTCTGGCCCACTGTGCGCCGCACCGCAGCAGCGCAGCGTGTCAATACCCCCCGCTGGATTCGCTCCGTGACTGGAAAGCAGCGCGCTCTTCGCCTCCAGTTTTTTCTCTGCGTTTGTTTTCCCTCCCTCCTTTTTTTCGCCCCCTTTTCGCTGCAAAATTGCACTTGGACCGGAAAAGGGCGGCCGCAGAGCGACGCCGGAAGGGCAGAGCGGAGGAAGGGGCCGCAGAGAAATGACATGTTGATGTTGGGCATGACAGGGGAGGGGGTAAGACAGGGGTAAAGATATCAAACTTCATGTCACCCTCCCAGGTATCCGCAGCACACACCACGCTCTCTGTTTCCCCCTCTCTCTCTCTCCCCTTTCCCTTCCCCTTCCACCACCTTTCCCAGTTGGCCTGACCCTCCTCCCTCCCACACCCCGCATTGCAGTCCCACTGTCTCTGCAGGCACCTCTCTCTCTCTCTCTCTCTCTCTCTCTCTCTCTCTCTCTCTCTCTCTCTCTCTCTCTCTCTCTCTCTCTCTCTCTCTCTCTCTCTCTCTCTCACCCACGCCCCTAACAAAGACAGTCCCCCCGAGCCACAGGCAGACCACCCCCGCAAAAAGCGCCCCCTCCCCCTCCTTCTGCAACCATTTTCCACTCCCCCAGTGTCCTGATAGTGAAATAAACCTCGCCATTACTTTGGAGGGGAAAAGCATGGTCTGCGATCCGCTGCGGGGTTGCCGCCCGACTGTAGCGATGACAGTGTGGGAGCGCTCTCTCTCTCTCTCTCTCTCTCTCTCTCTCTCTCTCTCTCTCTCTCTCTCTCTCTCTCTCTCTTCCTCTTCGCGAACGGTAAGCTCCCGGTGGTTTTGTTGTCGACTCTGGCTCAAAACATCACTGCACCGTCGAACCTCGTCCAGTACACTGTATTACAAAGGTCGTTTTCGCCGCTCTGTCTCTCTCCCACCTACGGTGTACGCCCCACGCGTGTGAACGAGACGGGGCGACGAAAACGACTCTCGGAATCAGTGTGCCGTATGTGCCTCACAAATGCGAGGCAGCGCGCGGTCGAAGCGATGCGAAGATGTGGGGGAAGGGTCGGCATTCTGGCTCTGACGGAAAGTTGGTCCCCACGTTGAGGGCGGCTGGGGCCGCTAGGGCCGCTAGGGCCGCGAGGATTCCCAGACAAATGGCCCAGTGTTTCCAGTGGCCCCGCCGCCCGCCCCACAGCCGCAGCCCGCCGCAGGCCCGGCCGGGCCCCGTGAGCCCGGCTACACTGTCAGCGACCCCACTCACAGTGGGCTGGAGACCGGTGGGGGGCTGTCCAAAACCCCCGACGCGTTTTGAGCTCCAGAGTCGCTAAACGGGACTCGAACGGAACGTGTGACCCCACCAATGGATTCCTCCTTCGGAGCGCAATCCATTCGTGGGGTCACACGTTCGCTTCGAGTCCTGATTAGCGACTCTGGAGCTCAAAACGCGTCTCGAGTTTTGTCCGCCTCCGCCGGTCTTCAGGCCCACTGTGCGACATGGAACAGCGTGACGATCCTCAAAACTGAGCCGCCCCGGCCCGGTTATTAACAGACGATTACAAACGAGCGGCTTGCCTCGCAGTGCCGTGGCAGCGCCGCGGCAGGGGCTTGTGTTTTAAGGCATATTGATGTTCGCGTCGTTCGGCTGGAGCAGAGCAAAACCGCACCGACCTAACTGTCGCGAAGAGAGAGAGAGAGAGAGAGAGAGAGAGAGAGAGAGAGAGAGAGAGAGAGGGGAGAGAGGAGGAGGGGGGGGGGGGGGGGGGGCAAGTGTCCTCCTTTTCGACCCCCCAGCGCCAAAGTTTTGGATACCGGGTTAAGTCCACCGCGCCCATTCTGAGCTCCTTTTCCGGGCAGCTTCTTACGACCAGCGCACTGCCGCCCCCGGTGGCCGGTTTAGTGTAACAGCAACTCGCTAAGACGCTGGCCATGTGGCCGGCAGGGCAGCCCCACATGGTTAATAAGTTTTCATTGCCCGCGCTGCACAGTGGGCCAGAACACGGGCGCAGGCGGCCGAAACTCTAGACGCGTTTTGAGCTCCAGAGTCGCTAAACGGGCCTCCGACCGAACGTGTGACCCCGAATGGATTGCTCTCCGAACGAGGAATCCATTGGTGGCGTCACACGTTCGGTTCGAGTCCCATTTAGCGACTCTGGAGCTCAAAACGAGTCTGGGATTTTGGACCACCTGCACCGGTCCCTCTCTTTTGTCTCAGCACTAGTTTGCTGCATCGCCTCTTCCCTTTAATTTTTATTCGACAACCAGCCGGTGGTTGTACCAGTAGCAAAGGGCAATTTCGCAGTTGGACAATTCACCGGCTCCGTGTTTATTTCACTCATATTGGACTTTGAACATCGGTCACCCCCTCCTCTTTGTGTGCCCTTGCGTCCAAGGATTTGATCCTATTGATGCCGATACCGTTTCTTTTGTGGGACGTGTTGAATGTGGAACCGCCCCCTGAAACAGACGTCCCCGATTTTCCTCGTGCAGTTGTGCCCGTCCCCTGAGAGAGAGAGAGAGAGAGAGAGAGAGAGAGAGAGAGAGAGAGAGAGAGAGAGAGAGGAGACAGCGAGTTTATGACAGGGTAATGTGTGCTCCGGCCAACCGCTGCAGCGCTGCGGGGCCCGGCGTGCCCCGCCTTGCCCCGCCTTGGCCTGATTGGCTGCACCCCGGCCGTGCTGGCCACGCCGGCCGCGCTCTGATTGGCTGTTGCGCCCCTCCGGAGTAAAATCGGCCGTGGAAGTGGGGATTGATGTTGCGAGGGCTTTGCCGCCCGTGAAATATGGCCTCTGGAAGAAAGAGGAATGCCCGCGATGTGATACACAGACCCGCCAGACACAGTGGGCCAGAAGACCGGTGGAGGCGTTGAAAATCCCGAACGCGTTTTGAGCTCCAGAGTCGCTAAACATGACTCGAACCGAACGTGTGACCCCACCAATGAATTCCTCGTCCGGAGAGCAATCCATTTGTGGGGTCACATGCTTGGTTCGTGTCCTGTTTAGCGACTCTGGAGCTCAAAACGCGTCAAGAAGTTGTGATGCGGTAAGAAAGCCCCTGCCAATGACGGCGTAGGCAACACGCTCCGGCCGTCTTTGCAGCGTGTTGCCTATACTTCCGTCTGCAGGGGCCCTGGTCAGATCCTCGCTTTGCTTGACTGCGACTAACACGCCTCTGTCTCGTGTTACAGGATGAAAAGAACCAGCTGCTCATCACCAACATCTGGCTCAAACTGGTAACTATGCGACCCGCACTGATAGAACGTTGTTCCCATGGTGCATTCGTTGACGCGTTTTTTGGTTTGACGCAGGAATGGAATGACGTCAACTTGAGATGGAACACATCAGAGTTCGGCGGGGTCAAAGATCTAAGGATACCGCCGCATCGGATATGGAAGCCCGACGTCCTCATGTACAACAGGTAACATCGGGCAATGCCGCGAGTAATAGGATCAAAATGACGGTAAATGCACCTGCCGTAGCGCTATGACTCCCCTGCTGCTGTTTTCTTATTTAAAAAAAATATTTGTTCTATTTTTGCGAGCATACAATCGGACTTGTAGGGATGCTGTGATTACACTGAGAATGAAAGAGACTTGGTCAATACCTTATTTTAGGGGAGGTGTACTTTATCACCCAAGTTCGACGGAGAATAATTTTGTACACCAAATTTGCTTTCTAGCTTTGCGTTCCTCGAGAGGAAAGGTTTCCTCATCCACAATTTTATGGTCGATTAAAACATTTTCATTCTCAGTGCAACCGTCCTCTTCTATGCTTTTTCCATGAAATCAGTCCCATAGTGTATGTTCGCACGGACGTGTCTCCGGTCGCAGCACAGTAGGCCGGACGATGGGCTGAGGTGGCCAAAACTCACGACGCGTTTTGAGCTGCAGAGTCGCTGAATAGCACTCAAACCGAGCGTGTGACCCCACCAATGGATTGCTCTCCGAACGAGGAATCCATTGGTGGGGTCACACGTTCGGTTCGAGTCCCATTTAGCGACTCTGGAGATCGAAACCCGTCCGGGGTTTTGACCGCCTCCCCTGGTCTTCTGGCCCACTGTGCGCAGACTGCTCATGCCTTGTCTGTTCGCAGTGCGGACGAGGGCTTCGACGGCACGTACCCCACCAACGTGGTGGTCAGAAACAACGGCAGCTGTCTGTACGTCCCGCCCGGCATCTTCAAGAGCACGTGCAAGATCGACATCACCTGGTTTCCGTTCGACGACCAAAAGTGTGAGATGAAATTTGGCAGCTGGACGTATGATGGTTTTCAGGTGAGCTCTGATTTAACCTCAATTGGCAAAAACGGTTCCCAGCTGGTAGTGAAGACACGGGTCGCAAGGAGAACAAGCAGGTCAAGGTGAGGTCATAATGATGTCTAATGATGACATTCTGACGTCAACACGACATCCTCCAACATCAGTTTGAGTTCATTTTGACATCGTTTTGACTTGCTGTTCTCTCTGGGGTGATTTCCAGGGAATTCCGGGGAAAACCAGAAACCGTTTTGCTGTGCATTTTACGAATTTTGATGGTGATACGCACTTGAGAAGGTGATGGTCTGTAGCGTCTTTGGCTTTAACGTCTCGTTGTTTCCTTTCCAGTTGGATCTGCAGCTCCAGGATGACGCGGGTGGGGATGTCAGCAGTTTCATCACGAACGGAGAATGGGACTTACTGGGTAAGGTTTTGCAGGCAACCAGGTTCGGATAATTTCATGAATGAAATGAAAAATTCATTGAAAAAGAAAGATTAAGGACTGAGCATTACCTTTTGATTTGAAGCATACAAATTTTGTTTTCTATGTTTTACATCTTTTGAATTTAATGTTTGTGGATTTAAAACTTTAATGTAAGATTCGTTCACAAGAACGCAGCTTCTTTCACACGTTCTTTTATTTTCAATTTGCGACTTTTGTGGTAATATTTTGAAATCAATGTGTTACAAGGTAAGGCATTTGAAAGGGATTTGAAAGAAAATTATATCATTTCCTGTAGTGATTGCAATCACGATTTGGACAAATTCGTCCACCATTCAATTATTCTCATCTTAAAACTTGAAAATAAAAGTGCGTGTTGTTACGATTTTCGATTTTAAAAATGTTCAACCGCTCATTTTCGGTTGTTGAAATGCCACGTTATCAGTATTGCATCCTTGCAGTCGCAAAATAATTATTCGAGTGTGAACGTACTTGAGATCATGATGGGTCGCAATTTCTTCAAACGTTAAATGCGCGTTGAATGTTTCCAAAATCGTCTTAAGTGTGTAACGTTGACCAGTTTTAAGTTCCCGGAAGGCAGCAACGCTTTGTTTTACCATTTGAAAAAGTCTTTTTATTTTCTCATTGGTATAACATTCTTATTTAATCCTTCGTCAAAACCTTTTGTTACGAATGTGAACAATAAGCTGTTAAAATCTCTTGTTTTTCTGCTTCTTTTTTAAGTGAAATGAACATCCGGGATCTTACATCTGGTCATGAACTTTGTACAAAACTGGCCAAAACTAGTCTCTCTTGTGACAAAGAAAACCAAAATTATCAAAAAACAACTGCCATGGAGCCCCCGCAAGTTTCCCCAGAATCGTCTGAGCCTCCTCGGCACGGTGAAAACGAACCGCACGCAAATCAGGGTGACTTATCATAAATAAAACATTCGGAAATCCAGTAAAACGTCGAATAACGCCGCGAGTCAGGGAGGTAACGCCTAACCTTTCCTCTACACCCAACGAAGACGTGAGTCCTGCTGACTTACGCACCTGGAACGCAAAACCCACCGCGACACACCGTCGGCGCCACTCTTTCTGTTAGACTGACGCACGCCTGCTTCCGTAAACGCATGTCAAGCCCGATTCCCACACAACGCTGCTACAATGGATACATTCTTCTTGCTTCGCAGAGGTCCCAACCTCTGCTGCTTCAGCATGCTCAATCGTGTGCAGGTCGAACCTGCAGGGCGGTAGCCTTGGAGTATTTGGCACGCTGAACACGGATGATGCGAGGACACTCGCAGTCACGTCACAAAAGCAATAAAAATACGACGGCGTTCAGCCGTACGCTTTGTCTTTAGCCGCTACGCCTCTCTCTCTCGCTCTCTCTCCAGGTCTGTTGCTTTGGACAAACTGCAACAACAGAATAACCAAAATTGGTTTCCAATCGTGAAACCTGGTTGCACAATACTGCGCTTGTAGGCATGCACTGAAGTCCTTGCAAAGCATCCTTCCTGTCCGTCTCAAAACGGAGGCCTGTCCTTTAAACATGGCTCGGGAAAATCCATGATTTAAACCGAAGACAGCTACAATTCGTGTAAAATGACCTTTTTCAAAGTAACCTAAACTAATATTCCCTATAACACGCAATTCACGTTAAATCGCGCTACATTTGACGCGAGTAAAATGTCTAAACACAGTGAGGCATTGTAAAGCCGCAAGGCAGATCACCCCTCTGGGGCTAAATAACATGGCAGTTTTAATTACACTAATATTTTGAATGTAGTTCACTTCTAATTTTGTGTGGTTTAAGTGCCCTTGAGTTTGAGAGATCACACGTTCCGTGCTCCATCTTTTTTTTCCGTTTTGGATCAAAGAACGTGCCTCTGCCAAATCCATGGGCCAAAATGAATAATCACTGGGCAGCCAGCGGAGAGACATTAATCAGAACGTAGGATACGCATTTTTAAACATTTTTATAGCCTCCTCTCTAGTAGTAAGAAATAGCAATTGCATACTAATTTTTGTCTAGAGAAATCGACAATAACTAGAAGTCTGAGTCGTATCCTACGTGTCAGTGTCCTCTGCCAATCTGCACTCGTCCACTGCAGTGATTTGTCGGGAAAGCTACTATTTTGAGATTTTTTTCTGAAAAACAAAAGAACTCTTCTGTTACAAAGATGATGTGTTCCTTTTAACTATTCCTGACAATTTATTGCTTTGGCTTTCCGATCCAAACCTCAATTCCTAATGTGCCTAAAACTACTGTAAATTTTGTGTGCGTATTACTATTTATTTTTTAAGCACTGTTTCATTGATTTACTAGTATTTGTCAATCGTTTACATGGCGCTTCACTGAACAAATTCCAGTGTCACGTGGGTATTGTCTGTAAGCTCAAATGCCGACCGCGTCTGATTTTTATGAAGTACTGATACAGGCAAGTCAAGTACATCACGCATTCTAATGCCATATTTTGTAACGAGAAATTTACAAATGCAGGTCTTGGGCACATTAGAATGCACTCTCCTTTAGAAAAATCGACTCCTCCTGGCAGAATAATTCTAACATCTAGTGCGGCTCCATGACAACCCTATCTTCGAAGAGCGCTCAGTGGGCCAGAAGACCGGGGAGGTGGTCAAAATCCCGCACGTCTTTTCAGCTCCAGAGTCGCTAGATGGGACTCGAACCGAACGTGTGACCCCACCAATGGATTGCTCTCTGAACGAGGAATTCGTTGATGGGGTCTCACGTTCGGTTCGAGTCCCATTTAGCGACTCTGGAGCTCAAAATACACCTGGGATTTTGACCACCTCCACTGGTCTTCTGGCCTACTGTGGAGCGGAATCGGAGCTGTTATTCTGCTAGGAGGTGCCGAAGTGCATCTCTTCCATTCTTACTATCTCTATTCTTCTGCTTGTTGCTCGACTCTCTTCTATCCTGTTTCTATATGCTCGTTCCAGGTGTGCCGGGCAAGAGGAATGAGATATACTACAATTGCTGTCCGGAACCGTACATAGATATAACATTTATCATAATTATCCGAAGGCGTACACTCTACTACTTTTTCAACCTGATCGTGCCGTGCGTGCTTATTGCGAGTATGGCCGTGTTAGGTTTTACGCTCCCGCCGGACTCGGGCGAGAAGCTCTCACTAGGTAAACCAGCTATGCCTGTTTCAATTTCTCTATACATTCCGTTTAGAACACTTCCGCTGCTCAGATCGGTGTGATGCACTGGGGTTGCCTCGATTATTACCTTACCAGAATGTGGACTGAGATTGTTGGCATTTCCAAGGCTGAAAGGTATCAGTCGCGATGCGGTGAAAAAAAAGCCCACTTGACTCTGTGTGTTTTTATGGAGCGTTGGGATTTCACATGCACAGTAATTCATTCGCTGAAAAACCCTTGGTGAAGCCGCACTGCGTCCAAACCGAGCCTTGGTCTCACTGACGGTCCATGAGTCTCTGCGGCAAACCCTAGCTGCGCCCACAGACACGGCAGCGCCCTCTGAGCTGTCGGAAGTGCACGTTTTTGTACCTCTCTTTGTGTTCAGTTTGCGCTGCCCCGTAGCCGCCCACAGTAGCATGGCTGAGCGTGACCAGGATCGCTTTCTTACCGCGTGCTCCGTCTGACTCGTTGCCCCTCTGAACCGGACCGCTGCATCGCGCTGCCACGTCTGGCACTAGTAGGGCTCCTAGTAGGGCTCCTAGTCGGCTAACGGCAGCGGTGGTCCCGCTTATACCTTTCCGTCAAACCTGAATCAAGCGTTAACAATTCAGTTTCCTAATGGACATTTTTTTATTCGTAAGCTATCATTTCTACCGCTTTTTTTTTCAAATTCTTCCGCTGTTTGTGAGAGCACAATCTCGCAGCATTTGCCCTGATTCAGGTCAAGATGGACGTCCAGAATGCTCAGACGTATTCACCCGCCGAGCGTCCGCCCACTGTTACTTTTGACTGCACTGCCGGAAGTCTGCCAGGAATGGTTGATGATGTTTCTTTTGTCGTTTGAGTGACCCAGGCAGTGCGGCTCAGGTAGTCAGTGGCGAGGCTCTCCCCTCCCCCATGCGCATCTACACTTTTCATAGCAGTTTGACGGCCGTTAGTGCTGTGTTTTTTAATCACTCTTTGGTTTGTTTGTTGTGTGTGTTGCGGTGTCCTGCAGGCATGCCCGCGTTTCGCCATCTAGTGAACTATACTTGCTGCCCAGACGACTTCTACGTTGACATTACTTTCGTCCTCCACATTCGGCGTCGGACGCTGTTTTACACGATCAACTTGATCGTTCCTTGTGTAATCATCTCTTCCATGACCCTGCTCGGTTTCACATTGCCTCATGAGTGTGGAGAGAAGCTCACTCTAGGTTTGTAACGGCTGGCCTCGGCTGAAACCAAACTAAAAGCAGTTAAATAAATAAGAAGGCAGAAGACAGTTATACGACTTAACCTCTCTAAACCAGCTAGATGCCTTTATTTGGCCTTTGTCTTTTGTTTGGCTGAGGAAGAGCAGCGGAAAACCGAGCGTTCCACGCCACTAAATTAGCTTCAAATGTATCCCCGTTTTCAAAGGAGGTTGAGTTTATGTTTTCTTGCCAACCACGGATCACTCGCAAAAATAATAAATCCTTTTCCTTAAAGTCCTCGGGACAACCTGTAGCTAATTTTGAAAATAAACCTGCGAGTGATGCCACTAAAATCATTGTTTAAAAACTTTTAAGTGTACTACTGTATGTGACTTATTAATTCTGTCGATTCAGATCAAAGTGAAAGAAGTGACTCAGCGTTTTAGTCCCCTCCCCCCTCTCCGCTTTAGTCGTTCGTGTTCGATGTTGTAGCCCTGTCATGGCAGACTGTTTGTAGCCGTAGCAGTTTCGTTTTTCCTTTCCCTTTGCTTATTTTTACGTCCTTTTTTCTGTGCTTATTTGCTTGGCATGCTCTGTGGGTGTTTATGTGTGTTCATTCTTGTGTGTTTGCGCGTGTCGTAGACTTGTTAATGTGTTTCTGTCATAATAAAGCATGAAAATATTGGAATCTTCTCCGTGTTTGGTGAGCCTAATTTATTAGTCATTGCGCTCTTTCCTCAAGGGCCTTAGTTTCGTGAAATCAAAATTTTTTTTATCAATGAGTATTGATGGAACGGATTCCTTATTTACTTGCTTTTATGTATACAGTGTGATAAATTTCCTTTCATTCCTTGGCTTCCATAGAGTCGCCATGCCAAATAGCAGGTTCCGTGGTCTTCTGGAAGATCCCCTTAACTTAACTGCGACAAGCTATTATTTTATGACATTCCACAAACCCTTACATTAGAGTCCCAATAGATAACAAAGGCATTCTTTCAATTATTGGTCACCATCTTCTTCATTGTGTGTCGTTACTGTTCTACAAAATCTATTCGTTTTTGTGGGTTTGTGAGAAGTTTTCACTTCATAGCTTCTGAAGTAGATCCCCGCCTCTCTTAACACGGCAATTCAGAGTGCATAAAGTCGCAAAAACAAATTGGACGTCAAAGCATGGTCCAGGGAAAAAAGACCTCCGCACATTGGTGAGACCTCGGCTTAAACTATGTTCTTGCTTTGTTTTTCTAGGCGTTACAATCCTTCTATCACTGACTGTTTTCCTAAACATGGTAGCCGAGACGATGCCAGCAACTTCGGACGCAGTTCCATTATTAGGTAAACTCTATCTGATGGTGCCGTGTCCACTTGCGACTTGTGAGAAGGAGGGGCTACATTCTGACGACTGACTGACGGACCTCCAAATCATCCCCCTTGCCATACACCCCCACCACAGCCTGGTGCACAGGGCGGGCGGGGACGTGGGGCTTTCGGGACGGCCCCCGGCAGTGCGGTAAGTCTGGGAGTGCCGAGGGACTGTCTGTAAACGAAGTGCTTCCCACGTCCCCGCCGAACAAGAGCTTGGAGACATCTGCATCACCCACAGGTTATCGTCGGCGGCAAGGTCATCTCTCATCATTTGGTGCTCATGTTGTTGTCTCGCTTCTGCCCCAGGCTCCCTTTGATTTTAGATTGCAAACTATGTTTTTCATTGTTTTTTTGTGCTCTCGCCTCGCAACCTCCCCATCCCTCAACAACCCTCTCATTTAAACCTCCCCCTTTCCGCGCAAAGCCGAGGTGACCCTTTAAAAAACATGCCTTCTGTTTCAATCTTTGTCTAACAGTCTGCTCAACTGCTTTTCATTCCCTGGGATTGAGTTAAATTAAAGGTCAGCATGACCATAAACATCTGTCGTAAAATGACCAGATCTAAATAAACCTCAAGTGCAATGCAAACTAAACTGCTCGTCTATAATCTAAACTAAAATAATATAACTTAATAGTCCAGTGTTAATCTATGCTGTGAAATCGACGTTAAGGTATTCTGCTTCAAAACCATACACCAACATAATTTATATAATTCTAGTTTCTAGTCTAACATAGAACGGCACGCCCGTGCACGCATGTACCTTCGTGACGCTATCACACAATAACCAGCGCTACTCTCGATATATATCTATGGTCACATTTACGCCCAGGTAACATAACGCAAAACTTCTCAGGCATCAGTACATTCACTGCCCTTTCCCTAAAAGCAGCAGATATCCCTCCATAAAACCGGTTAAAAATACAAAAGGAAAACATTCAAATAATTCCTGTCCCAATTTTGCTTTTACTTGCAATTTTAATTTTATTGGCAGTAGTTTTATGAAATGAATCACGTAACATATACTATGGTTTCAGCAGTTCTACTCACTTGTTGTTTTGTTTGTTTAGTTTCCTTAGAGACTCCATGTGAATTAAGTGCTGACTAATGCACTGTACTTTTCATTTTCAAATATGTGTGAAAATCACGTCGTTTTCCTCGTATTTAACCGTCCCTCCGAGCACTCATGACCATTACCCAATGATTTCATTTGCAGCAATATATGCTCAAAGGTCATAAACAAACGGACAGTTTCGTTTTCAAAAAATACGATGGAAAGGATTGGCAGGACGTGGTCCTATCAGACACATATGTTACCATATCGCTATCACACATGTGGATAAGGTTCTTCCCATGGTGCATGATAGTTCACATGCTCTAAGTGGGTGGAACGCTGCCCCTGGGAAAGTACACCCAGAGGCTAGTATGGTAGGCACACATTGTAGGCTTACGGGTTCTTTTCTGTCTTCTTTTCTACAGATGTGACTGTCCTTCTTTCGTTAACCTTTTTCCTAAATATGGTATCCGAGACAATGCCTCCAACCTCTGAAAGGCCGCTCATAGGTAACACAACAGGAGAGCCTGTCGATATACTTACACCTCCTGTAGACAACGAGAGCTTCTCATTGGACCGCTGTAGCTCATAGAACACCGGCCAGCAGGACGGCTGTTGACTGGAGTCCATCACGTATTTTCCATGAGCTCTCTTGCCTATTACTCCTTAGGTTGAGGTAGAAAGCATCCAGAAATAACACTCCGACAGTTGCCTGTGTGTCCGCTGAAGTCACCCCTTGTGTCTTAAGCTAAGAGGGTTAAACCAGTAAATACAGTTAATTCAAGTGCGTTACTCCGAGCTTTGTTTTTAATGAAAAACAATTACATCTCGGTCATTTTTTTTTTGTCAACGAGCTACTTAACGTTATCAACGGAAACGTAAAACTTTTTTTACTACACCTTAAAAACACTCTTGTTTGAGTGCATTTATTTTGGCTTGCGGAAGACGGGTACTGATTATTAACGTATTCGAAAATAGAAGGCTGGGACACAGTGCGAAATCACACAGGCAAACGGACAGTTTTACACTGGAGTTGACATCATGTTGCAAAATGATAACACTTGCTTTCCTTGATTTTTGATTTGTATTAAGCAGGCGGTATCGCTCACGATTGCCTTACGTATGTAAAGCGAACCTTCCATTCGCTCTCTTGAATTTGGTTTGCTTGTTGATCGTACAGCAAATTTGAATGCTAGAGTAGTGGATGCTTTCCAGTAATGGTATTGAAGCCAGCAAAACCTTATTGACTTGCAGATTCATAAGGCAACTAGGCAACTTTCTCGCGTGATTTCGCCGTAACAAATTCAAAATAAAATGACCGTATGATTTGAGATTGTTTTAAGTTTCATTGAACAACATGTGTGCAGGTTACTTAAGTCAAACTAATGGGTGGGTCACTTACTAATTACATTCAGTCTGCAAATGGCATTATTGTTGCGCGTGGTCTTAAGTTTCTCTCAGACACAAAAATATTTTTTGAGTTAACATACTTCATAACATTCGTCGTATAGTGAGATAATAGATAGGGAACACAAAAACAAAAACGCTAGCTTCTTCAGACAACACTACAAGCAATCGGTCTGTTGAAACGTTTCTGAAAAGATTCAATCATACAGACCAAAAATTTAAATGGTCGGAATAAATAAAAAAGCACCTAAAATTGAACTAAATACATACTTGTTGCCATCGTAGGTTGCATGCTTTGTTTCTTCACGCCTCCCATTGTAGTTCAAAATTCTGCCATAAAACACAAGGAAGCATCCCCTGTGTATGACCGGTAGAAGGATCGAATACAATCGCGAGGACACTGTACCTTCTCGTCGATTACTATCTTCTTTGTTTTAACACCCTCCGGCAACAATTAAACATAACCATTGATCTAAATTTATCCTGGTTTATTCAAAATTTAAATAGCACGTCCGTCGGTTCAAATTTTTTTGCCCATGTCCTGACGCCCGGTCAAAATAAAAGCAAATCCGGTGAGAGGACAGTCGCGGGCATCGCGTTAAAAACCCTATTTTGGCGACTCACTCCATTTTTTTAAAACTTGTAATGCAATAAACGCTATCTGGCGAAATTGCCTTTATTCCCTAGAATAACAAACTATTCGTCTGCTGCTTTATTGCGGTGCACTGTCCTCGCGTTTCTCAGATGTATCCTTGTGCTTGCTGAGAACGTGTTTGCTACTTGGATCGCAGAGGGATCAGAACTGAATCGTTCAACGCAATATCATCTAACACCCCAAATCTACATCCCAAACCTTTCTTAGGTGATGAGCTGACAATGTGCCGTTTCACAAAAATATTCCTTATGAAGTGAAGACTAAATTCGAACATGCTCAAAATTTTCATCATACTTGTAATATCTTGCTGTGTAAATTTCCAAAATTTGTTTTTCTTTATTTTGTGTACTTTCACAATGCCATTACCCGGCGTCGGGCCAGTGGGATTAACTTTTCACCTGTCTCACATTTTTGTGTGACGTTATTGTGATGATTCTGGTTCATTTTGCTCAATTCAGTACGAACTGCTTCAGATTCATTTAAACTCTTTTCACTTAAGTTGTAACAAGACATCGTTTTATTGCGCATTAAATATTTTTGGCTGCATACAAGTAGCTTCAGTTGTGTAGCGTTAAATTTTGCGTGCGGTTCAGAACATCACGGCAGAAACCTAGATACTCTGAGCAGTATTGAATATATTCTTGCATAGCCTTCATCATATTTCAGGCGTGATGCCATCCAGCAAATGCCTGCCTGATCGTAAGCGACCAAGCTAATACCAGAAATATGCGTGTTCCGTAAACGCCCAATTTAAACAGGATGTAAGAATGCAAGGCTCTTTCGCGTTTCTTGCAAGCGTGCTAGGCTTTATATTCCAAAATTATAAATCCAATATCTTAAACTGACCTTTATAAAACATATTTTAACTAATTATTTTTTTCTTTTGAACGAAAAGCAGTTAAACCGTGGTTCTCTATGAATTAGGCAGACATTTGTTAAACTTGGTCAACCGAGTTCTCTCGCGAGCAGAGTTCTCTCTGAAGCATTATAGTATGACGGCTTTCCGACGTTCTGGCTGAAATTATTTCACTGAAAAGTAACACATTACAAAGAGGCCATCGGTGATGTATCTCTCATTCTCAAACTCATCTATAATTTACTTCCCATCTTGTAACCAGAGGCTTGACGCCAACATTCGCCGGGAAACTGTCGTACTAGTTCAGTAAGCACTAACTCCCCATATTACGACCTTTCTAACCGTCCTCCCTGGCATAAGGTGTCCCATGTCTTAGAGCTGAGTGACTTCGAAAGTTTCTTTTGACAGCCAGTGTGAAGGGAGAGTTCCATCATAAAAGATTTTCCGCTTCTTAATAATTTATCAAAAATATTCTTGCACAGTCATAATCACTGTGTGCTTACAATCTGTTTACAAAATGGTTTGGGTTAATTTGCCAACCCAGAGATCCTTTTTCTGTATTTTTTCTAAAGTGATTTGGTTTACCGTGTTGGTGATGAACGCTCCGGATCACCCTGGCCTGTAATTTATGTAGTCTAATACTGTTTTATTTTACAGATTATAATCTACTCTCATTCCCTGCATCCTTTTCATCCATCTCATCAGGGCCGGAGTCTGGAAACCAGAATACCCGTGTATTAAAGATGGCATTTATCTTCCTTACAGATTTCTTCCAGAGGGATCACATTGTTTAATTTAGTTCAGTGCTTACACATGTTTTATTTTAAAGCTTAGCTCATATTAGATTACAACATCAAGTAAATTCAAACTGATTTTTTCTTAAAAGTACATTTATTAAGTTAGGCCTTAAAAATCACCTACGCAGTAGCTTACACAAGACTCCTTACTTGATAAACCATAACATATTGGGTTACTTCACAGAGTCATTTGACCGTAAGTATTGGGTCACGCAAACTCTCGCGCCTAATTTAAAGAAAATATGGCTTTTGCTAGTCGGCGTCTGTCTTGACCAACACAAACAACGGTCCTAATATTGAATCTGACTGTTTCAGGAGTCACCATTCTGCTCTCACTTACGGTGTTTCATAACCTTGTCGCCGACGCTCTGCCCCAAGTGTCCGATGCTATGCCTGTGCTAGGTAGCACAAGTCCACTGAAATAGCTCTAGCTTGCTACCCACACAGGTCCATCCTCACCAACACGCAGCACACGCCGTGCACATTAGACAAATCACAAAACGTAAATTGTCACGAATGCAAGCAAGGTTGCACATGCCTAGCGACACACAGGGAAGCAACCCATTTCAACGCATTGTGAGAGTTATGTTTAAAAAGTGGCATGCCCTTTTCCATCACACCGTTTGTTGTGTTTCCAATGATTCCCCTAAAACTTCATTAAGTCGCCCTATAACATTTTCAGTGTCATTTTCCTCCGTATACGGAAAACAGCAGCTAACACAGTCTCAGCGTGTGGATGGGCTTGTGTGGCTCTCTGCGGCGTCCTTCTCTCTGGCCGCTTGTAGGATTGCAATCGCTGCGGTAGCAACGCGGTAGCGTGCATGAGTTGGAGAAACCTCGTGTAGCTCATTCAGATTCTCCTTCCGATTGATCGCGCTGTGTAGACTTCGGGCAAGACTTTTGTCCAATAAATGCCCCTTCATTAGATAGCCTTGGTGCGAGCGTCGTGTCTAAGATGAAGCTTCTTTTCAGACCCTTCATTTCGGACCAAACCAAGTAATGGTTTTTAGTTAGGCTTGCAGTGATGCGCGAAGAAGCTTTCGGCCAAGGGACCTTATTCAGGAATGGTCAGACATGTTTGATGCCTTATGTCTTTGACTCCGGTGACTCGGGTGGATGCTTTTTGTTCCAGGCGTCACTATTCTGCTGTCTCTGTCAGTATTTTCCCTCATGATTGCTGAGTGCCTGCCGCAGACGTCTGAGGCTATACCTCTCCTAGGTCAGGTGGCTTGGTCAGGCGTTTAGTATCGGTTCTAGATTCGTGAATTGAATAAAGTTATTTAACGTTACACTCGTTTCAAAGCCTTGATATCCAATGTTTCCAGTTAAAGCTCATGTCACCACAATGCTCCTCAAAAAGAGCTTAATGGCGCTTTAGGAGACTTCTATATTAATATGCCAAGGGTGAACTTGTTTTTAAATGGCATGTGGCGGTGTGCTTTTTCTGGTAAAACATATCAACTGGTTCGTGTCGCAGTTATTCAAAAATAAGCTAATTAAATTTCTATCTTGTGAATGAACACAAAGTTTTCCTATTTTAAAAAGTCACAGGCGATATCTTTGCCATTAAAAATACAAATTTTCGTGCCTATAGTACTCAATTGAACCACGTTTGGCCCTTGGCCTCAAACCACTGGCAGTTTAAAAAGCTGTTTTTCCGGAGAGGCCTGCGACTAGAACAAAGTCTCAGGCTCCGTTTTCCAATCTGCATCTGTCTATGTCTTCTTTGTCTGTCTGTACCTTTATCCACGGCCTTTTATATTCACGTGTTTGGTCCATTTCTGATCAACCGTTCCTCGTCCTTGACCTGCTATGCTTTCCTAAAAGTATCTCTCTTTTTGCCTTCTGAAAATGTGTGTTTGTGACTTCAGTCGCAGGAGCCTCTAAAGTTCGACTGTTTTTTTGGTAAACGGCAACAACATAAATCCTTTTAGAAAAGCTATCTTGGTATTTTTGTAATGGACTCATTTTGAATAGAAGCTTAAAATTGTAGCCAGAGTTTTCCAATTTAGAGGTTCTTCGACTACCTTCTTTTATAGTCGGTAACTAACAATGCGAGTGAGTGTGAATGCACATTGCTCAGGCATGTGTGATGTAGCTCTCCTAACCAACGATGTTTTGCTCGGTGCCTAAATGCCAAACCATCTGAATAATTATCTTTTGCCTATGCTGTTAACTATGAATTTGTCCTAACTATTTCTGTGCTGAATATGTGTTAATTCTGTTGCAGAATGACGTGGATGGATTCTATTTGTCATTTTCGCAAAACTAATTAATGCGTTCCTTGCAGCTGAATTGATTCTGAAACAAGTGTTGGTACCCTTCTTGCACCCTGTTCCCAATACCTGTCTCCACTTCCTTTCCATACACCAGCTATGCACCACCACAACAAAACATTACTAAACCGACCTGTCTAACATGGCACCGTATCTTAACAAACGATTGAAAAGGCCTGCGTTGAACGCGCCGTTGAATTCGGTGCCCGAAGTGCCTGCCGTGACGTCACTGCGGGCATGCGGCTTGAATTCACAGGCGAGTGTTCGCGTTGCCGTGGTTACTCCACTGCAATGCGACCCACGTGTTCTCAGGCGACCTGGTTTTGGGATGAAGCCCCTCTGCCTCCAAGTAACAAATGGATACGCTTAAGATAAACTACGTTTTTCTAATTAGATACTTAAGCTAAACGTAAGCTAAAGTTTGAGCAATGGTGTGAATGCGGCGTTTACTCGGCCTCTTTCGGATAGATTTTTTTGTCACTCGTTAAGTTGCTTTCTTTTCCAACTTCCCGTTTGTTTACAAAAGTGTTTGTAATATTTTATTCGTGATTTTCACCGTGAGCATTTCACTCATTCGGTGCGATACGCGCGTCTCAAAGAAATCTATCTGAAACATATCACATCTGTACACTCATTTCGTATTTATCGCGAAAGAAATTGCTTTTAGTGTAATATGTAATGACATCACTACGAGAAGTCAATAGCGTTGATCTTCGACCTCCTACTGGTTTACAATTTAGTTCTACAAATAGTTAAGTGCATTAACGTAACAAGGTATCAACCATGATACGTCGCACCGTGTGGTTCTCCTAGATGTGTTTGACTACAGCTATAGAACATTTGCCGAAATATTCATTCACTTTCTGACTGTACACAAGCATTTCGTGCACCTAAGCACTCACATAAATGGAAAATGTTTTTAAGTTCTAGCAACAGCTAGGAGACCACTCACACTGCATGCAAAACATTATCACTTTTACATTGTAGTTTGGTTATACCGCTTTGGTGAGTTTTTGTGTCAAATGCACTATATCTCGTGATTTTTCTTTGGAAAAAGAGCAGAGATGTGCTGCGTCACAGATTCGCTATCACCACATTTAAGTGTTTAGAATTTAAATTTATATTTGACTGATTAAATAATAAGACATACTTTTAACTAAAAAGCAGTCCCAGGGATTTTATTTATTTTTAACCTGTTTCTTCCCTTTTATTTCTCTATTCTCCCTCGTTTTTCGTGCTTTTATTTTGTTACAGTGAAGTCTTCCAAGTCCAGTTTCTCCCTCCCTGGGCTTTAAGATAACTTCTTAAGATTTTTAAGAATTCCTGTGCTAGCGCAGGCTATTTACCCGAGAGCTAAATATATTTTATTGACTAACTCCAGACACTCAGTTTTGTTTGAATATTTTGTCGTTTGTGAGTGCAAAACCGGGATTTAAAAGAGATAATTTGTGCCCCTTCCTTTGTGACACACTCCTTTGCGTTTGTACTAATAATGTTAAATGTGATGACAGGTACTTACTTCAACTGCATCATGTTCATGGTGGCATCGTCAGTAGTCTCAACAATCCTTATTCTTAACTACCACCATCGCAGTGCGGATACACACGAAATGTCTCCCTGGGTAAGACCTATTTGTTTTAATCGAAAATTGGCTTAACATTTTTGTGCGGTACCACACTGCAAATCCGATGGTAAGTTTGCTTGCCACAAAAGTGGCAAGCCGTTTTGAATGCCAAAATTTGGCAAGCTTTGGTCGGAAATCTTCATAAAGCTTGCCAAATTTTGGCGAGCTGGGGGCAATCAAAACGGCTTGCCACTTTTGTGGCAAGCAAACTTTACCACTGGCTTTGCAGTGCAAACTTTTGTCAAAACGACTTTTGGTTACAGTTGAGAGGTTAAGGCGGGTCCTTAGTTTGACTTGTTTTAATGATTCTCTGCATCGTCTAAATGCTTTACGAATAGAGCTATGTTTTTTTGTTGTTTTTTTTCAATTTACTAATGTTCCGTTGCTCCTTGCAGGTGCGATGCCTGTTCCTCCAGTGGCTGCCCTGCATTCTTAGAATGTCCAGACCGGTGCCCGAGAACGAGGCCGGTGGTTCCCCCGGCTCGAGGAAGTCACCGCAGAGCCTGGAGCTCAAGGAGCGCTCGTCGAAGAGCTTGCTGGCCAACGTGCTGGACATCGACGACGACTTCCGGCATCACGGCACACTGCAAGGCCACCCTATGGTGAGTGTGGAAGCTCTGCGCTTGCAGACTGAGTCGCGCTGTCTCTCTCGCACTTACACCGGAGGCTCCATGGCTGCGAGAGAGACAGTGACGAAACGATCATTCGGAATCAGGTGGCTGACTGGACGGTCCGCGTTCACTGCACAGTGGGTCGGAAGACCGGGGGAGGTGGTCAAAATTCTAGACGCGTTTTGAGCTCCAGAGTCGCTACTTGAGACTCGAACCGAACGTGTGACCCCACCAATGGATTGCTCTCCGAACGAGCATTCCATTGGTGGGATCACAAGTTCAGTTCAAATCCTGTTTAGCTACTCTGGAGCTCAAAACGCGTTTAGAATTTTGGCCGCCTCCACCGGTCTTCCGGTCCACTGTGCACTGTCACTTGGTGGGTAGCCCTCAATGCGTTCACCAACGCCACCAAGTGGGGCCTCATGCTTGACGGGTCCGTTGTTGGAAGTCCAGCCTTGAGACCATCTTGACGTGCTCGTGCTTTGCAGTCGTCTGGCGTGCCGGGGACGGGGTACCTGCGGCACGCCGATGACGGAGCCGCCGGGGGCACGCTGCTGCACCACGCCGCGGCGGCCGCGGCAGGGGCAGGCTGTCTAGGCCCGCACCGCGAGCTCACCCTGATCCTCAAGGAGCTGCACCACATCACGGACAAGCTGCGCAAGACGGACGAGGCGGAGGAGATCACCAACGACTGGAAGTTTGCCGCCATGGTGGTGGACCGCCTGTGCCTCTTCATCTTCACGCTCTTCACCGTCATCGCCACCATCGCCGTGCTCTTCTCCGCGCCGCACATCATCGTGACGTGAAGTCGTTGTTGTTGTTGCTGTTGTTGTTGTGCGGGGCACTCGGTGTCCGTCGGCGCCGCGCGTGAGGAGCTGGTCTCCAGAGCCGCGGGGCCCGAGGCCGTGAACGGCAGCCATGCCTGCCAACCCGTTTCGACCAAAGACTGGGCCAATCAGAGCAAGGCAAATGGCGAGTCTGTAACTCAATTTTATTCATTAAGAGGAAAGAGGAAATGTGTCACATTACGAGTTTGTTTGTGCAATTGTCCCTTTTGTTTATCAATTGATTGTTGTTTGACAAAGTGTTTATTTGGTCTGTGATTAATTAGCTGCCAATCGAGAGTCGAGACGTGGCTACTCATGACACGAGCGGCAGGTAGTTGGTCACAGGTTGACAATGAGGTCCTGGGCCGGTGCGCTTAAATTTAATTTAAACAAGGCACGCAACGCTTTTTCGCCGCGGCTATGTGCGCGCTACACTGATAGAAAATTTGTCACACTGTTTTTCTTATTTGTGTGTTATCTTTTTGCGCTTTTGTTGGATTATCTTTCTTATCCTGCGCTGGAGAACGCAGCGCTTTGCGTAATCGTGACACGTTTTCTACAGTGTGGTTCAGGTGAGGTGAAATACTTTCCGTCGAATTCCATACTACTATTCCGAATGACCAATAGCACTGGTAGTACTCATCTAAACTCACAGAAAGAAAACCAAAAATCCGTCCGTAACTGCTAGTGATTCCCAGCATACAGCATTAAGCACGTTTCTGTAGGGGTGTGTTCGAACGCCAAAGGGTGGCTTCGAGGCTGGGCTGAGTAAGACTGATCAGAAATCTTGTGAATGTAAACAAATTTCTCATCCGAGTCATTTTTATTTTCACACATTTTGAAAAGCTCTCTTCAATGCCGCTGGCCGCCCTTGCCCTGGCTCTTGCTCTTCCCTACTTAAAGTGATTAACTGCGTAAGCTGAAAAGTGCTGGCAGGGGTTCAGATTGATAAAACAACTTCGAGTCGAACCTCAACCAATCGCCAGGCCGACATCGCCCCATCGCGAAATAGCGGAGCGTGCACTAAATTGAATGAAAAAAAAAGATTTGTAAATTATTCAAATCGTTCTCAATATGCAATGTGATTCTCTCTGAGTTCGGGTCGGGCGCCTTTCTCATGGCGGGGTGTCACTTGAGTCAACTCTTGAGGTGAGCGGGGTGGTTAGGTGTGAGGCTGACCATCGTTCAACCGTTCAACCTTGACGTAGAGTAGGATCATTAAACATAACGACAAACGGGTGATTCAAGTTTTACATTTTTTTAATAATGGTTTTTTCTTAAATGTTATTTGTATTTTCTTGTTTTTATACTGCTACTGTACATACGGCATTTTCTGGGTTTTCAAAACTACGTTTAGTTCATGTTGTTTATAATGAATTGTTATCAATCGAATTACTCCCAATGTAACAGCCGCATCGATTCGATGACTTTTTAAAAAGTACGTTTTTCATAAAACACTGACGATTATAGTGACCTTTGTATTCGTATGAATACATGTATTTCATAGACTTAGATAGACGTAAACTGTTTGTTGATGGTTATGGTTAAATTGTCTTGTACTTGTAGCTTTAAGATTCAATTGGAATGATGATGGTAGTGAGAAACTGCATTGCTGGATATTTTGAGCGGACTTGGGGGAGCGGGCGCGCCACCCGGCGCTTAAGTATTTTATTGTTGCCAACTGTTGCTCACAGACGTAAACATTATGATAAAGCTTTAACTGTATACGACCAATTCCTGAATAAATCACGTGGTTCGCGGTCGGGAGTGTGGATAACAAGGCAGACGTAGGGAAAGGGATAGTGGCAGTCTTTACCCATAACTTGTGATAAAGTAACTAAATTCTAAACAAACAAACCTAAACTTTTAACTAATCTAACTAATTAAACCAATTCATAATCTAACTCTGATAACTCAACTGTAAAAAAGGCTGCTTCTGTCCTAATTCGTGTTTTCAAATTCCACACGCCACTGCATTCCAAATTATTAAAAAAACAACGACTAAATACCTTCGTATATCCGAATAATTTTTATGTATAAACTGGAATTTTCGCGTTTTGTAAATAATTTTTGTAGTTTGCCTGATTTGTAAAGTAAAAATACTGATGTAGCCGAACTTCGCGGCTAAAATGACTGTGCCTTCTGGCTATAGTTTAGTGCAAAGTCTCACAAAAGCGTTAAACTCGCCATATCTTAACTTTTTGTACTTCTGTGCACAAAGTTGCTCACAACTATGGGCTCCAACCGTGACTCTATAATGTTCCCCCCTTAAGAAATTCCATGGCCGAAACTGGTTATTCTCTCCTAATATACATATTCATTAATCAATTTAAACTGTTGTGATTTTTTTATGGTTAGTTCCCGGGGAGCTGGCCTTCCCGTGGATGGTAGCTGTTGTCTTAAACCGCGTTTGTGAAGCAATTAAAGTTTAAACTCGCATAAACGTTGTGCGTCAGATGATAGGAGTGCTAAATGTCCTGGTTCTTAGGGATTACACTAACGTTTTACGACTCCCCGAAATTCCCCAAAATATATATTTTTGTAATTTACTAACGCCCTTTACAAGGTTCACACTTGCACAAGTGCTTCGCTCTGCCTGCAATGTGGATGTGAAAAAAAGTTATAAAACCGTAATGAGTTAGAAGTAATCCCGGTCTAACTAAAATATCAGGATTAAACGAGGAAGGGCGGTGAGGGTTCCCACGGGGCGCCTTGAGGCGATGCCTTGCGGCGCTGCCTTAAGGCACTGCCTTCAGCTGCCGTTAGCGGCTCTGAGGTGTCCATAAGCGTGGTGCGCCTGCTCTGTGGTCCGCTATGTACATTAAAGCTTGCGCCTAACATAGCGTTAAATGGGAGGGGAACTAGGCTCATGACTCATCATGCCACATCGACCAATTCTACAGTGCTCCTCGCGCATCTTTCTCATACTGCCCGTCCCTTCTAGAAGGGTCCATTTTCCTTCACAGCATAGACGCGGTCTTATCGAGATCCCCCACCCCCTTTCCGCCCTTGACAGAGGAGCTACATGTTGCTCAACCTTGCCCTCTTCATGCTTGTTTCTCTTTAGAATCCAGTTTCGGTTGGATGTAGCCAAGGTTCCTGGTGTGGATTTTCTTAGAATGCACGTCAGGTGTATCTCTAACGCCCTTATACATTCACTGCCTTTTAACCCTTTTAAAATGCGACGGTGTGTGTATATATTATATATGAATCTCCTTTAATTTTTATTCATGGTGGGTCATGACACTTAACCAGCTCATCGTTGTGCTGTTACGTATGGACCGTTAGTGTTCTCGACAACTTAACTCAAACTCAATTCAAAGTTCGATTTATATATTTACGTTTTGTACAGTATGACCTATTTACCAAAAGTTGTTTTCTGCCGTAGCTCTTGTACAGTTTATAACTTTAATCCTGTAAATTCGTAGAAAGATAATGCCTGTTGCCTCGAAGATTGAAAGTGAATGTTGGTTTGGTACGTCGTTTGGCCTTTTAAAAAAGTAACCATTATTTCAAGTCAGTTAATTGTCCTTGATCGCGTAACAAGACTATGCATTTATGAGGGATCTTAGTTTTTGTTAAATTTTCTTTTTAACGCATACAGACTGTACCCTCTGCCAGTCAAAGCCGCCCTACGATTCCGTTTCGAAACGTCATTTCCGCACAAAACACATTCCTCTTAAAAATTGTTTTTGGCCAAACGGTTTCCGTGCCTTCACTCGTAATTTCCGTTTTAATTGATCTCAGATTGAGGGGCGCTCAGAATTTTGTGAGTAGTCTTTTAGAATAGTTCATACAAACTGAAAAAAAGATTGATACAAATATATTTTAACTCAAAACAAAATGGGCTGTCCTGTGAGAACAGATCAGACAATCGGCTGCGGAATGCCTTATGGATTGCGTAGCAAATATTTGACATTAATTTATGAGAGATTTAATGTTTTACGAAATCTAATGTTATTGAGTTAAATAAATCTGTTCAAATTAAATTATAATTTTATAACGGTTGGAAGAGAAAGGATAAATTGAAAGAGTTGCTGGTTAGGTACAGGTTTTCTTGATGTTGAACAGTTTGAGTAACTTTCGAGAGGCATGTGTGCAGCAAAAAGGGTCCTGTGAGTGCTCTTAATGCCTCGACGGCGACCTCCTCGTGACGAATGTTAAGGGGTGTTTCCGGTCAGAAGTATTTTTAGGCCGAAAATATCAACAGTTGGAAAACTAACCCCTTTGCTTTCACAGCATCAACTTCGCTGCCAAAAGTCTGTTAATTTCGATGAATATTCCTCACATTAGGAGGTTTTGCTGCACATGTATGTGGAGCCGTGATACATGTGAAGTCACTCTTGCTTGGTTGCTAAACGCACACAATCGAAACAATTTTAAATGCGTCTTTCAGCATGACTTAGATTCTCCCTGCAAAGCTCGGGTACATTCCTTGTAACATGCTTGACGTGAAATTTGTCGAGACCTTTCGGAGATGGCGTTGGACAGGCTAGTCCTGACTGTGGGCTGGTCATTTCTGAATTCACTGGCGCTCCTTTGCTAGGTTTGTGTTGTCTTGCTATACATTCTGAACACCAGGAACGGTATGATCATCTGGACTGCTACAAAACGCCATTGCAGGATAGTTGGCAAGTGAAACATCCTTCCTTCGAATAGGGGATTTTAATGTCTTCCTAAAGTGGTGGAATTCCTTTCTAAAATTATCTTGCAAATTGCGTTTGTAGTTTACCCTTTTCAATCCTCTTGATCCGTTACCCGCGTTTCTGTACGTTGCCTTCGATTGTTGGTCATACTCTCAAAAGTGTATCTGACATATCTATATTTTCCAAGCTGTTTGAGGAGCTTTCTCTTATAATATCCAATGACTGGATGGTAGAGTTCAAATTTAAATTAGCATTTAACAGGAATTGAAGTCATTCTTTCGGCTGTTTTGGGAAATTGTTTAATTTATCTTCTGTGTCATCGCTCCCTCTTGCTTAAATTCACCACTCATTTACTATTACTTCATTTTAAGGTGGAGAGAATTGTGATGCAATTGACTGAAACGAACTTGATTTAAGACTTTAATTGAATTTGCTTTCCCCACTGTCAACCTATTTGCTTTGAACCACTCTAAATTGAATCCTTCTAATCACTACTTTGCTCTTCATTATCTTTTCATGTCTTTAAATGCGCTCTTTAGGAACTAGTGAGATGTCACTGTCACACTTAGGCCAATGATGCGACTGGCCGTTCTATGGTGCTCCGTGTAGTTAGTATAACCGTCTACCAGACAACTATTTTTCTAAGGCAAACTAATATAGGGCGTCAAATATACCCGCGAGCCAAACGAGGCAGGCGAGCTTCTTCTCCGAACGGGTTTGGGCAGTTTGTAAAATTCGCCGAAATTAGTGTTGATGCATAGGTTCCCCGACAACGAGTTGGAAAACGCGTTTATGTTTAGATGCCACTGAAGACGGCCCTCAGGGCGAGCATGGTTTTACGGTTGAAATTAATCCTCCGGTTCCTTTTTCTACTTATCAATGGGACTTCCTCAGCACGCCATGGAATCTGAACAGTGATTTTCTCTCTTAACTTTTCCCTGCACTTACTTTCCAAGCGGTTAGGTCGAACGAGAGCGCGTGCTCTCTTCTTGTCTAGCTAACTTTAACGAGGGTAAGTCACTGTTGTGAATTACTATTTTCATTAGTTACGTTCGTTTTGTTTCCGCCGTATGAATTATTTTTTACCTGCAATGAAAATTCCTTTGCGACGAAACGTGGTCTTTGCTTTACGTTTCTTTCCATTTCTCGTGTTTGCCTTGAAAAAAGTGATTGTTTGGGACTCAAAGTTAGGTTCTTAGAGTAGGAGATAATACTCCAATTAGCTTATTGTTTCAAGAGCGGTAACTTGTCGTCTCTTTAACGTGTGTACTTAAAATTCTTTTTCCTAAGACATTTACCCCAACCTTCTGAAGACTGAGTCCCTGGCTTACAGCCAAGAACTTTTTCCTATGATTTTAGGGGCAAGTGGAGTGCGGTAGTTTGTAGGGTAGCATAAGCACAGCTCTTACTGCAATAAAAAAGGTTTTCAGTGTCGAGATCAAAGAGCTGTGATTATGCATCCTACTTTCGACCACATAATATTAGGATATTAACATGGTACAGGGGTTAAACAGCTTTTGTTCAAAAAGTAAGAGAACTTAATCCTTATGCAATAAATCGTAAATACGTCTTAATATAACTGGCTATAAACGGAAGGCTTTTCTAATTTAATTCGCTTTTATCAATTAAGCAATACGCGCACCAGTGTGTTCGGGTACTGAAGGTATCCTGAAAAGCATGAGATCTTTGTCAGTACACCTCAGTTTTGTTCTTTGTACACATAATGTCTTATTCTTCGTTTTGAGCAATGTGAATATTTATTGTTTAGGTAAATTCAGGTGATGAAACTTGTTTCTAGTCATTGCTTCTGACGCAATGACTGCAGGTCATTTGCTATGGGCCAACCCTGTAAATGTTAATGATATATTGTATAATCTTAGGTTCGCGTAGTTTTTTTCCTAGGTGCAAGGGGAGATATCTCTCCTATCACCAAAGTCACTATTCATCTTGGAACCTTTGCATCAATCATCCTTAAAGTAGTTGATTTCTTGAAGCCAGGTAGTGAATCATCCTGGATTTTATTATTGATACCTCATCTACTGCCATTGAAATGAAGACACATTTAATGTATCTTATATAATAAAGGGAACCTAGTGCCTTGTGCAGAGAAAGTGAAACAAATGTAAATATCGTGTGTATGATTGTAGTACTACTCAGTGCGAAACTCAAGAAACGACTGGTAGTTTCTCCAAATTTGATTAAACAAAAACAAAAAAAAAAGAAAATGCACCACTTTTTGAGGAGGTTCATACATTTCGGGCAGCATGTCCGGAAGGAACATTGCTGACCTTTCCAATAGTATTGTACATCAAGGCACTCGCTCTGTGTATCTAGATTTGTTTGGCCTGTGAGGCCGGTGGGGCCTCGCTCGACTCGCCTCCCTGAGTTTGATCGTTGACGTCTTGACACCGGGTATTGGACAGTTCTAGTAAACTGAACCCGGGATGGCAGTGGTCGCGTTTTCACACTGCTTTGCAATACAGCATGACTAGAAGCATTTGAATTGAGAAACTACTCTTTGAGTTAATTACCAGCCGTAGAGCCATTTGTGAGACCAATGTGTCCAATCTCTTTCTTTGTGCTGCTCATTGATTTCATTTTTTTCTTTGAAACCCTTTCTTCCCAAGTCGCAGTTTTAGTCTTCCAAACCGCGCTGCGAGCTTTGATTCGCACAGCTGTCCGTTCTCACCCGTTCGAGAACAGAAGTGGCAGGCGGAGCGGTACTGGGGCGGCATCGGTCTGGCCACATTGCTGCCACCTCGGTACCGTTGGCACCGTTTGCTACGAGAGAATGTCATCATTTCCATTTTGAGGAGGGACGAGTCAATATGAGGCGAGAGGCATCGCGTAGAACACGGCGCTACGGTGCCTTTTTTGAAGGATGAGGTTAATTAATTAGCTCATCCAAAATTGTTAAAATTATAATGTACAGATGACATGGTGTTAGTAGATTTTATGAATGCTCATTAATTTATGTGTTGTTTTTTTATTGGAGAGTATTACGAATAAAATATTGTTACTACTGAAAATTATATAATAAAGCATTAAGAATTGCATTTACAACTTCCGGTCCAGATTCAGCCTGTGAAGACTCCACGAATGGTTATCAAACAAAATATTTTTTCTCGGTCCTTTTTTTGTGACACGTGTTTTAGAGTGCAGACAAATTTCGCTTTTGCCTATTCACTCCGCATGGAACTCTCCCGCCTTTCACATCAGTCAAGCCGCATCTGGGACTCAACTCGCTTAGATGGGAACATTCAAAGAGGACGAAAAAAAAGGGAAGTCATCAAAACGACCTCCGCAATCAATCATCCAAATCACTCCACACGCATCATTGCAAATGTTTCATTTCTCCCCCCCCCCCCTCTTTTTCCTCCCCCTCCCCCCTCCCCAGGCAGGCTGCGCCGCGCTGGTCCAGGGCGGTCGATACCTCCGCCATTAGGACTGCAGCCCCACTCCTCTGCTCCCCCCCCCCCCCCCCCCCCCTCCTGCGGCCCCACCCGGCCCCGCCTCCAACCTTCGAACCGAACCGACTGCCAAATGACGCTCTCATTTTTATTTTTTTTTTGAAAAACGAATCCCGATGGGAGGTCTGTTGATTAGCATGGCGTTGGTTCCGGTCCCATCGCGAGAGTCGAGACTTGTTATACTGCGGTTCTACTTACATTCCAGACAACGCCCCTCTCAACTACACTTAAAAAAGAAAAAATCGCGAGACACTATTTTTACGCGCTTTGAACGGTCTGCATCCGTCAACTCAAATCCTCCTGGGGAAAAAGTTTGTCGCTAAATGGACCCCTGGCGCTGTGGGGAGGATCAGGGACGGTCCGACGGCGTCCCTGGCGTCGGCCACGGCTTCGGCCACGGGTACGAAAAAGGTTGGGGTTCGTAAGTCGCGAATGTTGGGAACGGGCGAAACTCGGTGAACAGGGGATGCACAGCCAACGGGAGCAAGGGTCCAAAACGGGTGGAAAATGACGTTCAAGGAGAGGGAAGGGGGGAGAGAGAGAGAGAGAGAGAGAGAGAGAGAGAGAGAGAGAGAGAGAGAGAGAGAAAGAGGGAGGGTAAATACGGGCCGCGAAAGGAGGGACAAAAAGAAAGGAAAGCGACAAAGGGCAGACAGAGATGCAGATAGGGGTGGGGGTGCCCGGCTAGCCCGGCTGGCCCGGCGTGGCCACCCACAGGGCGGGCTGGGCTGGGCGGGCGGCGCAGCGGGGCGCCTAGCCGCGCCTGGCAGCCAGCACGCTTCAGTACTGCCTGCGCCCGACTGCGCTGTGGATCGGGCCGGGCACAGCGCGCTCCGGCCCAGTCTATGAGACGCACCATGGCGACGTGAGGGGGCCAGTGTCGAGAGGGGGGTGGGAGGGGGTACCCGATCGGTACCCGATTGGATACGAAGGATACCAGCACCATGAGGATACTTCCCAGCGCGCAGGCATGGCTCGTGGCCGTGACCTGCCTCGTCCTGGCACCGCTGCTGGGTACGTATTTTGGTATTTTGGCTCGGGGGCCTTGTGTACTCGGCTCGGGTGGTGGTTTGCGTACTGGTACCCGGTGTGGAATGGTCTGCGGCTTGGCGTGCGGCTTGGCCCGTGGCTTGGCCTGCGTCCCACACTGCAGGCACGGTTCACCTGGGGCTGCTCCCTGGAGCTCCCTGGTGGGGTTAGGTTGGCCCACCCCGCCTCGCAGCGCCACGGTGCTTCTCTCCGTGCAGCTCCAGCCTCGGGAACCCTGGCGACGTCTTATCTGTGTCACTTAACTGAAACTTGCGATCGGGAGGAGCATGCATGCAACCTTGAGCTCCTGCTGTGCGAAGGGCCTTGGTTTCTCTCTCTCTCTCTCTCTCTTGCTTTTCGCCCGTCCCAGCGCACCCACCCTCACCCCCCGAGTGTTGGTCGGTCGGGGTGCGCGAGGCGAGGGGATTGTTGGGGGTGGCGCAGCCTGTTTATTTTGATTTGCATGTGTTCTTTGCCGTTGACCTGAAAAGCCCTGCTTTCGCCTCATACTCCCCCTTCATCTCAGTTTTCGAGGGCCTGGTTCGGTCCTTCCGTTAGGAGAACATCCGTTTCCACCCATTTCCCGCAATAGTCCCCGTCGACCGAATTAAAAATCAACTCTCCCGGCGCACGCACTGAAAGCAAACCATTATTTTGCTGAGCAGCACTAATTTTTTTCATCATTTTAAGAGGCGAGTGAAGCCGTTTTTAATTGGTCCATCGACCTTGGCAGGTCGTTGAACCTGGACAAACACGAGTTACTTTTCATATTGTAGTTTAAACACGTCGCGTGTTTAAAAAAATTCCCTGGCATTCATAGGTCAATAAATGAAATGAGAGACATTTATTTGTGGACTCCCGACCATGCCTCTTACAACAACAAAAACAAACCCGTTCTAACCTCAAAATCTTTTGCCTCTTTGAGATTCAGTTTGGAGGGAGGGTGGGCGCTTATTCAAGGTCTGTCAAGCAGCTATCTGTCAAAGGGTTTCTTGGCATTCCGTCAATTCTCTATAACCAAAGAAACAGTAATTGAAATTGTCCATATGACTTATGGACAGAACATGGTCCGAGTTTGGGTCTAGTGAGGAAAAGTGGTTTTAGGTCTGCCAATGGGAGGCACCAGAGTGTCATGGTCAGCTCCGCTGGGTGGTATTCCTAGAAGTTAGTGTCGCGTTCTTATGCTGTGTCACCAAATCTCAATCACTCCAGGGCCTTTAGCGTTGAAACGAGTATGCATAGTACCTGAACAATTTTGACATTCACACTCAATTACTACGTGATTTTTTTAGTGAATAGCTTTTGCTCAAAATCGAGTTACGCACAAAGTCGTGCCTTTTATAACGCATGCACAGTTTTGTTCTCGCCAAGCTTCTGCACAAAAAAAAAAAACTTCATAAGTAATTTGGTATGTTGTCACCTTCTAGTGTCCGAGGAGTGCTCCCTTGTCTGTCGTGGCGTGGCACGCGTTGACAGACTGCAGGGGAGTCTTCACCGTCAGTTGGCAAGTCTCGCAGGTGCGCCTAGGCGGCTCGGCACGCGCTCAGTGGGCCAGAAGACCGGCGGAGGCGGACAAAACTCTAGACGCGTTGTGAGCTCCAGAGTCGCTAAGCAGGACTCGAACCGACCGTGTGACCCCACCAATGGAATTCTCGTTCGGAGAGCAATCCATTGGTGGGGTCACACGGTCGGTTCGAGTCCTGCTTAGCGACTCTGCTGCTCCAAACGCGTTTAGAGTTTTGGCCGCCTCCACCGGTCTTCTGGCCCACTGTGACGCGCTCGCGTGCTCGCGTGGTTCCCTGCTATCAGGCTCCCCTCTTGACTTCCGCTCGTCCCGAATGAAATGATGAATTCACTTTTCTCGCTTTCACTTACCTGGAGGACTGCATGCCATCGTCGAGACTCAAGCGACCACCAACCAAAACAAACGTGACCGAGGGAGCACAGAAAATTCAAAATGATGCCAGCGTGATCTCAAAATGAACCAAAGTGTTAAATTTGGTACGATTTGCCGTCAAAATGACTTCACTTGCCGTCATTTTGACTCCCTGGTCTCAAGACAGTGGGCCGGAAGAACGCTGGAGGCGACCAAAGTTCTAGACGCGTTTTGAGCTACAGGGTCCCTAAATTGGACTCGAACAGAACGTGTGACCCCATCAATGGATTAATCTCCCAACGAGGAATCCGTTCTGTTCGAGTCCCATTGAGCGACTCTGGAGCTCGTAAAGCTTCCAGAGTTTTGGCCGCCTCCACCGGTCTTCTGGCCCACTGCGCCAAGGTGTCTTTCGAACTTGATGTGGTTGGTTGAAGACCCGTTCTGTTGGCATCCTAATCTTCAGTGGGGAACACGAGCAGTGTCCGCGTAATCCTAGTCCTGGATTAAATTTAAATATGCTTTGCCAGTTTGTAAATTAGACACCCGGCGACGCGCCGAGAAGTTGGTAATGAGAATCTGATTTTGACACTCCCCCGGCCCCAGGGTGCCCCAGCACGAAATTCCTTTCCAAAGACAGCCGACAGCTGAGTATTGGCGTTTCTTGCCAATTTAGCAGAGCTACTATCCCGACTCTGTCACTTTTAGTCGGTTGGAGGAGTTTGTCGGGGGAACATATATTGAAAAGCTCCGGGACTTGGATGCCACGTAGTTGACGCGGCACTGCTTTGGCACTGCCGCTAAATTGACGTCGCTCTTGGCTGTTCTCAAGATTGGATGGCGGAGTCAAACATCCTGCCATGTTGCCGTTGGAATTGTTGCTCAAGACTCCTCAAGCCGATAGGATCTGAAGGCCTGACTTCCACCTGGACAAGAAACATTTGCTCTCATTACAAACGTGTCAATTTTTCGAATTTAAATTTAAAAACAAAATTTAAAAACAATTGTTTTTAGTGGAAGACTCTTTTTTTCTTTCTCCGTTGATCTTATCACGATTGTTTTTAAAGGATAAAATAACAACGGATTTAGCATGAAGGTTACCGCGTTCAAAACAGAACCCTGTTCAAAAGTCTCAACTTCGCTTTCTCGAAATGGTGCGTTCGCAAGAGGTCGCTTGGCGGTGGCTCTGGCGAGGGCCGGTCCCCACGCGGTCCAGGGTTGTGGCGGGGCGTGGCGGGGCGTGGCGGGGCGGGGGGGGCGGGTGGGCTTGTCTCAGGCCGGGTAGCTAGCCTTGTGAGGGCTGTCCCGCGCTGCGTGGTGGGGGATCGATAGCGAGCCCTGCCACGCCCCCTCCCCGCCGCACCCCGCCCCGCCACTCCACACCTTTCACCGCACCCTCGAGCCCCCCACCCCCTGTGCCACGCCCTGCCGGCCGGCCCAGACAGTGTGCGCGCCGCATTGACATGATCGGGATGCCGTCCCTCGTACCTCCGAGGGACCTTGCCTTCCTCAACCATTTCTCCTCCACCGTAACCCTCCCTTCTTCATCCTCTCGCTTCTCCCCTTCCTCCCCTTCAAACGGTCTGCTTTTAACTTCCACTTCTGCCTTTCCCCTGCTGTTATCTTTCAAATCACGGTAAAAACGGTTCCTGGTTTTCCCAGGAACCCCCTGGAAATCGCCTATGTCTTCGCCATGGGGCTCCTGGGAAAACCAGGTACCGTTTTTACCGTGATCTTTGAACGTGCTTTCTTTCTCTTGATTTCCTTGACGGCCTCTTGGACTCTGCTAAGACACGCATGCATGGATGTCCTCTTCCCCGTGTCTCCAATCCCACGTCTGCGAAGGCGAATCCAAAGTTTCCCCACTTAGTGTCGCTGCTCCGTGCCTCCCGTGTTTCCCGCGCTCCGCCTTCGTCAAACACTTTAGGTCGCATTCGAATGCTCTAGGGAGTGGCTACGAACAGTGGTGGGGGTGGCGATCCGAGTGCGTCCCAAGGCGTTCCAAAGGCGTTCCGAAGGCGTTCCGAAGGCGTTCCAAAGGCGTTCTGAAAGACTTCCAAAGGCGTTCTGAAAGACTTCCAAAGGCGTTCTCAAGGAGTTCCAAAGGCGTTCCGAAGGCGTTCCAAAGGCGTTCCAAAGGCGTTCCGAAGACGTTCCGAAGGCGTTCCAAAGGCGTTCCGCCGAAGGCGTTCCTAAGGCGTTCCAAAGACGGTCCTGTCGCGGCCCTTGAGAAATCAGCCCACCGTGGCCCCGAGGCGGTGGCGAACGTGCCCTGTCTGCTTCTGTCTGCGCTTCGCGGCAGCGCCAGCAGACTGATTCCGAGAGTCGTTTTCGTCGCTCTGCCCCTCTCGCGCCCATGCGGGACGCCCTGTGAGTGCGAGGGAGACAGAGCGACGAAAACGGCTCTCGGAATCAGTCTGCAGGGGCAACCAGGGCGACGCACAGTGGGCCAGAGGACCGGGAGGCGGCCAAAACTCTGAACGCGTTTTGAGCTCCAGAGTCGTTAAACAGGACTCGAACCGAACGTGTGACCCCACCAATGGGTGGCTCTCCGAACGATGAATCCATTGGTGGGGTCACACGTTCGGTTCGAGTCCTGTTTAACGACTCTGGTGCTCAAAACGCGTCCGGAGTTTTGGCCGCCTCCACCGGTCTTCTGGCCCACTGTGTGACGGCCAGGTTCCCCAACGGGGTGTGGTGCCACTCTGAGCCGCGGCTTGCGATAAACGACAACCCGGAAGCGGATGCAGATACGGCACGCTCGGCAGCTCATCTATGCCAACACGCCGTCACCTCGTCTATTGCCGCCACAGATCGTTCAAGTGCTGACAAGGAATGTTAACCTGTCAAATCGTTAGCCTTTTTTCGTGATTTTTCTTGCGTTCTTGCTTGTAAGCGCCAGTTTTACCGTAAGCGTAGGGGCCGTCGATACATCACACGGGAAAAAAAGTCCCAGATTTTCCCCGGCACTCCCTGGAAATCGCCAATGTCTTTACTATAGGCTACCTGGGAAAACTGGGAACCGTTTTTGCTATGCATGCCTGGCACCACTTCGTCCTTCGCTTCGTCCTCGCTTCGTCCTCTTCACTATAGACTGTCCAGATTGTCAACGAGTGCGAGAGAGAGAGAGAGAGAGAGAGAGAGAGAGAGAGAGAGAGAGAGACAGACAGACAGACAGACAGACAGACAGACAGAGAGAGAGAGAGAGGAGACAGAGAGAGAGACAGAGAGAGAGAGAGAGAGAGAGAGAGAGAGAGAGAGAGAGAGAGAGAGAGAGAGAGGAGAGAGAGAGAGAAAGAGAGAGAGAAAGAGAGAGTGAGGTATTTTGCGAGCCGTTCCTTGCGAATCCTGGAGGAGCGGGTCTAGCAAAGAGGGGACGACGATTGGACGGCAAAAAAAATGGAAAAAAAGGGAAGCGACCCACATTTTAGAATCTCGCCTTTCTTTTATCTTCCGACGGGTTTTCCTTTTCGTTCCACGAAGGATGAAAATTTCGCCACTGGGGCGGACAATGCGCTCGTTGCTCCGCGGGTTTGTAGTGTAGGAACGAAAAGACTTTTATAGTGTGAGGTGTCTGACTCGTGCTGATTGGGACTATTTTGCTTTCTAAATCTTGCAGTTGGAACACAATTTGAAACATCTTGCAGGCGAGGGTCTGCATTTCCCCCTGGGCTTACCTACCCTCCTCTCTCTAGATACCTCAATGCATACGAGGCACCCTCTCGGCAGTGTTGCCCCGAGGCAGCATTCCCACTGGCCAGTTTTCGAAGGGTTGCCAACCTCAGCCGGCCTACTGAGCGAATGATTTAGCAAAGCACAGTGATGGCGAGATGCAGGCTGGGGTTGGCAACCCTATCAGACACTGCTGGTTCATCGAGGTACATTTATGTGGCAGAACTGCCTCTCGGCACTGTCTCGGTACCCTCTCTGTCCTTCTCTCGGTGCTCCCTCGGTACTCTCAAGGCACTCTCTGGGTACTCTCAAAGCACTCTCTGGGTCTCTCTCGGCACTCTCTGGGTACTCTCTCGGCACTTCCTCGGTACTCCCTCGGCACTCCCTCGGTACTCCCTCGGTACTCCCTCGGTACTCCCTCGGTACTCCCTCGGTACTCCCTCGGTACCCTGAGGGTCCACCACGTGCCTCCGGTCGATAACGCCACGCCCAGCTTCCTCAGCCCCCCGGATGCTGCTACTGCTACCCGTCGCCGTCCCGGCCGTCCCGCTCGGCTCGCTAGAAATTCGTCAAGATCAAACGGACGGGGAGGAGGGGGAAGGGGGCGAACGGAACGTAATGCTCAATAATGCCGTCCGGCCAGCGCTACGGTGTGGGCTCCTCTCCACCCCCACCTCCTCCACCGTAAAAGTTTGAACCGAAGGTGCGGCGTGCAGGGGGGGGGAATCCGCTGGGCTGAACCACATTAATTTCACGGTGACAGAATCTGTTCTGAAAAAAAAAAAGAATTCAGTGAACGCCTGTTCAACAAAATGTCACGTTCGTGTCTGAAATTGGTGGGGCTATGTCACCAGTTTCCTTTAGAACAAAAACGTGACGAAAAGAACGTGACATTTTGTACTGGAACGCGTATCACGACCAGAAGACCGGTACGGCCGAAACTCTAGCCCTAGCAGCTAGAGAGGACCAAAACCGAACATGTGACCCCACCAATGGATCCCCCCTTCGGAGTGCAATCCATTGGTGGGGTCACACTTTCGGTTCGAGACCCATTTCGCGACGCTGGAGCTCAAAACGCGTCCGGGATTTCGACCGCCTCCACCGGTCTTCTGGCCCACTGTGCGGCGTTATGTCTTTCGGCCTGTTTGTTGTTGGCAACTGAGTGATTGTTTTTCGGTGTGCAGGGCTGTGCTCCGAGGACGAGGAACGGCTGGTCCGAGATCTCTTCCGAGGCTACAACAAACTCATCCGACCAGTGCAGAACATGACGCAGAAAGTAGACGTGAGATTCGGGCTGGCCTTCGTGCAGCTTATCAACGTGGTGAGTGCTTTCGAAACTCGGCGGTAGTGTGCGAAGAAATTTGTGCAAGAATAATACGCACTATTTTTTTCATATCCCATTTCTTTTTGTTTTCTGTTTTTGTTTCTTTTTTTCTTATTTTGAGGTACAAATTTAAAAACTTCACATTACGAAGGAAAAATGTCACCGCAATATGTGTTTGCACAAAATTCTTTGTGTTATGAAGTAATGGATTTAGTTTTCTTTGTAAAGCTTTTAGAGTGAGGGGCCTCAAAAGGGGGCTGAAATTAGCCCCAAATTGTTCTCATGACTTTCAAGTTTCAAGTTAGGGGTTCCAATTAGCAGCCGGTTGGGCCGAAGTAAAGAGTTTATCGAGAAATACCGTTGACTTTCTGCAGAGCCCCTGTTGGGTAGGCTGTACCGCACTGCACCTCTGTCGCGTATTGCCTACCTCACAGGCGCCTGTGGGGTCGGCTGTACCGCATTGCACCTCTGTCACGTATTGCCTACCTCACAGGCGCCTGTGGGGTCGGCTGTACCGCATTGCACCTCTGTCACGTATTGCCTACCTCACAGGCGTCAGAGCAAAGCCAAAGAGTAGACAGAAAAAAAATGTCCTTTCCGTCATTTGAATATCATTACAAAGTGTTTCTAACTGATCTCTTCTGTGTGTCCCCAGAATGAAAAGAACCAAATTATGAAATCGAATGTATGGTTGAGATTGGTGAGTATTTCATAAATCGTCGCTCGTTTTTCAGCTCTTTTTTTTTCATTTACCTCAAATCGGACTTTGCAACGTGTTTTTCTTTGCTGCAGGTATGGAGCGATTACCAGCTACAGTGGGACGAGGCAGACTACGGAGGCATAGGAGTATTAAGACTGCCACCCGACAAAGTGTGGAAACCGGACATAGTGCTTTTCAACAAGTGAGTATAAAATGCTGGTATTTGAAAATCATGCATTTGTAAAGAAAATGCTTTTCTTGTAATGAGAAACGCTAAGATCCGAAATCATTTTTTGTGTCTGTTAGCGAGTCTTGTCATTACTGTTTTAATCAAATTTTCTCGGAAAATGTTCTTGATTGTCTCCCACGCATGCGGAACGACTAGTCATTCTTTTTCGTCCAATAAAATTGGTGCAAACGACGTTAAAGCCGCATCTTCACGTTCGCGCGTTCCACGCGGAGCAGTGAGCCAGGCGGCGAAAATCCCGGACGGGTTTTGAGTTCCACAGTCGTTAAATGGGACTCGAACCGAACGTGTGACCCCACCAATGGATTGCTCTCCGAACGAGGAATCCATTTGGTGGGGTCACACGCTCGGTTCGAGTCCTGTTTAGCGACTCTGGAGCTCAAAACGCGTGTAGAGTTTCGGCCGCCAGCTCGGGCCTTCTGGCCCACAGAGTGCAGTGAAGCGCAGCTGCGCCGCGCCGGCCACGGCCGCCAACCTGCCGACTGGCTACGCGGAGTCAGCGCCTCTGTCTCCGCCGCACTCAAGCGGCGTGCCGTTGGAGTGGGAGAGAGACAGAGCGACCGGCAGCCCGCCGTGGCTTACAGTGGAGGGGGCCGACGCTTCTCTCATGCCTCCGCGGCCGCGAGACGTTCGGAGGCGCGCGTTGGCAGGCCTGGCCGGCCTGGCCTGGCCGCGAAGGCGGGAAGGGGATCCGCGGTGTTCCCCGCGTCGAGTCCCGGCCGGCGTCTCTTATCCACTCGCGGCCCGCGCAGCTGGGGCCCGCTCTATCTACCCATCCATCTCCGCGGGCCTGCCGCGGCGCGGGAAGTTCGAAACCGCGACTGACGCTCAGTGGGCCAGAAGACCGGTGGAGCGGCCAAAATTCGAGACGCGTTTTGAGCTCCAGAGTCGCTAAATGGGACTCGAATCGAACGTGTGACCCCATCAATGGATTGCTCTCCGAACGAGGAATCCATTGGTGGGGTCACACGTTCGGTTCGAGCCTTATTTAGCGACGCTGGAGCTCAAAACGCGTCCAGAGATTTGGCCGCTTACACCGGTCTTCTGGCCGGCCCACTGTGGCGCAGCTGGGCTGGGTCCGCTCTATCTACCCATCCATCTACGCGGGCCGGGCGGCCTGCCGCGGCGCGGGAAGTTCGAAACCGCGACTGACGGCTTGCTTGTGTTGCAGCGCCGACGGCAACTACGAGGTGCGCTACAAGTCCAACGTGCTCATCTACCCCAACGGCGAGGTCCTGTGGGTGCCGCCCGCCATCTACCAGGTGAGTGCCAGAGACGCGTTTTGAGCTCCGCAGTCGCGAAGCATGACCTGAACCGAACATGTGGCTCCACCAATGGATTCCTCGTTCGGAGAGCAATCCATTGGTGGGGTCACACTTTCGGTTCGAGTCCCATTTAGCGACTCTGGAGCTCAAAAAATGCCTCCGAGGTTTTGACCGGCCCACTGTGCAAGACCCTTGTTCTGACCGCCTCCTCCTCCGCAGAGCTCGTGCACCATCGACGTGACGTACTTCCCCTTCGACCAGCAGACCTGCATCATGAAGTTCGGGTCGTGGACGTTCAACGGCGACCAGGTGTCGCTGGCGCTCTACAACAACAAGAACTTCGTGGACTTGTCGGACTACTGGAAGTCGGGCACGTGGGACATCATCGAGGTGCCGGCGTACCTGAACGTGTACACGGACGAGCAGAAGCGGCACCCCACCGAGACGGACATCACCTTCTACATCATCATCCGGAGGAAGACCCTGTTCTACACGGTCAACTTGATCCTCCCCACCGTGCTCATCTCCTTCCTCTGCGTCCTCGTCTTCTACCTGCCCGCCGAGGCCGGCGAGAAAGTCACGCTCGGAATCAGTATCCTGCTGTCACTGGTTGTGTTCCTGCTGCTCGTGAGTAAGATCCTGCCGCCGACGTCGCTGGTGCTGCCGCTCATCGCCAAGTACCTGCTCTTCACCTTCATCATGAACACCGTGTCCATCCTGGTGACCGTCATCATCATCAACTGGAACTTCCGAGGGCCGCGCACGCACCGCATGCCGCCGTGGATCCGCACCGTGTTCCTGTACTACCTGCCCATCGTGCTGCTCATGAAGCGGCCCAAGAAGACGCGCCTGCGCTGGATGATGGAGATGCCGGGCATGTCCGCGCCGCCGCACCCGCAGTACGGCTCGCCCGCCGAGCTGCCCAAGCACCTGCAGCCCAGCATGGGCATGGGCATGGGCATGGCGGGCAAGAGCAACACCATGGAGCTCAGCGACCTGCACCACCCCAACTGCAAGATCAACCGCAAGACCAGCGCCGACCTGGCCGTGGGCGGCTCGTCGCTGGGCGGCGGCGTGGCGGGGCTCGGCGCCGGCGGCCGCCGCGAGAGCGAGTCCTCCGACTCGCTGCTGCTCTCGCCGGAGGCCTCCAAGGCCACCGAGGCCGTCGAGTTCATCGCCGAGCACCTGCGCAACGAGGACCAGTACATCCAGGTCAGTGTCGCCAGCAAGCCGACTTTCGGCGTGTGCACGCACACGGCAAAAGCACCGCCTGGGATTCCCAGGCGCATCATGGGAAAAAGGGCCTATTTTCCAGGCACCGCCTGGGAATCCCAGGCGGTACTTTTGCCGTGCAGTGGGCCAGAAGACTGGTGGAGGCGGCCAAAACTCTAAACGCGTTTTGAGCTCCAGAGTCGTTAAATGGGACTCGAACCGACCGTGTGACCCCCACCAATGGATTGCTCTCTGAACGAGGAATCCATTGGTGGGGTCACACGTTCGGTTCGAGTCTTGTTTAGCGACTCTGGAGCTCAAAACCGCTCAAAACGCGTCTAGAGTTTTGGCCGCCTCCACCGGTCCTCTGGCCCACTGTGCGTCGCCCTGGTTGCCCCTGCAGACTGATTCCGAGAGTCGTTTTCGTCGCTCTGTCTCCCTCGCACTCGGTCCTCCCACATGGGTGCGAGAGGTCTTCTGGCCCACTGTGTGCTATGCCCTTGAAGGGCAACGGTTTACGCCCCTGGAACGGTGTGAATCGTTTAATGCCTTTGGAAGGGCATTAAAAAATTTCCTTTAAGTCCTATATTAATTCGCTCCCTTCCCAAGGGCATGGAACGATTCACGCCCTTAAAAGGTGTGAAAGATTTTTTGTGCCCTTAAGGGCGTAGTTTTTATGCCTTTCTTTTACCAGTGCAATTTTTGTGGGAATGTGATTGATTGTGCAAGATTTTTGGCGTAATTGTCGCACATGTTGCCCATTTAGAGTCATTTTTTTCCACCTAAATGTGCAATGTGTTCTAATTTTTGTTGGATGAGTGTAGGAGGTTCACTCCCAATATCCTACTGAGCTTTTTCTTCCTAATACGAACAAAAAGCTTCGTATTATGACTGCACAGCGAAGGTAGTAACATATGGTGAAGAATTCTCAGTATCTTATAACGAACTTCATACACTCTCATTCCAGGAACGTGACATCGCGTTGAAACGAAAGTGACAAAATGCATTGTGTCACATTCGTTTGGGTGTGAATTCGCCAAAAATCAGCTTGGTCACGTTCAAACGAACGTGACACAGCGCTCAAACAAACGTGACATTTTGTCACGTTCGTTTCAACGTGATGTCACGTTCCTGGAATGAGAGTGTAATACGAACAACTCTGTATTATGCCATATTTGTGTCGTAAAGAAACGAGAACTAGCTCAGTATTATGACTGCACGGCATCTTTTCAGTAGGAAATTGGGAGTGTTGTGTCCTCGGTTCTTGCCCTCTTTGGAGGCCGGCTGACTGAGCTACTGACGCTCCCTCGTTTGCAGATCCGCGAGGACTGGAAGTACGTCGCCATGGTGATCGACAGGCTGCAGCTCTACATCTTCTTCCTGGTGACGCTGGCGGGGACGGTGGGCATCCTCATGGACGCGCCGCACATCTTTGAATACGTGGACCAGGACCGTATCATTGAGATATACCGCGGCAAGTGAAGCGACTCTCGAATCGACTCTCGAATCGAATCTCAAACTCTCGAATCGACTCTCGACTCGAGGCACGACAGTGGTCCGAATGCACTCGTCCGGTGCGTTGTTGTTAATTATTGTTGTGTGTGTTATATGTGTTTGTGTTCGTCCACTTTAACTACTCCTCGATGGACCAAAACAAATCTCCTTTCTCTCACTACATATTGTTTAAATTCCCCATGCGGCCGGCTCGAACAAGCGTTTGAAACAGTGTGCAGTCTGTCGTCTCGTCCAACGCGTCCAACGCGTCCAACGCCTGGCCAAGGACCCGCTCAAGCTTTAGAAAGGATTCCGCTCTGTGCCCCTCACTCGCACAAAGACTTTTCAATGATCCCCCCGAGCCGCTCCGGCCAGTTTCAAGAAACGCACAAAATGGTTGCCGTTTGTCGTGCCGTTCGGTGGGACAGGTTGTGTTTTTAGAGAGTTTGAGGAATGTGAGGCGATGACTTGGGAACGGCACGAGTCCCTGTTTTGCTGTGATGCCGAAACGGAGAGGAAACTAGAATGAGGAGAGCAGCCGAGGGACCGTCCATTAATTTCGTGAGGGGCTGTCCACGCATCACGGAAGTCTCTCTCGCTCTCGTCGCTCAGTGGGCCAGAAGACCGGTGGAGGCGGTCAAAATTCTAGACACGTTTTGAACTCCAGAGTCGCTAAATGGGACTCGAACCGAACGGGTGACCCCACCGATGGATTGCTCTCCGAACAAGGAATTCATTGATGGGCTCACACGTTCGGTCCGAGTCCTGTTTAGCGACTCTGGAGCTCAAAACGCGTCTAGAGTTTTGGCTGCCTCCACCGGTCTTCTGGCCCGCTGTGCGTCGGCTCCGTAAGGAGCGACAGGGACAGAGCAATGGAAGATGCTGCGTGATTTGATTTTCCCTCCTCCCTCGAACCACAGGTAAACCTGGCCTTCCCAACCTGGTTCCTCCCCTTCTCTTTTCCCTCATCATCGGCCTGTTACGTCATTTATGGACGGTCCGCGTGTATTATGTCGTCCAATGTCAATTTGCCCGAACACCGCCTCTCTCTTGCTTTCCGAATCACTTTCCCACTTTCCTCCTGCAGAGCAGTGCAGAGCTCTGCAGCACTATTCGTCAATTGTCCCCCTTCCTTTTGCTAAGACTGTCCTGGCTGCACTGCCGCCTGCGCTAACAGTGTGCTGCACTAAGAGTGCCCTGCACTAAGAGTGCCCTGCACTATCAGTGCCCTGCACTATCAGTGCCCTGCACTATCAGTGCCCTGCACTATCAGTGCCCTGCACTATCAGTGCCCTGCACTATCAGTGCCCTGCACTATCAGTGCCCTGCACTATCAGTGCCCTGCACTATCAGTGCCCTGCACTATCAGTGCCCTGCACTATCAGTGCCCTGCACTATCAGTGCCCTGCACTATCAGTGCCCTGCACTGAGAGTACCCTGCACTATCAGTGCCCTGCACTGAGAGTACCCTGCACTGAGAGTGCCCTGCACTTACAGTGCTCTGCACTACCGGGCAGACTGACAAGCTGAGGTGTGGGACCCCGCCTAGCCGAAAGCCGCGCGCCAAAACCAACTTAAACTCTAATTGTAAAAACATTAATGAAAGTAGAATGACTCATGCTATACAGCCTAACTCCTAAATGCAAAATTAAACTCCGGTAAAGAGTTTTTTCTGCTAAAATAATCGCATCTAAATTGAACGTTAAAGCGTAGACCGCGACAATTTAAAAATTTTATTTAAAACGAGTCGACGTAAAACCCGAAAAAAAAGTGTACTTAAAGTCGCACTCATTATCAAAATCACTGCTAAATTTGTCTAAATTATTATCGCTGCAATGCATTATCTAGTAATGTAAAAGTGCTGTGAATGTTGTTGTTGTTTAGTTACTAAAATATGAAAGATGAGAGGGCTGCGGGGGCTGCTTGCGTTTCGCCAACTGTTCTGTCATAATTCGCTGCTGTAAAGACACTCGCCGTGTTATCCGTACCAATAATGCCAACCTCAAATATGTTCTTGTTTTAAAGATGTGTCTTAGTGGCTTTCAATTGCTAGATCCCCACCGCACCTTTTGTTTCAAACTTTCTGACAAAGTCGCCCGAAGCGTGTTCCTATTGAAGGTATCAGAAACTTGTGCAGTCCCTATTGTGGCTGTCGAGCCATCGGTTCAAATTTTCTCACTATGCTTTTGTTGTTATTGTTGTAAATTTGATGTAATCTAGGCGCGGGACAGCTTATAATTAATTATAATTAATTAAAGACCACGCGAAAAAATCTGCTCTGCCTTAAAACCGCATATGTAGAGAGGAACATAAATGGCGAATGGATTGCTTGTGTGTCTGTGAGTGTGTGCGTGCATGTGTGTGCGTGTGTGAGTGAGAGTGAGTGAGAGAGCGAGAGAGATTGCACGGCATCCGAGGGAAGGGGAAGTCCCCGCAAGTGTCTCAGAACACGGTCCTTCTTTTCATATCAACAAATGCATTGCCTCAAAATAGCCTCCAAATTATCGTTCTAGACAATGAGAAAAAAATTTGCCCCATTTACTTGTTGGCGGCGCTTTATTCCAGGGTAAATGTCACAAATCTCCCCGTTGTAAAGGCAAGGCACTGTGAGTCCAAAGTGTGTGTCAAGCGACGTTAAAACAAGCGTGCCCAGCACGCCCGCGTCTATGTAAATAAATAAACAGTTTTAATACAAATAACAATAATAATAACTATTATTCTAACGATAATAACATGCATTAACTTTCTTACATCCAAGTAACCTTTTCAAAGATTAGATTTAAAAAGTTTAAACAAAAAAAATTATTGTAATGGGTATGTCACTGCCAGGCTCCTAGAAAGAGTAGTGAGTGCTCCAAAAGTGTCATTCCACCTGCAAGAGGTGCCCGAGGGAGGGGGCGGCCCTGTGGCATGGCTACGCCGCTGCTACGCCAGGCTACGCCACGGCTCCGCTCCCTCGGACGCAAGAAGGCCTCTATGGCCTCTAGGGGCTCTAGGGCCGCTAGGGGTCCTCAAGGATCAGGGCGGGAGACACACTGTAGACTTAGAGGAAAGTGGGGAACGCCGAAAAAGCACCACCAACCTACTAAAACTAATCATTTTACTTTGTATAGCAGTGATTGAAGTAGATCGGAAAATGTTAATTAATGTCCCATAATTAGCCCCCCTACACGCGAAAACCAAGAACCACGCTTGCACAGAATGGCTGTCAAAATAAACGTACTTACCTCTAGAGGCCCAAAAGATATGCTTCCATTGGCGCACCGTGATGTTCAAATTGGCGACAGCGTTAATTTCGCTGTGGCAATTTAAGCTTAGACTGAGGTATTGATGTATGTGTGTAACACCTTATGGTGGATCTGTACGGCTGGGCCGAGTCTCCCTGTTGCCTTTCAAGTCCTGTTGGTGGGGGCGTTTCTCGTTGTAGTTTTGCCTTTAGTGTGCAGCGGTTCTTGGCTGAGAGATGGAAGTTGATACAGACAATATCGTGTAATACTTTTAAGTCTTTCGGAGCCGGTGAATGATCGGAGAGGGAGGGACTTTTCGGTTCCCCGCGTGAGATAAGCTCAATCTTATGGTGCAATAATCTGTTCACGGTCTTGCAGGGTGACGTTGTACATAAACACTTTATTGGGCTTCTCTAGATGATTTTCGTGCCGTTTACTAATCTCTTTGTTTCGCTCGCGCAAGACCGTGACGAGATTACCGGGGCCCTGTCCGAGGCGAGCGCTTTTTTTTTCCATGTGCCAAAAGTTTAAGGAAACGAAGGAATTTTAGTCGTTTAGTTTGACCTCGCTCGCCCTCGACCCGGCCTATGGCCTCCCCATTTTCCTTGAACATGAACATGGTTAGTATTCGTATAGTAGGGTTACCGTTTCACAAGACTATAAGCAACATGTTTTGTATGTCGTGTAAGGGATAACTAAGGCCGTTTTGTTGTTTTACCAGTGGTGCCAGCCGCATGTGTTGACGGCTTTTTCTGTTTCCTTGGAAGGCATTTGAGAAACTCGTGTTGTTCAAAGCAAGGAAAAACTTATTTTATTAAAAGCTATGGTGAAGACTTCTAGGCTACTTTAGAGTTAATCTGTAACTTATTCAAGAATCTTCGAAGGACGACGCATGCTCGTTGGCACCACTGTTTCTCCAAGTTCCTGTGGCTGTCGGCCTGTCGGGCGGTATGTCAAACCGCTCACAGCGAAAACTTGATTATCGCCCATTTTTCTTTAGTTATCATTTCTCCGTTGTGGGATTTCCTTTCTTGAGTTGCAGTTGTACGCTCGTGAGATGTCAATCAAGTAATCCTTCCCATTCTGCTGCCTTTTAACTTCTCACGTGAATGAAAACAAAAACTCGCTCTTAAGAGGACATCCTACGTGGTAGTAGACAGTGTAACCCTTAAGTTATCCAGTGCTCAAACTACCATAGTAATTAATATATGTAAAGAGAATACCTGGCAGCACACTGGAGATGCCCAGGTGTTCTCTATAATCAACAGTTTTGTATATTTTAACACGCAGAATACCTCCAGTTCTTATGTGTGGGTGGTTGAAACACTCCAGAGGCCTCCAATATTTTCCCACCACTGTTGTAACACTCAGAGTGCTTGCGATGCCGGGACTTTGGCCGATCCGACCAAACTGCGCATTGCTCTGATTTGACTTTTTTTAAGAATAATAAAAGAATAAAACATGACCTCAGTGTTTGTCGTCTGTAGTTGTCATCGGCTGGTGCACAACCCGTTCCAACCAATATTAGTGCATGTTACGCATTTGAAAGACTGGCAGAAAAAAAATCAGGGGGAAATGGGAAAAATGAGTTGCAAACCGTCCTAGGAAGCACTGCTGGTGCATGAGGGCAGCACGAAGGCCTCGACGAAGGCTCACTTTTGTGTGAAGATCTTCGAGCCCACTTCACAGGTGCCCAGAATACATGGAGTCTTGCAAGACTCTTAACGCGTTTTGAGCTCCAGAGTCACTAAACAGGACTCGAATCGAATGTGACCCCACCAATGGATTCCTCGTTTGGAGAGCAATCCAGTGAGGAGGTCACACGTTCGGCACGAGTCCCATTCAGCGACGCTGGAGCTGAAAACCCGTCCGGGATTTTGGCCGCCTCCCGACCTCCTGGCCCACTGAGCGCCTGTGAGGCAGGCACACCCGCCGCACAGCCGTGCTGGCCATGTGGCCTACTCGGCACGGCAACCATTACCATTAAGGGCTAGACCGCCGTCTACCGCCGTCCCGCCCCTGCTCAGGTCGCTCTCAGGGGTGTCGAGCCGACCTTGGCAGAACAAAATGTCAAAGAGAAATCGTTCAAGAGTTGCATTTATTTCTCGCGACTGTACACTTTTCACAGTGCACAATGGCGTTTCAAGTTCCAACTTGATGTCGTTTCGTCGCCCAATCCCTTTCCTCTGTGTGTGCTTGAAAGAAGAATGCGCTCGTTCTTCTGCTGAAAGTGCATCTACTTTTGTGCGGAAATGTGAGGGTGGAGATTTGCCCGCCCCTTGTCGAGAGATTTCCCTCGCCCTTGCCTCTTCCTGCAGACTGACTCCGAGAGTCGTCTTCGTCGCTCTGTCTCTCTCGCACCTGTGCGGGACGCCCCATGAGTGCGAGAGAGACGGAGCGACGAAGACGACTCTCGGAATGAGTCTGCTGGACCAATCAGGGCGCGTTCCTTACTCTTCCTCCCCGCGCTGGACCAACTGCACCGTCAAGGCGCAACCACCCCCTGTACAATTATCATGGAAATTTTCCAATGGAGGGCGAAGTTAAATTGGGGTGTTTTCTCCATTTGCCACTCTGAAGCGACGCGGATCGGCTGCGGTTTTCATCCCGGTCGCCGTCATTCGTATTTCGCGCTGTTTAAGAGGCGTCTGCTAGCCGTAAGGCCGAAAAGGCGGAAATGTAGTTTTCCAGGAAGTCGTTCGCCCAGATCGGCTGGCCGAGTCGGATCGACACTGCACAAACGCAGTCTTGGTTTGCCAGTGGAGGCTCCCCGTGCATCGCGCTTGTCGTGCATCGGGCTCTCTGCAAAACCGAGTAAAAGTCGATAAAAGACTCTTTTGTCGGCCGCACCGTCTGTCACTGTCGTCTGCGCACAACCTTCACTTGTTCGGGGTGGGCGGTGGCGAAAGTTTTCGCTCTAACCCTGCAAAACGGCGATCCGGTTCTGTTCTCCGGTTTTACACTGGCGCGATGACAAAAAGCGCCAACTCAGTTCATAAAATTTGGGCATTCCGACCAATTCTCAGTTCTTTGATGTATCATCGCTTTGGCCAAGTGGAAAGACGCCATCTCAAAGGGGAAACAAACAAACAAAAACATCCAAGACAATATTTTGATAAAACTTCTCACGCGCGATTACGACGATGCCAACTTCAAAACTATAGGTGCTAAAGTCAGTCCGAAGGCCTTCAAAATTACTTTCCGCCGTAAAAGGAAAGTTGGACCGCGGGACGCCTTGTAAAACGGCTCCCGTGTCGAAAATAGCTACAAACACAACCAGTACGGGTAGGGAAAGTTGGCACCACGATGTTGGCAGCAGTTGCATCAGATTAGTTCGTCATCTCATAGTTAGGAAAGATGGCGTCGGAAGATCCACAACGTTGTTACTCAATAAATAGTCTTCAGAAACAATTTTCTGTAAGGGTAAACAAAGTACTATTTCAGTAATTTATTAAGTTCTTCATTTAGAATGGATTCAAGTCGAGTCTGCGCGGGATTGGTGTGACTGTGACTGTTCTGATCGACACCGCCATGTTTTGGTAGTTTTACTCGATATTAAGTTTGAATACAGAATTTGTGTTCAGGAATGAATGTGCCGGGTTGCACCGAGTATTTTAAAGTGTGACTCGCACCCGTGACTCGCTGGCGAGGTGATATATTGGAGGGATCTGCAGCAGACAGCCTCCAAACCTCACTTCGACCAGCAGCCCCTTCAGCCTCTGAGGCCTAGCTGGGCTAAGTATGGTCTTTCACATTTATGACTTTCTGTACGACATCATTGAGGATCTAACGGGCGATGAACAAACAATGGTATGTCGATCTCTTGTGAAAATTCGGAATGCAAGTACATACAATATGTTGAGGCTATTAGCTATGTTGACGCCAATGTTTGTTTTTAATTTTCCTCAACGTTATCTGGCACCTTTAGAGTTTTTTAAATTATATCCACAGCTGATTTATTTTATTAATTTCGTCCGCTAGTTTTTTGCTTCTTCGATTTCGTTCTGCCCTTTTCAGTTTGAAGTCTTGCTTCACATACGTTTGAAACTAGGTAGTGTTTGTTTACTTTTCTCGATTTGCTCGTCTGTATTGAAACTTTGTGTTGGTAGATTAACATGCTGAATCACGAAGCATGTTGAGGCTACATACAGTGCAATGCTGCTTTCATTTATCATCCCTTATTTTGGTGAAAGAATATCATTTGTATGAGGCAAACATAACCTGCGAGGGTTTTGGGATGTTCAGCGGGTCTAATTTTACATGAAATATTAAGCAATTCATAGTGCGCAGTCAACTGTGTGTACAACCCGAATTACAGCAGCCCAAATAACTGTTCAACAAGCCAATCTCTCTGTATATTGTTAATTTCTACACGCTCTCATAACCCTTTTCTTGTAGTTTTAAGAGTGCATTAGAATTGTAGGTCGTAACGGCTTAAAATGTTTGGTTTTACAAATGCTGCATCACATTTGGGTGCAGAAGTGGTAGCTACAGTATTTGTCTTTTCATCAGATATCCTCATGTGTTAATCCTCATAGTACACTTATTTGTTCTTTAGTGGTGTGCAAGTACCTTTCTTGATCAAGTGTCCTCACAGAGAAGTGTCGGTTACATTTTTTCCAATCCTACTAACACCAAAGCTGCTTCGATTTAGAATACCTCCAGCCAGACTGATAAATTTCAGAATAAAGCAGAGGCAGAGGACTTTGCTAGTCCATCTCTCTTGTGAACTAGCTTTACTTCTTCTTTCTTTCATTCTCCTTCTGCAATGCAGCTTTGAGAAACTCATTTTCCATTATTCTTCCAGTGGTAGTGCTGTGGACCCTCTAAATCCAAGTCATGGCGATGAATTTCCTGCCTAATGCCAAGGTAACGTTCCCGCAAATGTTTATGTTGCAAGGAGTTCCCACTAATTTACTTGTTTCATATCGTTGGTGTCACAGGCTTGAAGTTAAGTGGGTGTGGGTGTACAGGCAGTCTTGCAAAAATTACATGACTCCCTGTTGATAATTCAAGTTGTGTTTCCTTTCTCTCTCTCACATTTCCCTTCCTGCATTTCTGTGCTTGGTTTAGTAGTCAACCCTTTAGCGTTCTTATGACACCTGTGCAATATTATGCATCTTTGTGTACATTTGAACCAATTTTTCCCTTTCTTCGTACTGCCTTTACTCTTATCTTCAACGTCTGTCTTAATTCCCTCATGTGCCAAAGTGTGATGAGATATTTGCCTTATGTTCACCTGACCTAACCTATACTTTCCTTGCCAAATTTCCTCGCTGAAATGAATGCAACAAGATCAGTGACATGCATTCATTCAGGGTACTATACTGGCATGAAGTAAGTTCATTGTCTTACATCTGGAGGTTGTTGTCTTGAATTTTTGTGAAAAATTTACATGTTTGTTGGATATCCTGACAAATCTTTTTTTGTGCTACCTGTAACTTGTAACTTGCATGGTTTTATTGCAGTGAATGTGCTGTTTTTTTGCAAGGCTTTTGTGAGTTTGACTCGGTAGATTTAGTTTGTGTTGTCTTTTTTGTGTGGTGTTGCTTTTTGGTAGCCTTGACTGTTGGTGGTTTATCATGAGCATAACATAATTATCTTTAAATCAGTTTTTATTGCAGTTGTTTGTTTTAGCAATTAGTTTATAACAGCATTGCAGCTCCTACCATTGTCATTACAACATTTTCATCCCACTGTGTGTCACAGATCAGTTTTCTTGAATTGAGGGGGCTTACACTTGGCTGTAAATTGCGTAAAAGCCAAATCTTTGCAAAGCTTCATTTTACAAAAAGTATTTTTGCAGTTTAAGGCTTAAAACTTCTTTTTTCCAGTTAACCCTACTCAATGTAAACCAATGGCAATGTTTATTTTATCCCCCTTGCCAATCCAAAGCGAAAAGTTTTTATTCCAGAGGTGTTCAGTCTATTTCAATTGTGCACTGTAAACCAGGTTCTCATTCTTCAAATGCTACATATGAATGTGTTGACCTGCTGTTCTCTATTACTTCATTTTCAACTCTCACTTCCCTTTAAGTATCTCAGCCTCATACTTCTGGGAGCAGAATTAATTTTCTGTAAATGCTATTTATACTACTATGGAACATCTTCATGTTCTTCATTTGGGTCCAGTTACTTAAATTCTGTATTCACCTACAGCAATAAATGCCATTTGTCCTATCCTCGAGTTTCAGTTTCTAATTATTTGTTATTATTTTGTTGCAGCATCTGGAACAGACGCTTTTTGACGCCAATGTAAAATATACAGATAAGATACAAAAATTAACACAAGCATGGACGTTCCTCAAACACAATTGGGGTCGGGTGAGCCAGGTGACCTCACGGGAGCAGGAAGACTATGCCAAGTCACTGATGGGGTAAAGTTTCTTTTCTTTTACTATCTGTCTAATATAACTACTTAAATAACTGACTGATTCCCACTCTTTTTCTTTCAGGAATTCTGTACAGATGTTACTTCGAGCAGAATGGAAAACTGTAGCTGCAGCATTAAAAGGCCACCTGAAAAGGCAGATTGTGGCATTTGCCCAGAATTTAAAATCCAAGGACGAACATCTTGCCTCACGGTGCCATTTAATTTCCCTCCTGTTGGATGATCCATGGGGCGATCAGGTGCTTAAAGACATTCTTCAAGACAAACCTTTTGACGACACTGCAGGTAATTATACCTTATTTTTGAAAGACTTAAAGTGGTACAGAAACATTTTATGAAAACTGTCTTTTGTGTTTTTGCAGCTCTTAATTTACTGAAGGCAGACCGTCACATTTTAAGAACAAGGTTGAACATTCTCTGTGAAGATAAAAACTGCTTTGAACTGGCACAAAAGTTAGCAGCTGTTGTTTGGTTGTTCTACAAGCGGGACAGAAATCTCTTGTCCTTCTTCAGTGATGAGGACCTTCATTATATATTAGACTTGCATTTAATCTTGCTGGTGAGGCAGGGCAAACAAAATAATATCATTACTCAGGTAAGTTTATTCGGCTTTATTGAAAATTGTACTCCAATGGATTTCAGCTCAACAACTTATTCATGATATATCTGTTCCAGATGAAAGAGTTGCCCATGCAGCAAGGTGCACAGTTTATCAAAAGGCTGAAGCAGCACCATTATCCAGACAGAAACAAGTTGTGGAAGAAAAGCCGTAGGGCTCTTGAAATTGTGGTGCAGGTGAAGTATATTTTTCTGTTTTGATTTTTTGAAGTGTTGTGCCAGAGTTTTATCTGAAACTTGTATTTAATTTCAGCTGTTAGCAACAAGAGCAATAAGGGAGCCTCTTGAAGATGTGCGCGGCACTCTGAACTACTTAATGGCCGAGTGGGTGGAGATGTTTTGCCTAGATCCAGAGTTTGAAGTCATGATCGGCAAATTAGCAGCCCTGTCGATGTCAGTTGATCATTTATTTGCTTTAACTGAAGCCCTAGAACAAAGAGTGAGTCGACATGTACTAACTTATGGTTTATTGTAATTATTATGTTGTTTTTTTCAGTAAATATTTTTATTTTGTAATTATTTTTTTTTACAGTGCCGTGGAAAACATCGCTCAAAATGCATTGAGTTTTTCATCAAGCGTTTCACATCAGAGGTTAATCAAATCAATGATCTGCGGAATCTAGGAAATGAAGCTCAGTTGCGTGCCGCCGAGGAACACTTGTCTGCTGGCTTCTTACAATTAGCTGATCTTCTGTCGGATAATCTGGAATCATGCAGAGAATCTGTTCTTACTGCTTTCTCACTTAACCCCTCTGCTGAATGTCTTGGAAGACTGGAAAAGTTAGCAGTATCTAGTAAAATGCTAAAGAAAGAACTTCTAGATACGGGTCAGTCGGTTGAACAGTATGTTCCCATGGAAATTAAAGTAGAGGATGCTGATACTGCTTCCACACCAAGTAAAGTGGAGGATGGTATTGATACTGCTCCGATTGATCAGTCTCTACAAGATGATTTAAATGTTGTTCTAAAAACTCCTCGTAATCGGTCGTTAAATTGGCAACTGCCATGGTCAGATCTCAAGAAGAGGTGTGAAGAACACATTCAAGAAATGACAAGAGGGGAGCGACCCTCAATGAAGGAACTTAAGTACCTGGAACTAGACTACAGTCAGTTTAAGCACATGCGAGCTGAAGATGATAATCATGATGGCATAGAGAAAGGCTATGAAATTGACAGTAGTACAGCGGATGAAGACTGTGATGAAAATGGTGGTCAGAACCACAGATCTCTGGAAGCAGGTTCCGATGCATCATATACAATAAAGAAAAAATCAAAACCATCAGAGCCGACAGATCCAAGAATAAAGAAGAGCAAAGCACCAAGGACGCAAAAGCCTTATCATCATCTATCGCCTGAAGAGTGTAGAAGTAAACATAACATTAATGAACTGCTTCTTAAGAAGAAAAGCCAAAGAAAACCCAAGGGTAAAACACCGAAGAGTGACGCCAAAAGGTCTAGGAAATCATCTTTCACCCAGTTTCAAGTTACTAGTCCTAAGGATTTGGGCTGTGTCGGTTCACCTCCTGGTGGCAACTACCCACATTTCCAAGATTACCTCGCCAAGAAGAGCCCCAGGGACGAAGGGTCGCTGCAGTCCCTGCGGAACTTCCGGCACCCCAAGAAGGGCATGGGCGGCCACGACCAACCGCTCCACATGCTGGGCAAGCTGGGCAAGCTGGGCCCGGAGTACCACCAGTACTACCCCCTCACGTCCTACGACCACCTGCGGCCTGCGCAGCAGCATACCACGGTGCAGGTTGTCCACGTGCCTGGGGCCGCGCCGCCCAGGACGCCCAACAGCACCATCACCAGGCCGGAGGACGCGGAGCGCGCCGCGGCCTCCACGGACCAGGTCAACGGCAAGCCGCCGCAGACGCAGGCGATGCAGTCCCAGGCCGGCGGCAGCAGCGGCAGCGGCGCGCAGTTGGGCCAGCCCGGCCAGCCCGCCGCGTACTACAACCAGGGCCCCGGCAGGGTGACCCTGCCACTGTCGGCGCCCGGCTTGGCGCCGCTCACCAACTCGCGCCTCCCGGTGCGCCCCGGGCCGCCCGGCCCGCCCGGCCTCACCCAGGCCCCGCGGCCGACGCAGTCCCAGTCGCGGACCTGGCAGCCCGGCCCCGCAGCCACCACCGCGCTGCCGCAGTTCTCCACCGCCTTCGGCTCGAACCGCATGGACGCGGGCCCGGCCGGCGGCAGCGGCGGCAGCGCCCTGAAGCAAGCCCTCCTCGCGCCGTCCCAGGGCGGCGACAAGCACGCCAAACTGAACCCCACGCCAGCGGCATCGGCCGCTCAGGCGGCAGCGGGGTTTGGGTCCCACACCCAGCCGGCGGGGTTTGGGGCCCTTGCTCATCCGCCGGGGTTTGGGACGCCAACGCAGTCTACGCAGGCCTCCCCTCTTCAGAGCACGCCTCTGCCTCCGCTTCAGGCGGTGCAGGCGCGCCCGACTCCTCTATCGCCTACCTCGCTGCAGCCGCAGCCGGAGCCGCCGACGCAGCTTCAAGATCAGCCGGCGGGCCTCCAGGGCCTCCAGCAGCAGCCTCCGCAGCTCCAGACTTTCGCGGTGGCTGGGGCGCCTCCGCCAGCGACCCTGTCGGCTGGTACACTCACAACGGCAGCAGCTACAACTCCTACAACGGCGCAGGTTATAGTAACCACCAGCAGTGGCGGCCTTATGAATCCTACTCCACCTGGCCTGCTCCTGGTGGCCAGTACTACGGCCACGCCTACGCTCACGCCCAGCCAGTCTACCAGCAGCACTACCAGCAGCACCAGTACGTCGACGGGGCTGCCGGGGCTGGCTTTGGGCCGCAGCGTTGTCACGGTGAGCAGCACCAAGGCTCCTGCTGCGGCTGTGCTGGTTGCTGGGCTGACAGCGCAGCAAGCGCAGCACAGGCCGCCCGGTGCGTGTGGCCCGGTGCCCACACTAGTGCAGAGAACGTTTAGCGCGCCGCCGCTGGACAAGGCGGTCCGCGGCTCCGCCGTGCAGATCGTGCAGGCCGTGGCGCAGGGTGGTGCGCACGGCGCGCAGGCCGTCAAGCTGGCCGTGGTGCCGGCACTGGTGCAGACCGGGCAACACGTCGGCCTGCCTGCCGTCAACACGCCCCCCGGCGTCTCCGCCGTGGCTGTGGCCAAGCGCGGCGTCGGCGCCCGCACCAGGGTGAGCAACCCCATCCTCGGCAAGTACCTGAAGCAGCAGAGCGACGCGGCGGCCGCCAGCGCGATGGCCGCCAACGCCATGGCCAACAACGCCACCCCCACGACGCCCCCAGGCGCGGCGGCTGCCGCTGCCGCTGCCACCGCGGCGGCCAGGGCGGAGGCAGCCAACGCCCCCACCAACGTGTCCCGGCCGCTGTACGCGTCCGCCAACGTGACGACGCACACGCCGCCCTCCGCCAACGACACCCTCAAGGAGCAGCTGCTGGAGTTCGAGTCGGTGCTGCACCACGTGCACACCACGCGGCAGCTCAAGGAACGCCAGTCGCTGGACGGCGACAACGACCCCAAGCCGCCGCAGCAGCCTCAGCCGCCCCAGCAGCCGCCCACTCCGACTTCGGCCGTGCCGCCTGCCGCGGCCGCCACGCCCGCCGCCGCGCCCTCGCCAGCCACGACGCCCAGCCCGGCGCCGACGCAGGCGCCCCCTTGGCCGCCGTCGCGGTGGTCACCACCAGCACCGTGACCTCCACCACCAGCGTGCCCACCGTGCCGGCCCTGACGGCGGTGCGGCCCGTGCACACGGACGCCAGCGTGCAGGCCGGGCCGGCGGGGCCCGGGCCGCAGCCGCCGCGCGCGCAGACCGCGCAGGCCACCACGCAGACGGTGGTGCACACGGTCCGCGCCGTGCCCGTGTCCATGGCGGTGCCCGTGTCCGGCGGCGTCCCCGTGTCCGTGGCGCTGCCCATCAACGTGCACAAGGGCGGCATCCCCATCGCCGTCTCGGTGGCCACCGTGTCCGCCAACTCCACCTTGCCGACCGTGACGCTGAGCGCGCTGAGCGCCCCCAAGAAGAAGCCCAAGGTGGGTAAGACCCTGACGGTGGTGGCCGCGACGGGGTCGACCGTGGTGACCACGCCGCTGACGGTGGTGACGTCGCCCGCCCCCAACCCGCCGACCCTGACGGTGACGACGCACACGCAGACGACGGCCGACCCGCGCCACTTCAAGCCCAACATCATCAGCACCCTGGCCACGGCCAAGCACATCGGGCAGAAGCCGGGCGAGGACGACCTGACGACGGCGAGGATCATGAACATCCTCAAGGCGTACGACGAGCAGCTGCGGTGCTCCCCCGAGATGAACAACAAGCCGGCGCCGCGGCGGCGCAACCAGGTGCAGCCCGGCGCCGCGTCCAGCCCCACCAGCAAGCGCAAGCACAAGAACAAGAAGGGCAGCGTCTCGGAGCTGAGCCCCGGCACGGACGACACGCACACCATGGGCAGCGAGGACTCGAGCATCGCGTCGCACTTCGCCGACGGCGTCATGGACGTGATGGAGGCCACCCCCACCAGCCCGCTGTCCACCTGCGACGACCGGTCGCTCGCCAGCACCGCCGCCACCTCCGGGGACGCGACGCCCGCGCCGGCCTCGACCGCGGTCACGTCCTTCGCCGGCGTCACCAAGGCCACCACCACCACCACCACGGAGTCCGCCGATCTGGCTGCGGAGGCCGGGCCGAAGACCGGCAGTCCTGTGAAAGGGCAAGCGCCCGCCCTGGTGAAGGTGCAGACGCCTCCCAAAGTACAAGTGGTGACCAAGGTGCCCCAGCTCACCCCCACGTCCATGCCCCAGCCGCAGCCACAGCCCAAGACTCCAGCCCCTGTGGCAGTGTCCACTTTGCTTCCAGTTGCACTGTCCATTCCGACCACAACGAAGGCTACTTCACCACCCAAAATTGTGACTACGACTGCAGGGAAAGTTCAGGTGCTTACCAAAGTGTCGCCACCTCAGACTCCTCCGTCACTTCTCAAGACGACACCCTTGCCCAAAGTTCGCTCAATGGTGAAGACGCAACCTCTGCCAAAAGTCCAACAACTTGCTCCGCTTGTCATGTTGTCAACCACCAAGCCTGGTGAAACATTGTTGGCATCTCCGCAGGGAGTGGTGGTTCAAACTTCAAAGGAGAACCAAATTTTCACTGTGTCCAGCAGAGTCATCCAGTCTGTTGAGACAGTCAAGCCCTCTGAAAATTCTGCTGTGGATACTGCACCTCCTCTGCAAGTAACGGATCAAATTTTGCAGTTGGCTCCAGCATCGAATCAAGTTTCTCAATTAGAGCGAGCTTTACAATCCAAGCATGTAACGCAGACGCCTCTCCTGGCAAGGGCTCTGAAAACACCGACAACGCACTTGCCCACCACTTTTACTGGTATATTGAGCACGACTACAAGATTAAGTATTGCTCAGCCCACATCTACTGTCCAACTGAGAACCCTCTCAAAGGTGTCTGAAAGTGAAGTCTCACCTGTGGATAGAGCGAAATTGCAGAGTTCTGACATGCCTGCAGCTGTTTCTCAACTCAGCCAAACTGTTCAAATAGTAAATGTCAAAGCTGAAGAATTATCACCGAAATCATCCCAGCCTGTGAAACTGAGTCAGTCCCCGCAATCTTCTGATTTGCATCAAGGGCAGGTAATGCCACTTCAACCAGAAACTTCACTCTTCAATCCCATGACAGAAGCTGTGCCTTCCTCAACTTCGACAACGACTTCTACAACGATGATGACTCAACAGGTTCCAACTACACCAGTAGTCATGCTACCTGCCACATCTGTTGAACTGCAGTTGCCACATAAGGCTGCTTCTTCTGTTGTCGAGCCTTCTCAGTGCAATAGTGATTTAATGAGCCAATCACATCAACAGTCTAACGGAAGCCTTTTGATCCTGACCTCTCCGCAACCAGAAAATGTTTCTCCATCTTTACACCCTACAACAGATGTGCTTCCTGGTACTCACCTTGTTCAGCTGGCATCTCAACAACAGCCCTCTGATACTGGAAAACAGGAGCCACTTCTTTCATTAGAAAAAACACAGCAAGTTGCAGAAGAAGTTTTACAAGTACCGCAGTCATCTGCTCAGCTTTCAGTTTCCCCAGTTCAGCTGGCTCCTCCTCCACAGATGCAGCAAACAACTCAAATCGTCAAGTCATTGATGCAAGAGCAATTGACATCACAGGCTGTACAACAAATCCAGCTTGGTCCTCAAGATGTAGCAGCTTCAGCAGGGCAAGGTCTAGAAGACCAAATAACTTCTCATATTTTACAGCAAGAAACGCAGGCGGACCTACTGCAGCCCACTTTGCAGATGGAGTCAGCATCTGAAGGACTTCAAGCGATGTCTCAAACCCAATTGGCGTCTCCCATACCTCAAACAATGCAGCAGATTCTGGAACCACTGCCTCAAGCTCAGCTCAACTCCCAGATTGTTCATTCACTGACTCAAGAGCAGATTCTTCAGCCTGGATCCCAAATGCAACAAAACGCCCAGATACTTCAAATTTCATCTCAGGCACCTCCGACTTCTACAATTGTCCAGACTGTCTCGCAAGTTTCACCTATATCACAAATTGTGATACCAACCTCACAGATTCTGCAAACCACTTCTCAGGCTCAGTTGGTTGATACTGCTCAGATGTCACAAATTATGTCCTCGGCACCACAATTGGTACAGTCTCTTCCGCAGCTTGTGCACAGCTCTAAGTCAACGCAACCTTCTCAGCAGAGATTTGGAATCCAACCAGTCCAACTATCGACCACTCCCACTGGGCAAATAAGAAGAATAGTCACCGGGGATTGCACTCCACAGCTTGTCCAGATTGCCCAGCCTCAGCTTATTCAAAGCCAGCAGCTGCAGCCGGCTCCACAGTTGTTGATGCCACCTTCATCGCAAGCGGTAACGGTGTCTTTAGCTGGACAGTATACACCGCAGAAACCAATGGATACTGATGAAGCCAAAGTTAGCTCTCCTACAAAGCAGAGTATAGTCCCACTCTACATGGTTCCTTCATCTTCTGCTTCACAGTTACCTGTTATGATCTCTTCTGCAACAGGAATGGTCCATGTCAATCTGGTCAACTCTCAAGCTGGGCCTGTTGTTGTTAGGCAGGTCTCTAAACAAGATGGCAAGATGACGAGGGACTCATCTCATGACATTATTTCTGTGATCAGTTGTGATTCTAGTCAACCATTGTTACTGTCATCCATCCAACAACTTTTTAGTGGTAATGCCCCTGTTGTTTCAACGAGTCATATGGGTGCTGCCATGACCTCTCAAACTACTGCGGCTGTTGTGGCCTCCCCAGCGCCAATGTTCAGTGTGGCTAATGTGGATTCATCTGTAGTGACTGATACTTCTGTTCTGACTCTGAACTCTGCACCTGTGTCGAGTGAGATCCCTGTCAATGTGAGCAGTCTGATTTCAAGCTCAGTCAGTCCCAGTCAGTTGTTTCCCACCCCCAATCAGACAACAGCATCTGCACCAATCTTAGAGGCCCCAGCACCTGCTCCTGCGTCCACTCAAGCTTCGCCAAGAGCAGTCACTCCGTCATCAGCTAGCAGCATTCCGCCACTGACCAATACGTCCCCAACTAGTGCTCCAAACAGGCCAACGACACTGCTGGCTCTGCAACAGCAAATGCAAATGCAGCAGCGAAGCAAGCAACTTCAAGAGCAAGAGGAAAAGCAACAGAAATTACATCTGAGGCGTTATACCCAGCAACATCAGCAGCCTCAGCAGCTTGTTTCCCAGGCTGATGTGACTCCTCTGCCACCTGCAGCCCAAGAAATACCACAAATAGCCCAACTTGAATCTCCAACACAACCACTGCCTGGTATTCAGCCAACAACTCAAGTTGCAGTTCTTCTTACTCAGCGAGAGGCCAGTAAGTCGCCACCAAAGCAGCCAACTCGAATCAATGTGTCTCCGCAGAAAGCAGAAGGTTCTGATAAAGTTGCTGTCATCATTCCGAGAACTAAGAGCCGCCCAACGTTGCTTTCAAGTCCGCCACAGTACAAGACCACAGAGCCTAAGCACTTGCGCCATCTTCTTGACTCTCCACCTGCTCCTCTACCACCACTGTATCAGACAGCGCTCAGAAGACCAAGCAACCTTACTACACCTTCCTTGCCAGCTGTAACTGACCAGGTAAAAGTTGCATCTTCACCTGTAAAACAAGAGGATCAACCAAAAGTTGAAAATAACCAGGTGAAACAAGAAGACGTCAAACCTGATGTTACTGCTGAATCTGTCGGAAGTGCTGTTCAGAATGCTGAGTCAAGTGAACTTGCTGTGAAGCCATCTGGAGAAGGTACTGCACCCACTCTGTCCCCATTAAAGCAATCTGGTGTTGCTGCAGTTCCACAAGAAAAGCTATCTGCTTCATCTGAGGAGTTACCCATGCCACAGCCTACAGAAGAGGTTCTGCCAACTTCTCTTCCAGAGACACCACCCCCAGATTGTAATTCAGATAAACTGTCTTCTTTGTCCCCTGAGAAATTACCTGGCAGTTTAACACCTGAAAAGTTGCAATTACCCATTGCGTCGCCAATAAGAAGACTATCTTTTGAATCATCCAGTGATAAATTGCAATTAACTCCAGAAAAGCAAATGCCGATGCCCCTGTCTTCGTTATCTGTGGAGAAGGGATCTCCTTTGTCTTCTCCTGAAAAACTTTCTACGTCATCAGTGTCAGAATTGTCTTCACCTACGCTTGTACCTCTGAGAGTACTGCCTGCAACTTCTCCCGAGAAGCAGTTACTGCAAACACCCAAGTCATCAAAATCTTGTCCCCAGTCTTCCTTCAAAAATTCTTCTTTAAAAGGAAAGAAATCTCCTAAAATTTATGCAGTTTCTAAAACAATTGCCAAGCAGACTACACCTTTGAAAATTCCTCAGAAGCTTGCATCGAGTAAGTCTCAGCAACTAACATCAAACATGAAATCAATGGTACTGACTCATAGTGGTTTAGAATCTTTAACGTCCATCAGTGATGCAGTAGTGCTGGGACAGTCTGAAAACCAGAGTGAAAGTGAAACGCTGTTTATCAGAGCTAATGTCCCTCAACCATCCCCTACTAAAGTAACGGATGGCGGCCCAACTCTTGATGCGGGATCCACCACCCCAGGAAGTGTGAAAGTAATCGCTGCCAAAAGTGGCGATGCCAACTATCAAAGACTAATTGAACTGCCAGAAGGAACTCGAAGGCCTCAATCCCAGCTTCCTAAATTGAACCTTCTCGCCAAGTTGACTGCAACCCAGGCTTTGCCACAAGCTTTGCCACAGGCTTTGCCACAGGCTTTGCCACAGGCTTTGCCACAGGCTTTGCCACAGGCTGTGCCACAGGCTGTGCCACAGGCTTTGCCACAGGCTGTGCCACAGGCTTTGCCACAGGCTTTGCCACAGGCTTTGCCTCAGGCTTTGCCACAGGCTTTGCCACAGGCAGTGCCACAAGCACCCATCGCGGAGGCGCCACCACTAGCACCTATGTCTGCAGCCAAACCAATTGAACCATCCACTCAGAAGTCATTTCAGCTTATCGATGATACAAGTGCAAACTCTAAAGGCTTGCTCTCTGAACTGCCTGCTCATCTGCTGCGTTTGGATACAAAGCCTCTAAGTTCTCCTGAAGTCCGAGTGTATCCACCGTCTCAAGGAAGTCTGGATTCTGACAAAGTTGGTACCAAATCGAAGTTGCCCGCAGTGAGTCCAGTGTCAGCCCCTCCATTGCTGTTGACATCCACGAGCAGCCCGACCAAGTCCACTCCGGCAGTGCAGGTGTCTTACTCTGCACTCAAGTCATCTGCCTTGAAGATTCAAACTCCGACCCAGGCTTGTGTTCCATCATTAACCACTGCCCCGCTTCAAGTGCCTAAGCCTCCTTCAGCAAAGGCCCAAGCTGTCACGCATGAACGTCAGACATTACTAATTCCTGACACTTTTTCAAAATTGCAAACTGCACCTCCTGCTCAAACAGTTCAGAATACTAGTCCCATCTCAAGTACTTCAAAGGGTCCCCAAGAAGATGTGTCGGTTAATGTGACTCCCCGACCCAAGCGCCAGCGCAATAGGAAACGAAGTTTTCCTCGTCCTCAAGAGAAAGAGAGCAGCAGCCAGAGCAGCAATGTTGAGCCGGACTCAAAACTTCAGCAACCATCTCCAAAAAAGGTAGATTCTGAGACCACCCCCACAAAACGATCCCCAAAGAAGAAGGACAACACTGGAAATCCAACTGTTTCTCCAGAAATTGTGTCTCAACATTTGAGCGACACAATCATGAGAGTGTCGCTAGGGGAGGATGAAGAGGAGGCCAATGCAAATGAAGAAGTAAATCCTCCACTGGTCAAAGATGAATTTGAAGACCAGGAGAAAATTCCAGTGGAGGTTGCAGTCGCTGCCCTCTGTGGAGAGGACATTGAAAGTGCCAAAGACTTTATTGAGGGTAAGTTTCATTTCTGTTACTGTGTTTGTAATTACCTTACACTGCTACTTTTTTAATTAATTAATTTTTGTCGGTTTTAGGTAACTTACAAGGGGATGTGGATGCCAGGAGTGCCATCACCCTCCTACCGGCAGACCCATCAGAGAGCACTGAAGAGTTGAACTTTTTTAGGAACGTTGTTGATAACATTCCTGATGCAAATGCTACACCTGGTTTAGAAAATGACGGCACTGTTGACTCAGTCCCTCTTAAAGACAACAAAAATAATCCTGTCATATCATCCATTACTACTTGTACAGGTAAATGTTAAAGCTTGTGGGTTTTTCAATATTCCAAGCAATATTTGGTTGAATTTTGATGATGCTGATTTTCTTTTTAAAGTTGCAGATGCCACAGACATAGACCATTCATTAAAGAAGGAATCTAATCTAGTCTCAGAAAGCAAAGAAGAAGAAACTGTTCCCTCAAGAATTGCTCTCAAACGGAAGGCAATTGGATCTCATTCTGGTTCATTTTCAGAGCACTCTAGGTCTCTTTCAGGAAGTGATGATCTGAGTATGGATAAAACCAGCACAAGTGACATCTTCCCTGAAACGGACATCCTCTTTGAAACAACTTTGTCTCCATCATTTTTGGGAGAAATTGCACAACTGTCTCCAACTAATAGTCAAGATGCAGTTTGTGCTAGTCCTGAACCACATGAAAAAAGGAAGAGAGGACTTACCATGAAGACTTTGCCAAAACAAGAGCCAGACGAAAGTAAAGGAGGAACCAAAGCTTTGTCTTCAATCGGTAGCCTAGGTCAATTCAATGGAGGAAATTCAAGATCTGAAATGAGTATCGGGGACTCCTTCAAACATACAGTAATAAAGCAAGAATGCTCCTACCTGGATTCACCCATGCTTGATAATCCAGTGGCACACATGTTAGACGATCAAGAAACTATGTCTAAAACCAACCAAACCTTGACATCTTTAGCTGGCTCAAGTACAGTGTCAGGTTTCTTTTCGTTGAAGTCTGGGTCTTCTGGAGATGAAGCTAGCTGGGAAAAAGAAACGCTCTTTCCTAACCAGGCATCAGACAATGAAGAGGAGCCATTTTGGAGCCAAGCCCTTACATCTGGCGTTGACATAGACCTAAGCCAAGAGGGAGACACCAATAGCTCATCTACGCCAAGTGAAACTCTCTCAAAGAGTGTCAAGTCATCTGGGCGAGGTAGCTCTCAACGTTCATCAATATCTCAAACTAGAAAAGCTGGTGTTAAGCGGAAAGATGACAGTGCAAGTAGTCCTAGTCAAAAACAAGTGGGAGAGAAAAGAAAACGTGTGAGCTCTCTTACATCTAACGAAGAAGACGAAGGTAATTCTAAATATGGTCAAGTTTTGAGGTCCTCTGTAACAAAGCCTACCCGAAGAGATGTTGTCCGTAGTGCACCTTCAAAGGAAGACACAATACAGCGTCGCGTCTCTACTCGCACTCACAAGCCAGTTACCAAGTTTGATGACTTAACTAAGAAGACAAAGCCTTCACAAAATAAGCAGCCTCCTAAAACAGTCACTAATAAGAAAAAGTAATATTTCATTTTTTGGAAATTGCCCTTTTATTGTTGCTAGAAATCTATCAAATTGTATTTGAAAATGTAAGTAAAATTGTACTGAATATTGTAATTTTTTTTTTAACTTCAAATGTTACTCTATTTATAATTGTTTGAGAAGTTTCCTGGAAAGTACTTATAGCCATAAATTCTTGAGCACTGAATTGCTGAAGTCCAATGTGAGCATTTCCCTCAGTGTTAGATGTAATTGTGATGTAGTCAATGATGTACTCTTTGTAAGTAAGTTACATTCTAGCTTAGGTGCTGTACAGAATTTTTCATTTCGCTGCCAAATGTAGGTCATTTTAAATCAAGTTTCTATTGTTATTGAGAATTATGTGGGAAATTTAAGGTTGTGCTAATAATTGATTTTGTTACATTATTGTAAAGGAATTTATGAGTGTTACTTGATAGGGCATGTTTGCCTATGCTTCATTTCCTGGAACTTCATGATGGAGTGAGTTCAGAGGCATTGTCATAGTCATAAATGTGTCACCGTTTAGCCAAGTAATTAATACTTATAACTTCTAATGTGTTCCCAACATGATAAAATAACCTCTTTTGTTTTAAATCGTGAGGCTTGATTTAAACATTAGCCCAATGAATGTACCAGTATTAAACATCTTGGACAAATTTCCTTTGTACTCAGGTATGTGATTTTATTACCATTCTTCACAAATTTTGTTATGCTATGTTTAGAATTGGAAATTCATTGGAAATCTTTACAGATTAGTTAATTTCAATACCACATATCAATGTAAATTGTATTTGTCATATTACTAATGTTCAAAATATCATCTGTTAGAATCTGCTCTGGTCTGATGGCCTGACTAGCTTTGTGTGTAGATTAGAGCTTTGTATCAACTTTGGTCTCATTTTAAAAGCTGACTCATATAGCTACAAAAATTTAAATCAAGTAGAATGGATACAATTAAGTCTTTTTGCCTTCTAGCGCCATTATAAAATCATGCTCATTATGTGTTTTCCTTCTATAGATGTTAGTCTATTGTGGATGTGAATGGGATGTACAGGTAGCCTCCATTGATGACTTTACTCTCAGGAGGTCAAGTTCTTATATTATAATTGTAAGTTTGTATGCGTTAATAATTTAGTTCAACTTAAAGTGAGGCAAGGTCAGAGGAACTTGAATGAGTGAACAATGACCAACCTTGCCAAGTTGTCTTTTCTTGATCTCTCCGCATTGCTGTTCCATCTAATAGTTAATTCTTTATTTCCTTTTTTAATTAAAAAAATAATGGTGCTATTATCTGAATAAAGGTACAAATTTATTGACTGCAACTTTTCAACTTATCTTTGTTTTTTCTTTTTGAGGTTTTGCGACTGCAGTGGTATTACAGATTTGCACATTGCTTCAAAAACGTAGGTTCCACAATATACGTAGTGGTGTGTAATGATATTGATTCATTCGTTATGTAGTTGTTTTATTATTATTTTTTTATTTTGACCGTCCTTGCCAATAGTTCAGCTAGTGTATAAACTTAATTTTTCCCACTTTCCTATACCTCAAGGAATGTGTAAACTTGAACTGTACAGGGCGTCATATATCTTGACCTAGAATACTTTTTAGACTCTCCCATTTTAACCATGTTTTGAAGCTCAAAATTCAACTTGTAGCTCATGCACATGCTCTTTGGCTTTTACTTTTAATTTTGTTTGGAGGAAGATAGAATTGCAGTCTAGTGTCAGTAACTTTTGAAACCCAGCCTATTTTGAAGTGTATTTGCATTCAGATTTACTTAATCGTTTCAGATATTTCAGTCATTTGTTATTGTATTTGGAGTTTTCCACATATGTGTTCATCATTAAGTTGTAGTCCTTACCCAAGTACAGTATTTTAACGACTGTTCCATAAATTGTTCCAATTTCAGTGTTAGAATTGTTGTATACATTGCCTTCTTGTTTTCTGTACTCTTCATTGAAATAGTATGAGTATGAATGCTTGTCTAATGGCCATTTAGTCATCATTACTAGTTTTAGGTTGGTCATTTGGATTGTTTTTCCTCTTGGATTTGACACAATATAGAGTTGCAGGACTGCACACATGTATTGAAAGGAATAAAAATGATTTTTGCAATGTCTCAGAAAACTTTTTTGTTTCAGTGCATTACTTAGTTGGTATTGTAATATAGATGATATCTGGTCACATCCTTTGTTTTAGTTCAATGTTGAGTTGCCATGCTGGTGCCCCTCTTGTTAATACTGTACACATTACCTGTATTTTTGTACATAATTAATCTTAATTGTATATTGTAAATTAAAATAAACAAAAAATGCTGTGAAAAATATTTTAAATCTGTAAATGACCTAAGTAAATATAGTGTTAAAGTATGGCATAAAATAAATTTTCATGATGGTATTAAAATTATGTGTCATGTGTGTTAGTTGTCATGTGCTTTTAGCATGATTGAAAGCGGTTTTCAATTAAATGCTCTGTAGAATGGTTGCGCTCAGACATTGATCCTCTTTATTATGTCTTATTTTGTCTGAGGGCAGCTGATCCTATAGGTCATTGCTTGAAATAAAACAATTCATTTATATTGAACTTGTCTGCGATATTTATTTCCCTCCCTCCTCTTTTCATACAACTCGAAGGCTACAGATAATGACTGCCACATTGGGCACTGAATCCATTCACGCACGCAATGTTGTCTATTCTTGGTTCCTCGGCTCCTTGAAATTGCCTACATTCAGGGGACAACATACAGCGCTGCGGCACGGACATAATGCGAACTACTGATATGGCGGGAGATTTTGAACTTGGAACATATCAAACAAGGTTTGGGAAGTGATTTTTGATCCGTATGACCTAAATTTCAATGAAGATGCTTCCCATGATTAAATATTGTGGCCTAAAGTTGATCCCAGGCACATGATTGACTACTTTTTGGTGTTCCCAAGAGCTCGGGTTGGGGTGGTCCGACTAAAGCTTTCTCGACATCTTTTATTTTAGACCTAATGTTTTTTCTTGAATTATTGATGGACTATTTTTGTGTTTTGTGATCACTGATCATGTTAACCTAATGTTTCATTAGAACTTCAATGTTACTTCTTCTTGAACAATTGAGTGAAAACTTATTTATGCAGCTCCTTTTTTCTTTGACTTTTTGTACGCAAAAGAAGTGAAAAATTAATGTTCCTCACCTTTGTTTAAAATTTGTATTAATTAAATCTTAATATATACTAACCAGTCGTTCACTTGCTCGCCCTTATCACAGTTTATAAAGAAATCGACACTCAGCCATAATTCTCTCTTAACTGTGATAATAAGGGCAAGCAAGTGAACAATTTGTTAGTATATATTAAGATTTAATTAATACAAATTTTAAACAAAGGTGAGGAACATTAATTTTTCACTTCTTTTGCGTACAAAAAGTCAAAGAAAAAAGGAGCTGCATAAATAAGTTTTCACTCAATTGTTCAAGAAGAAGTAACATTGAAGTTCTAATGAAACATTAGGTTAACATGATCAGTGATCACAAAACACAAAAATAGTCAATCAATAATTCAAGGAAAAACATTAGGTCTAAAATAAAAGATGTCGAGAAAGCTTTAGTCGGACCACCCCAACCCGAGCTCTTGGGAACACCAAAAAGTAGTCAATCATGTGCCTGGGATCAACTTTAGGCCACAATATTTAATCATGGGAAGCATCTTCATTGAAATTTAGGTCATACGGATCAAAAATCACTTCCCAAACCTTGTTTGATATGTTCCAAGTTCAAAATCTCCCGCCATATCAGTAGTTCGCATTATGTCCGTGAGGTAGCGCCACGGGTCGCCGATGTTAGCAGCAGGCCAGAGGAAGCTAGAATGCGATCTTAGTTGCAATCTCGGCTCCGGCCAAATGGTCTTTGAACCCTGAACGACTGTATATCAATGCCGCCCTGAAGGTAGGCCACCCATTTGGCACTCCACCATGCGGTGAAAGGAAATTAGAGGCATCCTGGCTATAAGAAAAGCAAACTTGCGATTTTTCCCCCTGGCAAAGAGGCAAAAGAGTTCCCCTCATCGGGAGAGGTGAAATGAAGAAAAGATTAATCCACGTGGGGTTCGAACCCAGGTAGTTATCGCGGCAGACACCATTTCAACCAACCGAGCCACAGGGATGCTTGCGCCGTATAGGTAGGCAACCCACCGCTCACAGCTTCTTCTACTCATCCAGCCTCACGGGAAAAGCCATTTTCACACCAAATAGAATGCGTTTAGGACCATTGGGCACCGCGTATCTGTTTCTTAGACCCATGAGAAGGTTCCATATCAATTTCAGACAGATCGGAGGTGGTCGACCATTTTCATCGAAAAAAAGCTAAGGCTATACATGATGGTTTTTTCACGTTTTGGGCCATGCCATGAAATTCGACCAAATTCGAGTATGTTGTGCTGGGGCACTCCCTCGTGACTTCTGACACTATTTCGAAGACCATTTCGGTCCTAAACAGTCTTTTTCTGGCGAAAAGCTGGAATGTTTTGAGCATGCGCCGGGCCGGTAGGCAACCCATCGTTCACAGCCTCCTACCGCACTACAGAGCTCAACTAGCGTCGCGGGAGAAGTCATCCTCACACCGAATGGAATGTGTCAAAGACCATTGGGCACCGGGCATCAGTTTCTCAGGCCCAGGCGTAAATCGGGGGGGGGGGGGGGGGGGCCAACCCCACCCCCTGAAGGCGGCGAAGCCGCCTGAAAGGTAGGCAAAAAGTCGCACATTACCCCTGTAGGTAGGCAACTTTCGCGACATCCCCCCCCTGAACCCGTCCCTGGATCCGCCCTTGCTCAGACCCATGAGAAAGGCTCACATTAGCGGAACTCGACCATTTTGGTCGAAAAAAGCTACGGCTGTTTTGTTTTTCATTTTTTATTGCGAGGATCAAGGCGAGGATTGCCCCTATTGGATTTCGCCAGATCACGGATTACCATTGCTGTCAGCCGGATTTCTCCAGCAGTTACCCCTGGTAACTACTGGTAGCAGTTACTCCTGGTAACTACTTGTTACCAGGCATCTCTCGCGCTTTGGCGCCACACTTCGCCGCGGACTGCTTCTGTCGTTTCCGTCGCTCTGTCTCTTTCGCACCGACTCGGGGCGCCCCGTGAGTGCGAGAGAGACAGAGCGACGGAAACGACTGTCGGAATGAGTCCGCTGCGCTGCGCTGGCCGTGCTGCACCACCCCCGCACGCACAGACACCCTGGCGGCCCGGCCCTCCCCGCCCACCCCACTGCTAGAGCCCGCGCAGCCCGCAGCCCCCTATCGATCTCGCAAGGCGGCAGAGCAGCAGCAGTCTCTCTCGCACCTACAGGGAACGCCCCGTGAGTGCGAGAGAGACAGAGCGACGAAAACGAGGCTCGGAATCAGTCCGCAGAGTAGCAGAGCAGTGCCGCGCCGCCTCCATCGAGAGGTGGCGTCCAGGCCGTCTCCTGTCTTCCAGCTGTTGTCCAGCGGGTGCTACCCGCGGCAGCACCGCCTCCAGCGCCTCCACGCCGCGGACGACGCCCACACTGTGAGTACACGCCCCCGCGCGCCCGGTACGCCCCCGCCGCCGCGCGGGGCACTGTAGGGCGGGCAGGCCGAGTACTGGAAGGGCTCTTGGAGGTTAGGGAGGCCGTGGGCCGCACTTTGCGACGGCGATTTCCGCCCCGGACTGAATGGGAGGACGGTGGCAGTCCGCGGCGACGGGTTCCGGGAGGGCTGGCCGTGCTGGCCAGGCCACGGCGGGCTTGAGCTTCACCAGGATGCTGCTGGCACGGCGGCCGCAATGTCTTTGTCCGCGGGAAGCGCAGTGCACAGTAGGCCAGAAGACCGGTGGAGGCGGCCAAAACTCAAGACGCGTTTCGAGCTGCAGAGTCGCTAAATGATACTCGAACCGAACGTGTGACCCCACCAATAGATTGCTCTCCGAACGAGGAATCCATTGGTGGGGTCAAACGCTCGATTCGAGTCCTGCTTCGCGACTCTGGAGCTCAAAACTTGTCTGGAGTTTTGGCCGCCTCCACCGGTCTTCTGGCCCACTGTGCAGTGGCTCGCTGCTTGAAGCGAGGGGTCGTCAACTTATATATTACTTCGTACGCGGTGGCTATATTACCCGTATATTACCTGTATATTACCATATATTACTGGCATATTACCACAATTTCGCCTCTATAATACCCCTATATTACTATATATTACTTTGTATTACTTTATATTACACATATATTACCTATATTACTGGTAATATACGTATACTCCCTCGTACACGGCCAAGGGAAGTTGCCGACCCCTCGGCTTGAAGTGTCACCGACACGGTGATGATGGTGTTGATGTGGTCAGCGAGTGGAGGATTCCGCTTGCCGTTGACTCGGTCCGTGTCGTGTCCGCGGAGTCGCGGACTATACGCGCGCTGCAGCAGACTGAGAGTCGTTTTCGTCGCTCTGTCTCTCTCGCACCTATACGGGACGCTCCATGAGTGCGAGAGAGACAGAGCGACGAGGACGACTCTCGGAATCCGTCTGCTGCAGCGTGAATGCACTTGCACGCACCTGCACTGCAGCCTCGCCCACGCCTCTTCCGCCATCCAACGTCTCCGAATCGGGGGGTCGCCGTTAACAGCAAAGTGCACGGCAAGTACCTACCAACACGGCACCCGACCCCCCCGAGGGAAAAACAACAAAAACAGGACTTCCCTCGCGGCGAGGGGTGAATCACTCAGCGTCCTAGTGTACACATGAGTACATGAGTACGGGTGAGTACACCTTGTTTTACTCACAAATTTCACATTTGGAAACATTATAAGGCTTTATTTAGCGTTTTAAACGGCACTCAACGCCAAATTGGTCGCAAAACAAGTGATTTTCGTTCTTTTTGAACTTGTTAGTACACTGAGTACGAGCAAATTGGTACACATGAGTACACTAGTGATCCACCCCTCGCCTCGCGGGGAGTCGAACCCGAGCCCGATGAGCCGTGCGCCGCGCGCTGTGACTGGCCATTCCGGGTGACGCTCCCACTGGCCTACTTCCGCGCCGAGTTTGCGTGAACGGTCTTCCCTTCGCGGCCGTTTGGTGCTCACGCTTTGGCGCCGTCGCACAGTGGGCCAGAAGACCGGTGGAGGCGGCCAAAACTCTGGACGCGTTTTGAGCTCCAGAGTCGCTAAATGGGACTCGAACCGAACGTGTTACCCCACCAATGGATTCCTTGTTCGGAGAGCAATCCATTGGTGGGGTCACACGTTCGGTTCGAGGCCTGTTTAGCGACTCTGGAGCTCAAAACGCGTCTAGAGTTTCGACCGCCTCCACCGGTCTTCTGGCCCACTGTGCGTTGTCGCTCTGTCTCTCTCGCACCCACACGGGACGCGCCATGAGTGCGAGAGAGACGGAGCGACGAAAACGATTCTCAGCGTGCTGCTGCCCTACTGAGGGGCGACCGAGGCCCCGAAGGCCCTGAATCCGCAGACGTGCCCGTCAGCATGATGCTGCACTTGCAGCTTGCAGTGTGCCGGACGGCAGGGCTCGGATGCTGCCAAGCGCTAGTCGCTCTGTCTCTCTCACACTCGTGGCGCCTGCCGTAGGGGTGCGAGAGAGACAGAGCGACGAAAGCGGCCGTCGGAATCAGCCATGGTGCCGCGCCAGGTGACGATGGCGACGGAGGTACCTGCCACAAAGCACCCAGCTATAACAAGTCGGGTCCGTTTTCATTAAAATTGTCATGTATTTTATCTGTAAAATCTAAACTTTACGTGCAGTTTGGTTGAATGGAACATCCTGCTTTGAAGGCGCTGCATTGAACTTCATCCATACCTTGGGACCAATCAGGGTCCAGCAGTTTCGGCCTCCTAGTGGCGCACTGCTGGAAGCTGGCTTTTTGATTCCTTTTGCTTTAAACTCGGCGACTTAAGGGGTCTACTAGGAGACAGAAAAATGAGGCCGCGGTAAGACTCAGACCTACGCTTCCCGGGGAAAAACTGATTTCTTCTTAAAAAGTCAGTGACTATGTAGTCGCGAAACTCCTTTAATTCGTTACGTCCTGTTGACCCTCTGCGATAAATTATCTTCTATTCTTAAGTAAAAGCCGCAAAAACTTACGCAGTCGGTAGGACTCGAACCTACGCTCCCAGAGGGAAACTGATTTCTAGTCAGTCGCCTTAACCACTCGGCCACGACTGCGACCTGCTGCATGTCGTGGAGAAAGCAGTGCAGTAGAAGTGGGGGATCCGCGCGAGCGTCCCGCGAGCAGAGAGGGAGGGGGGAGACAGTTGCTGGCACCGCTGAGCTGGCCGCCAAGCCTCCTCGCGGTCTCTCTCGCACCTCCACGGGACGCCCCATGAGTGCGAGAGAGCGCGACGAAACGGCTCGGCCGGCAGGCCGTGTCGAGCGTGTGGCCTATGCACGAGTCGGTGGGCGCACAGCCACTGCTGCCAACTGCAGACTGATTCCGAGAGTCGTTTTCGTCGCTCTGTCTCTCTCGCACCTATACGGAACGCTCCGTGAGTGCGAGAGAGACCGAGCGACGAAAACGACTCTCGGAATCAGTCTGCTGGTGGCCACTGAGTGCCCCGAGGGAGGAGCACCCCGTGTCACTGTCAGATTGTCGTCGGACGCCGTGGCTCTCCACGGCGCACAGTACACTGTGATGAGTAATTTGTGTGTGAGTGAGTGTGAGTGTGTGAGGACCCCTTCCCCGTTGTCCTTTGCACGTCCTACAGCTTCCGGCAACACTTTCCAATCCGCTCCTTCCCGGCCAACAAAGGAATTGGGTTCGACGTGTCGTGCCTCCAGCACTCCAGGCACTCCAGCGGCGCGGCAGCCTCCAGCGTGCATTCCAGCACCACTCCACAGTGGGCCAGAACCCCGGTGGAGGCGGTCAAAATCCCGGACACGTTTTGAGCTCAGTCCCTAAATGGAACTAGAACTGAATGTGCGACCCCACAGATGGATTGCTCTCCGAACGAGGAATCCATTGGTGGGGTCACACGCTCGGTTCGAGTCCCTTTTAGCGGCTGAGCTCAAAACGCGTCTAGAATTTTGGCCGCCTCCACCGGTGTTCTGGCCCACCGTGCACTCGCATGGGGAGCGCGTTGCGGAGTGCCTCCAGAGCCCCGGACAGGTGCATCGGACACTGGAGAGCAGAGCGGTCTAGGTGAGGGTCCCGTTTTGGCTTAGCCATGCACGGCGTCAAGAAAAGAACCCTCAGTAGAGCGCTCTCGTCGCTCTGTCTCTCTCGCACTCACGGAGCGCCCCGTACAGGTGCGAGAGAGACAGAGCGACGAAGCGCTCTACGGAAACAAATGTGCCGCTACCGCTGGCGCGCTGGCCGCCACCCAAGCCTCAGACAGTGGCCGAGCGACGCTCCGCGCCAGTCCGCGACTCACGCGGCCAAACACTCGTGCCGGCTCGCTCCGTCTCTCTCGCACACTGCGGGACGCCCCGTGTGAGCGAGAGAGACAGAACGGGCCGCGGGCCGCGGCGTGCACAATGAAAAGACGGCGGCGCAGAGTGGGCCAGAAGACCGGAGGAGGCGGCCATAACTCTAGACGCGTTTTGAGCTCCAGAGTCTCCAAATGGGACTCGAACAGAACGTGTGACCCCACTAATGGATTCCTCGTTCGGAGAGCAATCCATTGGTGGGGTCACACGTTCGGTTCGAGTCCCATTTGGATACTCTGAAGATCAAAACGCGTCTAGAGTTTTGGCCGCCTCCACCGGTCTTCTAGCCCACTGTGCGGCGCTCTGCGTATCTCGCACGGCGGCCAGCGACACATACGGCATTGTGCGCGGGCCGAGGGGTCGACAACTACCTCGAGCCGTGTACGAGGTAGTATATATTACCGGTAATATAAGTAATATAGGGTAATATAAGGTAATATACGGAAATAAAACAACGGTAATATATGATAAAAGAAGATGAGAACGTGACACAGTATCCTTGACTAAGGCTAAAATCAGGAGTTCTGGCTAGAATTTTGGTATTATGCAGACCTTACCCTCGTTTCATGACAGCGCCCCCTGTCAGATAAAAGGTATGCAACCCGATGCAACCTATCTGACAAAAGTATGGCGCGTAGCTTCATGTCAGATTGAACACGGACATCAAATCCGAATTTCTTCCTGTCGCAAGGAGAAGCCTAATAGCTTTAACACCTTGATACCAAGGTTCAGTACGGCAAGTTTAACGTTAGTTTAGGTTAGAAACAAGCAAATCACAGAAATATGTGGTAATATAGTGGTAATATAGAGGTAATATACGGTAATATAGGGTAATATACGGTAATATACGGTAATATACGGTAATATAAGGTAATATAGAGGTAATATAAGCTCTGCGTACGAGGTAATATGGGAGTTGTCGACCCCTCGGCGCGGGCACACGAGTAGGGATACTGTAGCGACTCGCGCCAGGCGAGCGGAATGACCCTACGGGCAGCCCCCGGCCACCGCCAACGGCACTTGACACACATGGACGGACGGACAGACAGACAGACAGACAGACAGACAGACAGACATTCAGACAGACAGACATTCAGACAGACAGACATTCAGACAGACAGACAGACAGACATTCAGACAGACAGACAGACAGACAGACAGACAGACATTCAATTCAATTCAATTCAATTCAATTCGTATTTATTAAGAAAAACTTAAACAAGGCACTTACAGATAGAAACATTAACATAGTAATAAACTGCCTAAAAATAGAAAAAGACAACCCCTAAGCATGACTGCTTGTCAGGGGTGGATTTACTGTCTTTCTGTCATAACAAACAATAAAAACAAACAAACAAAAATCTTTTACAAACAAAAAAGTCTTTTACAATTTAAACTCCACCTTTCTTTTTGTTATTTAGATTTTTCAATTGTTTGTACTTAAAAAATATTGTTTTAATTTTGTTTTCATGGCACTTTGACTATTTATATTCCTTAAATCTATTGGCATCTTATTTAGTATTTTTGGCACAGACAGACATTCAGACAGACAGACAGACAGACAGACAGACAGACATTCAGACAGACAGACAGACAGACAGACAGACATTCAGACAGACAGACAGACAGACAGACAGACAGACAGACAGACAGACAGACATTCAGACAGACAGACAGACAGACAGACAGACAGACAGACAGACAGACAGACAGACAGACAGACAGACGGGTGCGAGTGTGATTGAAAGGGCCGTGATGCGCGAACAGCTCCTCAAACCGAGCGGACTGAGGTGCAGCAGGTCGTAACTGTCAGACTGTCGCCACAGGGCGGTGACACGGTGACATGGAGGCACGCACGTCGTCTTCCCGCAGACGTCCGCCCGCAGACTGACTCCGAGAGTCGTTTTCGTCGCTCTGTCTCTCTCGCACCTCCACGGAACGCCCCATGAGTGCGAGAGAGACAGAGCGATGAAAACGACTCTCGGAATCAGTGTGCTGGCCGGCGTAACCATGGCGCAGCGACCGCGCGCGCGATGCGGTCACCGGAACCACCACCGGATTCGCGATGAGATCGACCACTCGGTTCGGTTTTATCCAAGGCCAGTGGACTGATTCCGAGGGTCTTTTTCGTCGCACTGTCTCTCTCGCGCCTACACGGCACGCCCCACGAGTGCGAGAGAGACAGAGCGATGAAAACGACTCTCGGAATCAGTCTGCAGATATAGTCAGCCCGTTGACCTTGCCAAACGCTACGGAATCATTCTCTTCTTGCGTGAATGACGCTCAGAGACACCTGAAACGAAAAGAAAATGTCCATGGCAGACTGGGGCAGAGCCATAAAGTGGGAGGAGTCATTCTCTCCCTCTCCCTCTCTCTCTCCCTCTCTCTCTCTCTCTCTCTCTCTCTCTCTCTCTCTCTCTCTCTCTCTCTCTCTCTCTCTCTCTCTCTCTCTCTCTCTCACCCGCGGGGTCCTCCATCCTTTCTTCTTTAGGCACATTCACTGTCGTCTGCACAGTCACCACGTCCCGTTTTCGCCGGGGAGGGAGGGAGGGGGGCAATGACGGTCCAGCAGACTGATTCCGAGAGTCGTCCTCGTCGCTCTGTCCCTCTCGCACTCTTGGAGCGTCCCGTATGGGTGCGAGAGAGACAGAGCGACGAAAACGACTCTCGGAGTGAGTCTGCAGGGGGCCGCGCCACCGCGCTAGGGCCGCGTCAGGCCGCGTCCAGCCCCGGGCCGGTGTGTCAGGTGCAGCTCGGCATTGACATTGGGAGAGCCACGGCTGGCGGTCAGACCTTCCCTGCCTCCGTGGTGAGTCAGTGCCGTAGACAGGGCGAAGCGTGAATGGGAATTCTCTTTTTTTTTAGGTTTTTTTCTTTTGCGACAAATTAGCGAAAGTGAGCGGCATTAACGTGTTGGCGTCTGCTTCCAGGACCATGGCTTCGCTACTCAACGCCACGACCACCATGCTCTCCGACGGCTACAACTTCTACCTGTGGACATTGTCAATAGCAGGTGAGTCGAGGGTGGTTTTTCAGACCGGCGCACAGTGGGCCAGAAGCCCGGTGCAGGCGGCCTAAACTCTAGACGCGTTTTGAGCTCCAGAGTCGCTAAACAGGACTCGAACCGAACGTGTGACCCCACCAATGGATTCCTCGTTCGGAGAGCAATCCATTGGTGGGGTCGCACGCTCGGTTCGAGTCCTGTTTAGCGACTCTGGAGCTCAAAACGCGTCTAGAGTTTTGGCCGCCCGCGCCGGTCTTCTGGCCCACTGTGCGGCGATGCGCAAACGCGGCGGGGGAATGCCTACACTGCGGCGTGTTCCAGACAAACGCACTCGGGGATGGCTCATGGTGGACTCCCCGCTGCCCACCCTGGCCTACACAGTCCTCTACCTCATCATGGTGATGGTGGGGCCCAAGCTCATGAAGAACCGAAAGCCCTTCGACCTCAAGAAGGTCATGATCGCGTACAACCTCTCCATGTGTGTGCTCAACGCCTTCATCGCAGTGGAGGTGAGTGTGAAATCTAAACGAAGGGCGTCACAGAATACTTTCCAGCGGGTCTGAATATTATTTTTCCTGTTCTAGTTGTTGGTGGCCTCAACGCGACTAAAGTATAACTACATCTGCCAGCCCGTGACATTTATCAACCACAAGGAGGAAATTAGGGTGAGAATTCCGGGAGGTCAAAATGATGTGAAACTGCTTCCATCTGGCGATGCACAGTGGGCCGCAAGTTCGGCGCAGGTGGCCAAAACTCCAGACGCGTTTTGTGCTCCACAGACGCTAAATGGGACTCGAACTGAACGTGACCCCACCAATGGATTCATCGTTCGGAGAGCAATCCATTGGTGGGGTCACACATTCGCTTCGATTCCCATTAGCGACTCTGGAGCTCAAAACGCCGGGGTTCAGGCGTTCTTGCCTACTGTGCCATGCCTGTTTTTGTTTAACCCACCAACTTGTCCGCCCTTTCGCAGATAGCCAACGCGGTGTGGTGGTACTACATCTCCAAGCTGTTCGAGTTCGGCGACACGCTCTTCTTCGTCTTGAGGAAGAAGGACAGACAGCTGAGCTTCTTGCACGTCTACCACCACGCCACCATGTTCTCGCTGTGGTGGATCGGCATCAAATGGGTTCCCAGTGGCTCCAGTAAGTGCCAACCATTTTTTTAATTTTTGTTGATGTAACCCCAGCCCCAAGGAGAACGGAATTGTCACGAAAAGGTCGCCGTGAGCTGCAGGTGATGGATTTTCGTCACGATTTGAGCACATATGAGGTCACATGTGACCAAAAATTTTTCGTCGTTTTTTTTTTAATGTTCAATTTTTTTGTAATTTGATGCAGTAATTGTTTTTTGTTCTGTTATTTTAGCTTTCCTACCCGCTATGGTCAACAGCTTCATCCATGTGTTGATGTACTCCTACTACGGCCTGGCGGCGCTGGGCCCGCACGTCGCGCGCTACCTGTGGTGGAAGAAGTACCTCACCATCTTACAGCTGGTAAGTGTGCCATCAGAGAATGAATGAGACAGAAAGAGAGGCAGCTTCAGTTTGTACAGTGCTTTGTTGGATAATTTAAATTTTAAAACGTGTAAATGTCTCCAGAGTATTTTTCTAGTATGGTATCGGGGTGCAAATTACTGTTTGTATTTTGGACAGCGTTTTTGAACATTTTGGGAGAAAATTTTGAGACAGTTTTCTGTACCTTGAGGGTTTTCGATACTTCAAAATTCGTTTGACCAAAAAATAATGCGACATTTTGTACTTTTTGTGCAGATCCAGTTCACCGTGGCACTCATCATGGGGGTCAACAGCATTCGGTCGGGCTGTGACTTCCCCATGTGGATGCAGTACGCGCTGGTGGTGTACATGGTGTCCTTCATCGTTTTGTTCGGCAACTTCTACGCCAAGGCGTACATCAAAAAGGTGAGTTTCAAGTTGGCTCTTCGCATGCAGCCTTGGGCGTCACACAGACCGGTGGGGTGGCTCAAATTCTAGACGCGTTTTGAGCTCCGGAGTCGCTAAATGGGACTCGAACCGAACGTGTGACCCCACCAAGGGACTGCTCTCCGAACGAGCAATCTATTGGTGGGGTCACACGCTCGGTTCGAGAACTGTTCAGCTACTCTGAAGCTCAAAACGCGTCTAGGGTTTCGGCCGCCTGCGCGGGTCTTCTGACCCACTGTGCAATGAGTGCCCCGCTACTACTGTACCTAGTCGCGCCTCGAGGTAGGCAACCCATCCGACCCCAAGCAGTGGCCCTCGGTAAACCAGCCCCGCCGCCGGGATGGCAGGCATCCCATTCGACAGTGTTGCCAATTCGAGTCTCTTTCCGCAGGGGAGGGAGTCGCTGGCGTTCTACGGCGCGGCCAACATGGCGCTGTGTCGGCCTTCCATGGACTTGGAAGTGGAAAACAGGAAACGGCTCAACGGAAACGGACACCACAAGAAGACGCAATAGGCAGAACCCGTACTTGCTTCAAATCAAACTGTTTTCAATTAAGTGAGTCCTCTGAAAATTCACACATCACTGCCAAGGGATTCCAGCCAGGGCCTATGGCCTGTGGCAAAATGCAGGGTGCTCAAAGTAGTTATGAAATATGGACTATTTGCAAGACTATCTGGATTATATTTTCTACTTGTCAAAGAGACAAACGTTAGACAAAAAAGTTATACTTGACTGCATGTAGACCTTTTGTATTAAGTTTATTGAAATCTTTTGTACAAATATTTTCGCTGAGGAATCAGCTTAGGTATAAAACTATGAACACTCTTTGTGAAGATGTCTTTTCTGTAGAATTCTTTGTTAGAAAGAACAAAAATCTGTGATTTTTGATTGTTGAAGAAGTGATATTATTGAACTCCTCTCTCTTGTGGTCAGCAATATGGTGCTTTTCAAACACAACTAAAAATGTAATACGTAGAAAGAATAGCCAACTGTGATTTAGAAAGGAATGAAAGCACCGAGGTTTCTTCTCAGAAAAAAATGAAGTAACAATTTTAGCATTACATTTATGTAATCCTTTTCTTTGAATACATAAATTCGCAGTCGCAGAGTAGAACAGCCTGATACTGCACTACTCTCTTCAATTATATATAGATATATACAATGAATAATTATAATCTCCTTCATTACTCACAATTTGTTCAGGAGCAATTCAGAACATAGAGATGACAGTCTTGCATTCATTAAAATTACAAATAAACAATAATTTCACAAAGTTGATAATCATATTTACACGAGCCTCAATGTGGCTTCTTTTTGGCTTAAAGAAGCAAGAGACAAATTTCATTCACAAAAACGACTGAAAGGGCCAAAAAGGCACAGACAAAACAAATACTGCTAAATAATGTTAATAGAAACATACTCAATTGAATCATTTACACACACATTATAAAACTTATATTGGAAACCTTGTAAGCTAGAATTATAGGTTTAATGTATACTTCCAATGTGATTAGCCAATTCTTAGATTACGGTCAGGTCTAAAATCTTTATTTGATTGAATGTTGATTGGTACAGTGTCTCATCATATTCTATTGCCAATAATTGAATCCATTGGATACCCTTCTTTCCATGAGAATCTTTGGTTTTTACTACTAGCCCTGTCTCCATTAAGCAGATTGTCAAACATGGACTCTGCAGTTGATACACTGCCATGAACAGACTTCTCATGGTCTTTCAAGTCATCTTGAGAGAAGAAACACAGACGGCACACAGGGCACGTTTCAACTGCCTCCTCAAGGTCAGAATCTGAGTAAACTGTTTCTTGTGGCGGTTCAACCTTTTCTTTTTTCACAATTTCATTTGATTTGGACTTAGAATCATGCTGCAAAATGACAAAATATTAGTAACATTACTCCAATGAGTATGAACCACTTCCAAAAGGATCAATGTGACAAACCTGTTGAGATGAAGTTTGAGCAACATTAACAATATTTCTTTGATTGGGATCAAGATGAGCATATTTAGCGGGGAATGGCTCAATTCTCACATGGCAGTTCATCATGCGTTCCTCTTCTCTACAAGTCAAAAAACAATCAGAGTTAGATTAGAGTTTCAGTGAAACTGTTACACAAATTGAAGAATACTTACTTAATTCTAAGTGATTCCTCAGTAACCCAATCTTTATTGAAATTAAGGCTCAAGATGATGAGGTTTTCTGGTGTATCTGGAAGTGGTATTCTTTCCACATACATAACCTAAAGAAGCAAAAGAACTTAGTTAATACACATCAGAAAGAAAAAGTTTGAACCATGGCAAAATAAAGGAACAAAATAAAATACCTCGTAACCACACTTTCGTGATTCATCTATGCACTCTACGTCACTATCGTCAATAACTTCTTCCACTTCTGTCTCTTTGGGTTTGCAATGATTTTTACTCTTGACCCTTTCTTGAGCCACATCTATATCATTAGCAAGGCTATCACAAATATTGCTGAAGCCATGACACCACGGTGTTTCTGGCGTTCGAAGTTGGTTCAGGTAAGAGATTTTATCCATCATCTCTCTTTCTAGCTCTTTCAGAGCTTTGAGAAACTTTGGCTTACGTCCAAACTTTTCAACAATTGCTTTGGCATGAGAGTCATAGTGATAAAGGGAGGAGCTTCTCAGAATTGATGACTGATGAGTGCCATAGAAGTAGACATTATATCTGATGGTCTCCTTCCCTCCAGATATCAGATTTTCAATCTGGCAGAAAGAACACAGAAGACAATAAAGGCACAGAACATTGAGGAGCTCATACAGTTGCATGAAATGATTGTTGAAGTAATATAAAGTACCTGGTTTATTTTGGACGGCCAAGGTGGGTAGCCTTTTAATTTTGCAAACACTAAGTCGCCTACTTCAAATTTTCTGATGCGAAGAGGTTCAACATCTGCAACAAGATCATAGCTTAATTAAAGAGGGTAACTTGAGTTAAGATAAGAATTTTTAATATGCAGAAAGATGGTTTAGTCCAGCAATGTGATCAAAAGAAGTTTTCGATCAGACAGAAATGGTTATGCAAAGAGAGTTGTAGTTCAGCAGGTACTTACCATGACTTTTGCTTGAGGAAGCCATATTAACCTGAAACAATAAAAATGATATGACATATAAAATTTACATCCCATTAACAGTACATATCAACAGTTAATCTGATGGATAACCATAATACTGCTCGCATATTGAATCTATCGATAGCACAATTTCATTTCGAAGTCCATGATGAATAAAATCAATGTTAAATGAGCAGGCTCAGAGGCTTATAACGACTATAAAATAATGACAGAAGCTGTAAACAACTGAGTATAAATGTATCAAAACAGTGAGTAGACCGAGAACTGGTACTTGTGAATTCAGAGGTTAGAGCATCCAGCGACAAGCAAAACACGATTCTTTGAAAGATTCTGAAACGCAATGCGAGATAAAAGACGGGACGTAATTAAGCACAGCTTCAGGGAAATACCATCGCGAATGGCAAATATGCGGTGCTTTGCTTTGCTTTGCAGAACCGGCAGTTCGCGTCCGACGTTTCACACAACGAGAATGAAGCAATGATTTGTTGACACGATTTATGGAACAATAAGAACTGCCTGAAAGGAATATCTCACCTCTTTAAGAAACAGCGGAAGACACGGTGCAAGTATTTGGTAACTTCTTTTACGACAGAGAAATAAAATCACAATTCTTAAAAAATTCGTCAATCGTCACCACAACACATCACCAACACACCAAGCAAAAGCCTAAAGTGAAAGGGCGGTTTGGAAGGGCAAGGTTCCAGGTTCGATTCCGACCGAAGGCGCTCCGTTTTGTAATTTACACGGAAGTCGACTGTAATTTACACGCCACGGAAGTGATCGCACGATATTCCTTCTTTTCCTACCTGCGAAAAAATGAAACATTAAACCCTAAAAACCACGTCGCTCGCAACATCCCAACCCAAGTTTTTGGTCCGCCAGCGGCGAAACAAACATCGCAAACTTTCTTGAATGAAAGGCATTGATTCCTTTACAAACTACGCTCACTTAAAATTCATTTTTGACATTTCCCGATTCAATTTTACAACACACCAACTTATGTTCTAATTCTACTGTTCGGAGTGTCCGTCCTGTGCTGTGCTCGGGTCGCTTCGAGCTTTGGGCGTCAAGTGTCGCCGCATAGTTGAAAATTCCGTACGACATCTCCATCTGCCTAAGTTAACTTCATTTCAAAGTCATGTATTCCTCTGAGATTCTATACAGATTTGTAAACGTCGATCGCGCCTACTCTTGTAACACGCGGACAACAGCACACTCAATAAATGGCCTGACTTGGTCATTCCATCGTGATATCGGGTACTTTTATTTTACTGTGTTTGTGTACCCCTTCAAGAAATTTTGAACTTTTTCTCTAAAGTTGTATGACTTTGAGTTCTCCATTGCTTTTTTGTATAAACGATTCGCCATTACCGGTAGAGCGATTTTTATTTGATTGCAGATTATGTTCCACGTCCAGTCCAAAAGCTTAGCTCGTCATCTTGCTTACTACAAAGTTTCTATTTTCCAAACTGAATGTGGGCAGTGGGACAAGTAGTTTTCATTGGGAATAAAAATTAATTTTTATTTTACAGTCACAAAGAATTATGGGAATAGAGGTGCAGAGTAATTCTTCTTGATCAGAGCCACAAAGTCATCCGCTCCTTTTAAATTTTCCTCGAAGCCTTTGATTGAAGTTTGACAGCGTTTATACCAAGGATCCACATTAGGGTGTTGGCTCAGATTATATCCAACAACCTATAAACAAAAATGTTAAACGCATTAAACCAAGATTCACTAACTATATCCTAAGATTAAAATGTGTCGATATCGCAACTTACAACGGCATTTGAGACGGCTGCTGCATTTGCAATGTCTGCCACAGTCAGCCTTTCGCCCACCAACCAGGTTTTACCGTTTAACAAAGTGTTGAGTGTGTTGAAAGCATCTTTAACATTTAGTTTGAGGTCTTCTGGGACTGATGAAGCAGAACCGAATATGAAAGGCACCTGAGTTGAACAATTGCACTTTCGTCAGTTGAAAAGTTGAAATGAGTACGCGGTTCATAAAAGATATCTATAATCACTTAGTATACTTACACACAGAGCTCGGAGCCTAGCAAACAAAACAGTTGCTTCAAAATACAACATGGAGTCAACTTTAGCTCTCTCTTTTAAATCTTCAGAATAAAGACCTGAATCCTGGCCATATTTGCCAACCAGGTATGTGGCAATTGCATGACTGTGAAAAGAAAATTTAAAATTTATCATCTGATTCTTATTTAAGCAAAACATTAATTTAGGGAAACTAGCCCTGAGCATATACTTCATTCATACAAATTATCTGAATTACCTGTCCCATAAGTAGAAGCCATCATCATCTATCGTCGGCACACAATGTTGAGGATTAATCTGAAAATTTGGAATGCAATTCAAATCATACTAAAATTGGATCAGCAATAAATCAGCTGGCCATTGTTCATAGATTTTATTTTACCTTCAAAAATTCCTCGTTGAACTGCTCTTTTTGCAGAAGATTAAGATTCTTAATTTCGACATCGATACCAAGCGTCCTCATGGTCATCAGCGCAAATCGAGAAGGAGCGGATGGAGGGAAGTGGTACAGCAGAACGGACGGCATCTTGAAGATTAAATACTGATGATTTTTACGGATCTGAAAAGCGAAAAAAATTGCATATTGAAAGGCTTACACAAAGTACCCCGAGTCTGGTAAAATAAAATGCAACCAAAGCCCGCTTTTTTATTTGACATCCCAGAATTGAATAACTATCAGCTCCTGTTAAATATCAACTTTACTTTACAGATAAATACTTTGTAAGTGGTGAGCAGCATTGCCGCTTCAGTTCCCCATAAAATTATGATTCCAACTTGGGGCTTGAAAGTATGTGAATTATTTCAGGAGCCCCTTCTCTGAGGTACAATTGGTTGAAATAGAGTTTAAAACTCCCCAGACACAGCACATTGAAGATCCCAAACACAGAGGGAAGTGCCAGGAAACAATGCTCACAAAACGCAATGCAGAATTGGTCGGCCGGCTCACAGTGCAGCTGCAGTGGGGCCCTGCTGGACTGCTGGACACGGCTGCGTGCGAAGCGAAGCAAGTGCAGCTTCGACCTCGACTAACGGGCCAGCCGGGCCGCCCTAGAGGCCGCCCCGCCAGCCGCCAGGCCTGCAGCCGCAGCGGACACCGACAACAACCGGTCCCTCATCTCTGCTGGGCGGGGAGGGGGAGGGCAGAGGGCAATGCCCGATCGGCGCGGGGTAGTGCCGTGGAGCCAACGCGGAGCGCGTGGCGATACCCCGCGCCACAGCGTCGCTACGCCGACCTCCGCGCGCGTCCAGCTTCCAGGCCACAGTGGGCCAGAAGACCGGTGTTGGAGGCGGACAAAACTCTAGACGCGTTTTGAGCTCCAGAGTCGCTAAACAGGACTCGAACCGAGCGTGTGACCCCACCAATGGATTGCTCTCCGAACGAGGAATCCATTGGTGGGGTCACACGTTCGGTTCGAGTCCCATTTAGCGACTCTGGAGCTCAAAACGCGTCGAGAGTTTTGTCAGCCTCCGCCGGTATTCTGGCTCACTGTGCAGGCTCCCGGCGAACGTCAGGCTGATTCGGAGCACTGCTCGCGACTCTGTCTCACTCGCTCCCTTCAACAGAGTGGCCCGTAATACGGGATGCCCATGAGTGCGAGAGAGACAGAGCGATGAAAGCCGTGCCCCGAATCAGCCTGGAGGGAAAACCCCGGCGGGAAAACTGTGAAATCCCGGATGCCATGCCAACAAGGCGACAGTGTGGTGTCCTGGCCGAAAATTCCCCTTCTCCTTGCTCGACTCGATGCGAAATAACTTGAGTTATCCTGGGTTTTGATTTTACCAGTGGGTCGGTCCCGCTCTTTGCTTCTATCATTCTGTTTTTGCACTAGGCGATTGGCCCTGGCTTCATTCGGGGTGCCGGTCACAAATTTGGCAGCTCTCTGTCTCTCTCGCACCCGTGGGGCGCTCCGCAGTGCTCGGCAGGGGTGCGAGAGAGAACGAGAGAGAGAAGGCTGTGTTCGGGATCGGCGTGCTGCCGCAGCAGGCTGAGCACTGCTTTCGTCGCTCTGTCTCTCTCGCACTCATGGGGCGTCCCGCAAGGGTGTGAGAGAGACAGAGCGACAAGCGGTGCTCGGAATCAGCCTGCTGCCACCGATCCCGCGGCTTTGGCTGAGTGATGGGTGCCGCCCGACGGCCCGACGGGTTGCACAAGCGCCAGCAGACTGATTCCGAGAGTCGTTTTCGTCGCTCCGTCTCTGTCGCACCGACACGGGACGCCCCTTGAGCGCGACAGAGACAGAGCGACGAAGACGACTCTCGGAATCAGTCTGCCGGCAGGGCGAAGCACGGCGCCTCGGTTGCGTCCAGGACGGGGAGGGCGGGCTGCTGCAGCGACGCTCCGAAACAATCCGAAAACGCAACGACGGCGCATCAACAATGTAATCTCGTTTTTAATTCGCGGCACTCGATCCGCCCGCGCGGCGGCAGCTGCGTTCGTCGCGCTGTCTCTCTTGCACTTGTATGTTTGCGTATGGGTGCGAGAGGCAGAGTGATCGCCGTGCTCGAAGTCAGCCTGCAGGGCGGCGGAAAGGGCCAGCAGCCGATGACGGCGTGGTTCCAGCAGGAGAGGACGACGGCGTGGCCCGGGGAGGAGAGGGCGACGGCGTGGTTCGGGGAGGAGAGGACGACGGCGTGGTTCGGGGAGGAGAGGGCGACGGCGTGGTTCGGGGAGGAGAGGACGACGGCGTGGTCCGGGAGGAGAGGACGACGGCGTGGTTCGGGGAGGAGAGGACGACGGCGTGGTTCCAGCAGGAGAGGGCGACGGCGTGGCCCGGGGAGGAGAGGACGACGGCGTGGTTCCAGCAGGAGAGGACGACGGCGTGGTTCGGGGAGGAGAGGACGACGGCGTGGTCCGGGAGGAGAGGACGACGGCGTGGTCGGGGAAGGGAAGGACGACGGCGTGGTCCGGGAGGAGAGGACGACGGCGTGGCCCGAGGAGGAGAGGACGACGTCGTGGTTCGGGGAGGAGAGGACGACGGCGTGGTTCGGGGAGGAGAGGACGACGGCGTGGTCCGGGAGGAGAGGACGACGGCGTGGTTCGGGGAGGAGAGGACGACGTCGTGGTTCGGGGAGGAGAGGACGACGGCGGGGTCCGAGGAGGAGAGGACGGCGACGGCGTGGTTCGAGGACAGGAGACGACGGTCAGGTTCCATTCGGCAGGGACGTTGCACCGGCAGTGGCGCCATCCTCGGGTCCCCGGCCGGCAGCCCCCAGCAGGCTCTAGTCTCCAGGCGACAATTTATCGTTATTCCGACCCAGATCGCGGAGACGCGGATCGGCTGGCTTGCTGCAGGCTGCAGCTGGCTGCGCCGGATTTTGGCGCAACACTGCCGCCGCCATGCCGCCCTGCCGCCCTGCCGCCGCCACGCTGGGCCGCCGAGCCGGTCCACGGCACTGTCATTGTCCCCGTGGATTCGTGACCATCTATGACCTTGGCTCGCCTCGGCGGCGCGTGCCATAACGTCACTTCGGCATCACTTCGGCGCCACTTTCAGCGTCACTTCGGCGTCACTTTGGCGCCACTTCCAGCGTCACTTGGCATCACTTCGGCGTCACTCCGGCGTCACCTTGACACCACTTTTGGCGTCACTTCGTCGTCTCTTCAGCGCCACTTTCGGCATCACTTCGGCGCCACTTTCAGCGTCACTTCGGCGCGACGGCCTGGGGACGGGACGCACCCCGCGGCGTTCGAATTTGATTGAATGGCGCAAGTCGCACTGTGTTTGCAAAGTCCGCCGGGCTAGATGACAGTGGCAGATCCGAGCCGGCCTAAACCTAATTGTGGCCGATTGCCTACCTCGCAGGCGGCTTGGGGGGGAGGGTGTCAATTGCACCCTCCCCCTCCCCTTCCAGATCCGCGCTGAAGAAAGGGGTCAGAGGATCAGCAAAGCATACCCCATACGGTCAGCGCCACGGGAAGCTGCAGTTCTCCATCGCCCCGATGAAACTGCGCTGTATTGCTGTTGTTCATCGTCGCTCCCCGCCTTGTTTTGATGCACCTGCGAGCCGCCGAGTCGGGCGAGCCATCAGCGTGAGAAGACGCCGCGACCGCGACCTCGACCGGCCTTGCTCCGCGCACCGCGCCTCGCGCGACTGTACGTACGGCTAAGGAAGGCGGCGAAAGGAAGGGTTCTCTTGGCGCTGGCTGCGCGCGGCTGCACAGTGGGCCAGAAGACCGGTGGAGGCGCACGAAACTCTAGACGCGTTTTGAGCTCCAGAGTCGCTAAACGGGACTCGAACCGAACGTGTGACCCCACCAATTGATTGCTCTCAGAACGGGCAATCCATTGGAGGGGTCACACGTTCGGTTCGAGCCCCATTAAGCGACTCTGCAGCTCAAAACGCGTCTAGAATTTTTGCCACCTCCACCGGTCTTCTGGCCCACTGTGTACCGAGCCACTCGAGTGTGGTGGGGTCTTCCCTTGTCATTCCCTTGGCGCCTTTTTTTTCTCTCTCCAGGGAACTTTCTTCCAGGCAAACGAAGGCCCGCCGCCGCGGCTCAGCACTTCGGAAGGTCGCTGTTGGGCAACAACCAGGAGGGCATAGTCTTCCAGAGCCCGCCCAGCCAGGATTACATATTCAGAACGACTTCGGACCGACTTCGACGTCGAATCGATGGATCTTGTTTTCATCGATCCTACGTCCCATTGACGACGTTTCGAATACCTATGCTGGCTGGCAAAACGTTTGTGTTTTCATTTTTTGTACTTGTATTTTTGTGCTGTTATTTTTGTGCTGTTATTTCTGTGCTATAATTTTTGTGCTGTTATTTTTGTGCTATAATTTTTGTGCTATAATTTTTGTGCTATAATTTTTGAGCTATAATTTTTGTGCTATAATTTGTGTGCTATAATTTTTACATTATTATTTTTATTATTGATCGTACAGATAGTGGACTGTTTGGTAGTGGTGGCAGTTAGTTAGTAGCACTAGCAATAAATATTAGCAGTGGTGGTGCAGTACCAGCAGTCGCGGTGTGGCGCAAGGGGACGGGCGACAGAGTGACTCTTTTGTCTCTGCGCGACAAGTCAGACAAACCGAGACAGGGCCGCCCAAAGCCGAAGCCAGGTAACTGGGCGGCAACGCCTGGCAGTTAGGCCTCTATCCGCGTCTATCCACCTCCAGCCGCCTTCAGCCCGCCGCGCGGCCCATCTCACTCAGATTCTATCTTCTATCACACCGGCCCGCCCGCACTGGATTTTAAACTGTTGCTGAAACGGCGCGGGCAATACCAGCAACCCTCCCGCAAGGTCACGCAGCACTGTCGGTGACCGCCACTTTGGCGCCGCGAGGAGCGCACAGTGGGCCAGAAGACCGGTGGAGGCGTCCAAACCCCTAGACACGTTTTGAGCTCCAGAGTCGCGAAAAAGGACTCGAACCGGACGTGTGACCCCACCAATGGATTACTCGTTCGGAGAGCAATCCATTGGTGGGGTCACACGTTCCGTTCGAGTCCCATTTAGCGACTCTGGAGCTCAAAACGCGTCCGGGATTTTGGCCGCCTCCCCCGGTCCTCTGAGCCACTGTGGGACATCGCCGTTCGAATGAGGGCTACTAGTAGATCTATGCCCCTGCAGGTAGGCAACTTATGCGACATGTTGAACCCGAACCCGCGAACCGGCCTCTGCGTCCGCCCTTGAAGCGAGGCGGAGCTGCCGGTAAGTAGGTGAAGGCGAAGGTGAAGGCGGCGGCCGGGCGGCGGGATCATTGTTTGCGTCCCAAAAGGTTCCTCACTTTCATTACGGGGAAAAGGGCGCCTCACCAGGCAAGCAGCCGACGGCAGCCGAGCAGCGAAAAGAAGGAGTGGCAATTAGGAGCGCCACCGCAGACTCCGAGTCCCGCAGACACGAGCTCGCCGAGTTTACCGCC